GTTTGTGACAAAAGATGATGGAAGAAGGATGAAAAATAATGTCATCATATTTCATCTTCCTTCGGATTATTTTGCTTGCTTTTTCAAAAGAAGAAAGCATTTCCTTTTTCCGTTTCCGTTGACTAACTGGAAACTTTCCAATCATCATCATCTTCATCATGAAACTTTCCATTGCGGCTTCAAAATTAGTCCGTTTTCCCAGCTTTTCAAAAGTTTACTTTGAACCTTCATTCACAATACTGATAGAAGTGACAAAATATGAAAAATGCTAAAAAATTATTCCTCAAAATTCTATTTTCAGATTTTCCAACCAAAGAATCTTCAAGTTCATTTCAGAGTTAAGCAATTATATTAAAATTCTTGTCTTAAAAATCGACCTGCACTTGATATCGAAATGAACTGAGTTTGGATTTACATTTTTCGTTGAAACGAATTTTGCATTTTCTCATTTCCAAATCTCAACGAACTTCAATTTTTGATTGAATTGGCTCAACTAATTAAACAGATTTTCGTAGTTACTCAAACCTTCATTAGACTTCAACTAATAGAAGTGACAAAATATGAAAAATGAATTCTCCAGAATTCTATTTTCAGATTTTTGGATCAAAGAATTAGCAGAGTCGAAAAAATTCAGTCGAAAAATTTATATAAAAATTTTTGTCTTAAGAAGCGAATAGCAATTAGTAATTGATTTCGAGTTTGGGTTCATATTTTTGTTGAAACGAACTTCAATTTTCGATCGATACACGTCAAATAATTGAATAGATTTTAGTTATTCTGATCTAAACTACTGTAAGTTTCACGATGAAATTGGAATTTTTAGAATTTCGAAAAAAATTTCAAAAAATTTCTCATTTCGTTGTAACGATTTTTGCATTTCAGGACTTGACTTAGTTTTAAATGAATTGAAATTGGTTGATATTTTTTGGCTCAAACAATCAATCATCTTACGGAATTCATAAAAAAAAGTTTTTACAATTTGCAGTTAATTAGCATTTAAATTTGAATTTTCAATTAAAACGAATGTGAAATTTTTCATTTGCAAGCGATTCTGCTTTTCATTGTCATTGGATGATAAAAGGTTATCAAAATTTGTTTAATGGATTACAATTGTTTTTATTTGTTAAATTGATGAATAATTGTTGTTGTGACAATTAATTGACAATTAACAATTAAATGATGTTGAAGTGCAATGAAATCTTTAGAGTTACAACAACAACAACATTAACAAGACAAAAAAAAGTTAATAAAGCAAGTAATAATAATACAAGGATATTAAGGTAAAGCAGGGAGGGAAGAGATCTCGAAGAAAGAAGGCAAGAAAAAAGCAATTCAATTTAGTGAAACATAAACAGGTAATAAGAAGATGATGAAGATGAAGAAAAATGAAAGAAACGTAAATTGATAATATTTCACTGGGAGTGAAAAGAAGCAGTAGTAACATCAATATATGAAGTAGCAAAAGGATGAAGCTGGAAAGATGATGAAGGATGAAGAAGAAGAAGTAAAAATTGATGCAAAAATTGGACTGCGCAAGTTTTCAAGCAAAATTTCATCTTTTCTTTCTTTCCTCTCTTTCCATCATCATCCAAATGTTCATCTTCTTCCTGGTAAAAATCACTTTTACAACAAAACTGGACAATGACATTAAATTACAATGTACTCTGTGTAAGCATAACCTTTTTTTTTTGGTTGAAGTTGTTGCTGACTCTGCTCTGTACTTTAAGTGTTTACATAAAGGTAAAAATATCAAATTTTTTTTTCTTCTCCTCCAAAAAAAAGACCCAAAACTGTTTTTCGCTGAAAAACTGGCAATGGGTTAACTTAGTTTTAGCCTGGTTTTTGGGGTGGAAATGAAATGAGAAGCTGTGGGTTCACCATGAAACCAGGAATCACTTTGAGGCACGCAATTGAACCATTATACATAACATGAAAAAGATGGAGAAAAATGAAAAGTCTTTCACGCAGTTTATTTTTCAACTTCACTCTTGTTCAGTCTTTTTTGTTCACATGATGATGTGGATGATAATGATGATGGTGATGCTTCTGATGATGCTGTCTTCTGTTGCCTGGGTTACCTTATGCTTTTTGGTAGCTCAAAAGTGAGAAATAATGGTTACAGATTAAAAGATTGATGAGAAAAGCATGTAACAATTTATGATGAAAAACAGTCTGAACATTAGTTATTTGTAATTTTTTTTCCTCTTTTTCCTCTTCTTCTTTCTTCTTCTTCTTTTCCTATCATTTCGTTTACCAGTTTATTGTCAAGATTGTTTACTTAATGTTTTTCTAGTGTATGTTTGTAATATCTGTGTGGGCCTTTGTGTTTGCAGTGATATATTCAAGTGATTGGGTTTGATGAATCAAATGAAACATATGTTAATCTTGTTGACATTGTTTGTTGTACTTGAGTCTGTTAAGATGCCCGTCCTCATCACAACTTCAACCGTCTTACGCGATCTGGTTCAACATTTATCGCTTTTCAATTATTGAAACAAAAAAAAACTGGTTTAAATGTATTTTCACAATGAACCAATTTTGGGTTTAAGTCAATTTCAAAATCTGTCTTTTACCAAATGGCTTTGTCCAAAACCATTGGTTTATTTATCTCATCACCTAATGTTAGTTATTGATAAAAACCTAAAATTTCAATTTAACCCAAAAACCTGTGACTTTATCAACCTAAAACCAACCAGAACCAGAAAATTATCAGCAAAGAGTCGAGATTATTTATTTAAAATAGTCACTCATTTTAATAAACATTTTAAGGTTACCTTCAAGTTTCAATCTCAAAGTCCAGAAATTATTGGGTTAACTCACATTTTTAGAAATGTTCATTTGCGAATTGAATAAACGGATCGATTAAAAATTAAGACTAAGATTGATTAATCTTGAGACATTAATTTAGTTTCGACTTTTACTCATCTAAAAATTTGAGGTTTCAAGGCAGTTTCATTGAAAATGTAAATTAATCATGTTTCATTATTTTCCTTTGCCTTCTAATTAAATGATGGATATTTTGGGTTATCAAGTTTATCATGTTCACTGTATTGTGACTTTGATTATTTACTGTAGCTTTGTAATGGTATTATTTTTATAAATGTTGATTACAATAAGGATAAGATGAAATTGTAAACCGTTGAGAGATTATGGTCTATCTTTTTGATCCTTAATTACATGATACTTGATACACTATTTTGTGCCAAGTGAAAATCGCAAATCAAGACGAAAGGCAGGGAAGAGCAACAACAAAAAAAGGCAAGCAAGTCAAGATAATTAACAATCAAAGGTAAAATTATAAATTATCATGACAAATGGTTTCAATGTTGTTGTGTGTTTTCCCATGAAAATGTAAAATGAGGCTTGAAACAAAGGTTGAAACAAATAGTGATCAGTGAATGGCGGATCAACCTTTTAATCTTTTCAATCTCACAGATTTCATTTGTTGATTAGTTGAGTTAATTTGTTAAATGTACACTGTTTTTTGTTCAATTCAATTAAAACCAAGTGAACATTTCCAGGCAAAGAAGAAGAAGAAGAAGAAAATTGAAACATCAAACCATGAATGATGTTGTGGCTGGTTGATGATTCAAATGATTTTAGATGGATTCTGATGGGTTTTCATGGTTTCAGATTATTCACATTTCTGATCATTTGTGATGATATAAAAACAAGGTAGCAAAGGTTAGCCTGGATAAATTTGCTTGTAAACAGAGAGGAAAAAAAGATTGTGTGAAAAAATTCATATTCAGTATTCATGGTTTTTCAAATAACAATTTGATCAAAATAGATTATGAAAGTAAAAAAAAGGGGAAAAGACGAGGATAAACATCTCAACATCATCAGAATCATCATCAAGGGTGAAACAACAGCAAATACAGAGTTAAGGATGATGATGATGATGATGATGAACGTAGTTAAAATAAAAAAGAAGCAAATAAAATGATGAAAAAAGCAGGTTGATGAGGAAAGAGAGAGAGATGAAGATGAAGATGATGGTGATGATGAGTTTAAAGGCTGGCTGAACATGTTGAACATTTTGGCTTTGTGTGAATAGTTTTTAAGGATGGTGAACAAGGTATTTTACTTTAGCTTAAACTTTTATGCTGTATGAAATTTTTCCTCATCAGGACCTAAATATCTTCTTCATCTCATCCATTTTCATCCTTATCTTCATGTTTCTGTTCATATTCACCTTCCTCTGGAATCCCAAATTAACCATCAATCTCTAATGGTTTCAACTCACTACTTTTTTTCACAATAGACAAAAAGCTCTGTTTTTACCTCTTTTGCCTTCTTCAACTCTTTTTTTTTCATCTTCTTCTTCATCTTCTTCATGTATTCACTCTTACGCTTCTTTTACTTCGACTTTTATTTTGACCTGACTTTATACAAATTTTCCAGAGACTTGAGTAATCAAAGCAGTGAATGTTAATCCTCATCAGGGGTTCACCAATGAAATGTTGCGATGGAAAAAAAACTCTGATGATCATAAGTCGTGCTAAGAACAATATATCTTCCATGGTTGGTGAAACCCTTCACCTAAAAGCGACTTTGGTAATCTATATTAAAAAAAACCTTCAGAGTTAGTCTCATTCAAATAAGCTGGTTTTATACATTATCTTAGATACTGAATGTGAAGATAATGATGACAATGATGAAGGGAATAAGGATGAGGATGGGTTTAGAGAGGGGAAAAGATGACTGGATGCAAAATTGGAAGATATTGTCAAAGGTTTTTTGGTTGTTGCTAAGAGTTTCAATACACAATTTTTTGTTTTGCATCATTTTATACTCTTTACACTTTGTAAATCCATTATTTGGTTTTGTTTTGTTTTTAACTTGACTTTTTGATCATTTATTGCTTTTGACCAACATTATTTAGTTAATCAACAATTTGTAATAAATTCCACACTTGATTAAATTAGTTAAATATCATAAGGAGAAAGGCAAAAGTTAAGTAAATAGTTATAAAATTAATATAAAAAAAGTATAATCACATGTATCCATATCTATGGTAATCCTGGTCAGACACAAACATTAATTGATCCAATTGATGTTGAGTTGGTCTTTAACCTTTCTTTTTAATTTAATCGTTGATTTAGGACGATCTTAGAGTTGTAATTAAATTGACGGAACTGGCAATGATGGTGAGGATAATTATAATAATCAAAAATTACGTTGTTTCTGTTTTCCTTGCGTTTCTTTACGGTATCGGTACTGGTATCGGTACTGGTATTGATTTGGTATAAGTAGATATTAATATTATTGTTGCTGTTGTTGTTGAACTTAATGCTGTAATTGTTGGTATTTAAAAAAGGTATCGTTAACTTTAAATTGTGATCTTCGCCTTGATCCTTGTCGTTGATGTAAAGGTTGGTAAAACGGATAGATTGGTGATTAACAATGGCTATACTGGAAATAGGAAGAAGACGAAGCAACAAAAAATGGATGAAGATGATGGTGATGGTAATGGTGATGATGAGGGTGAAAGGAACGGTAACGGTAATTATGTAGACTGTAATGATGATTGTTGGTGATTATACTTTCATTTATCTGGTAACATAATAATATAATTAACTAATAATATTATTAACAAACATTTTACTAGGTTAAACTTAATCATAAGGAGTAGCAGTTGTCGGTAGTAATCGGTTGTCAATCACTTGTTGGTACTTTCCCTGGTTTGATTTAGGAGCTGTTGGTGTTCACTGTTGGATGCTCGGTGTTTATTAGATGAACAATAATGATGTCGATGAAGAGTCAATCATCGTAACAATAATTGAAAATACTGGAAACACTGGAAACAATTAAAAGAGACAAAACGAAGGAAAAAAGAAGTCATTGTTGATGTTTCTTCGTGTTGTGTGTGGTGTTGCTGTTGCTGTTGATTTCCCACTCTAGTTGGTTCACTCTCTTCACACACTGACTTGCCTTCATTCACTCACAACAATCCGAGTTAATTAACTTTTAACTACTCATTACTGGTCAACAAATCTGGTCCACAACCTGAAATATAGTGAACTGCATACATAACAATTAAACATAGACAAGTACACAGTTGAACACAGACACACACACTTAGCCAGTTTGACCTGAAGGATAGACTTACTGTGTGCATTACTTTGTTGTGTTTTTTTTCTGCTCTTCCTTCTTTCAACTTTTCTCTCTTCTTTTACGAAAGGAAACTCGAAAGGCGACGAGGTTCAATGGAGACAGAGAAAGTAGCAAGAGAAGGATGAAGATGAGGATAAAATATGGTTACCAGAATTACGCATGTTCGTACTCATGTTGGCGTTGGTTCAACAATAATATTAACAGAATTGAATCCAAGTTGAGAGTAAATATCAAAATCAGAATGATAAACGATGCACTGTGCGCCCTCTGAAAGATTACTTCAAGTTCCTCTCTTTTTCATCTTCATCTTTTTTCACAATCTGATGATGATAATCATCAAGAGTATTCATTGTTTCATCTCTCATGAGCCCTGAGGAGAGGTGGATAGGAGAGATTGGGAAAAGTGGCAAAGAATTATCGAAACAGAAATCTATTTTGACAAGGAATTATGTCAATCGATTAACACAATTTTTTTGTATTTGGCCACCAAGTTTAGATTATGTTGTTATGCTTTGGATTTTGGGGAGAGAGAGATATTTCATCTTCATTCTCATCCTTCTCTCATCATCGTCTTATTACTGTCTTTATTATCTTCCCTATTGTTGGTGGTAATATTGTTTGAAAATGAAAAGAGAAACAAAATTTGTCATAGTAAAGGTTTGATAAATGGAGGAAGTGAAGGAGTTTTCCTTTTGATAAACATTTGTTTCACCTCCCATTATTTTCATTTCATATTATATTACCTTTTATTTACTTTGATTGGTTATTAGATTTATTTATACTGTTTGACTGGTTATTAAAATATCTCAATTGGTGTGAGTTGACAATAATATCTATTCATTTAGGTTCAATATTTGGTGTTCAGAAGGGAAGAAACAGAAAATGTGTTGAATGGATGAGCAAGACGCGAAATTTTATTATTGGTTTATTTAACGGGAAAAAAAGGATTTTCCTTTCAAAATATTTCGAGCATAAATTAATACGATTTATCTGTTAACATTGAGAAAAAGAGAAAGAGAAGAATACATGAAATTATATTACATTTTACGTTATACTTGTATTTTTATGTATATATATCTAACATGATAAATACAAATATTCACATTGAATGTTGTGAGATCAAATTTTCTTGATTTGAAAGTGACAATGGGATGATCAACCATAATCCGGCATCATTTGATAACTTTGAATCAAGGGTTTTCTTGCTTTTCTTCATGCATCGTCTCGTCTACTCAGTATGATAAGTATGAGTGACTGATTTTTTTATTAATTCAGGTAAACTTTTTTTCCCTTTTGGTAACAAAATCCTTGCCACAGGTAATAGAGTGTACATAGTGATAATACGATAATCTGTTTATCGTTGACATTGAGATGAATCGATGATCCATAAAATTGAAGGCACAGAATAGTGTAATCAGAAACGTTAAGCCACAAGGTTGTGTTTTCATGAAACATTGTTCATCCATTTTCCTTTATACATGTACTCATCTGCGAGTAATTTCATTAACAAAACTATAAATGGATTGAATTGGCTGGAAAGAGTATAAGGTGAATAAAACTTGGTGGAAATGCTGAAGGCCCATCTTTAAATATTTTGAGATATCTTTTTTGATTTGAATTTGACTTTGCTTCTGTTGTGAGCACTGAGTTTCAGGTGACTTCCATTGAGCTTGTAAATTGAGTTGTTATGTCCAAAAGTGAAAAGGGTTCCTTCCTTTGGAATAACTGAAAAGGTTGGGAAAAAAAGTATTATTGATGATTAGTTCAGGTTGATTGATTGTTTTGCATAAAGTTGTCAGCTTACCTCGAATCTTATCTTGTTTATCTATCAATTTAAAAGTGTTCTTAGTTTCTTGTACAACAATTCCAACTATACCAACAAGGGATGGATTGCAGGAAGCAACAACACAAAATTTTGCTCCATGATAATCTGCTTTGGCTAATCTCAACGATGCGTCTTTTGGATTGTTTTGTAATATTGAACCAATATAATCATTCCATATATTATTAATCTTTTCAAAAGTCTCATACTGCAGGTTGCTTTTTTGATTAACATTAAACAAAAGTTTTCGTTGCTTGGAATTTAATTTGTCGATTTTTTGGGCATTTTTCCTCTTTTCAGCCTTCTGTTCATTTTCTTTCAACTTTTTATTGAAATCGTCTTCTAGAAAATAATATTTTACCCCTAATCCTTCAGATTTAAGAGCTGGCACGCATTTGTTGATAAATTGTTCAGCACTTTCTTTATTGACTCGATATTTTAAATGAACAAATTTCATTCGATCGGCTACATCGACAACACTTTTTGGTAGACTCTGATATAAATGGCAATCACTCATGTTTATTTATCCAGTAGACAAAATTCGTAATCAAAAATAGAGACACAGATGTTAAATTGTTCTTGAAGTAATTGCAAACATAAAAAACAATGCAAAGTGGTGAGAAAAACAAATCACATGTTCAACAAATTGTAAGGTAAAATGAGGAAAACTTATGACTCAGCATCAAATTATGGAGAAACTTACTCAAATGTCGCAGATAATACACTGAATAATTTGAATTATTCACAAAAAAACAGAAAAACACGGAAAAATCAAATAAAAAACAATTTAAACACAAAAATTGGTGGAGAAAGTCAACATCAAGCTGAAAAAACACTTGTTCTCATGTGGATGTTTGGTTAAGCAAGTCGCGCGTGATTTGAATTGTCAAATTTTTTAACAAAGTTGAAAGTGAATCCATTGAATCCAAATCAACCAGTCATTTCATTTGATGATTTATCATTGGTTCTTCTAGTCATCAATTTAAATCAGTACAATGTTGCAAATCAAAAGTGAATCTAGCCATAACGATCTACACACACTCCAGTTAATCGACACAAATACACACCAGTTAATGGACAAAATGTCAACCAACGGAACCTTTTTTATCCCAGAGATAAAAAAATCTCGTTCCTCGGAAGAATTTCAAATCGGTGATAAAATTTATGTGAATGGTGTTAAACCTGGTATCATCCGTTTCTTGGGTACAACCAATTTTGCCTCTGGTAAATGGTCAGGTATTGAATTAGAAGATGGTTCAGGTAGGAACGACGGATCAGTTAATGGAATCAGGTATTTCTCTTGTAAACCCAACCATGGTATATTTGTCAGACCTCACCGTTTAACCCTGGAACCAACGTTGGAAAAGATACCTTCCACCGAGTCATCATCAACAAATGGCGATACCCGATGCTCCTCAGCAACATTAACATCGTCCATCCGACAAACCCCTGTAATTAAAAAGACAAACAAAACCTCGCAATCACACAATCTTACTTCAGCAGCTAACGAGAAATTGCGTAAAGGTATTCTTCGAGCTCTGGATTCATCCGGTTTAGTTAAATGTCATAAACACTATTCCTCAGGTAAGAGCAAAGATTCTCGAGCCACTCTCGATCAAAGGATCACTTACCTTGAGAATGAAGTGCGACAGCTTAGAGCAGAAAAGGCTAAACTCACTGAGTCTTTAATAAACCAATTGACTCTGGTAAAAGAGGATAATGGTGACCTAAGTGATCAGGTTGTGTCTCTACAAATCGACAATATTGCTCTTCATATGAGAGTTGATGAGCTCAATAAGCTCTGGACTTGTAACAAGTTGTTGGTAAAAACCTTGGAATTGGTTATTAGCGAATGGCGCAGGGACGTTCAATCAAAGGACAATAGCGGGCAAGCTCTACGAGATGCGTTGGTACAAACTAATTCACTCAATCGACAATTAATGACGATGATTGCAAACGACAAGAGACGCAAAAATGACGATTTAGCGCAATTGAAAGAGCAGTTGTTGATGGAAAATTGAAATTCATCTTGCCAGCATCATCAGGAGAAACCCAAATTTTACTGGATAATCAAAGAAAAATCAATTCATCGTCCTTAAAATCTATTGCTTTTACTCATTTTTTATGTTGTATCATTGAATTTTATTGTAAGACTATTTGTGGATTTTTTGATCTTAAACAAAGTAAAATGTCATTGAAACGATTTACAAGAAAAAAAATTCCATTACTTATTTAATGACTAATGAAAATTTACAGACTATCATCTGAGTGACGTTCCAACACACAACCAATGAGCATTGATCCTTTCTTGGCTGTCGACTCTAACATTCATATTAACAGGTATGTGATAGAATCCTGACGAGGTTGACTGACAAACGTAATCAATGTTGTTAGGAAATTCAAGTTTTCTCTTTGATCCAGGAGCAAATCTGATTTGTCGACAATATTTCCACTTTTCAAACAGATCCCCGCAATCATTGCCTAATAAATCCCTGTACTGGCGAAGAAAATCAGCTGTCCATATATAAGTTTTGGCACTATGAAGAGCTGCATCAATAGTGAAAATATCATCTTCTGACTTATTGTCCAATAAGTAAATCCAAACTTGACCAGAATGATTTTCTTTCAATTGTTTAATTGATGGCCAACCACCCATATGTTTGCGTCCTATGACCAAGATTTTTTTATATTTAACTAGAATATCATTAATTTCCATGGTTTCGTATAGACTTTCAGAAAGGCCTAAGTTTTTTATAGATAATGAATGAGTTTTCTTGTCCTCTGCAACGGTTCGAGTGGTATTATAATAAGAAACATTCAATCCATCGATGACCAAATCAAATGGCTTTGAAGAATGAGAGTCCATGAATCGATTGAAATCCTTAACTTCAGTCGGTGTTGATATTAAAAAAGCTACACCGTCCTTTCGGAGAATATAATCTTCTACAGCTTTCCTTATTTGAGAAACTTCTGTCTCATTAATAGTCTGCAAAGGTGACCCACAAACTTTGCATGAACACTTTTCGATGTCGACTATACCAGGTTTGAAATATAATCCAGATGCGTTTAAAAATTTCTCCAATTTATTCAACATAGACTTTTGGAATAAATATCTTTTTTCCTCCAATATTTTGAAAAATCTATCAATTTCTATAATACGTTTGCTTCGTTCAACTTTAGACAAAGTATTCAACCATTGATCGACCAACTCATTCTCTAGTTTTTTCTCCGAATAAAGAACCAATAACCTTTCGATGTCTTCAAAAAAACCAAATTTAAGACAGGAAATACATAGAGTCAACAATGCATCGTTTTTCAGTACATGATGTTTTGAAGCAAAGTCAATTGATTGCTTGCAAGATTCAGCTGAGATTGTTGAGAAATCGGCCCAAGCTTTACCAACAACTGGATACTTGATAAACATTTCATCTTTACTAATAGTCTCCAAAGCATTTCTAATATAGTTAATGTCCGGCTTTTTTTCCACTTTAAGAAGAAATCGAATCAGATGACATTGTATCACTTTGTTACTCTGATCGGCCAGAAGCTGTTTAACATGGTTGATGAAAGATAAAATAATTTCATCTTCATTGCGATCTATTTTAAGCAAGTGTTGCATAAACTGAACTTCAAAGTTGAATTTGTTATAAACACGAGGATATTCGTTGATTAGGTTTTGCCTTAATGCAGCCCAATCAATTTTAGGCGACTTAGAAGACATTTCTTTCAACATATTAAACACTTGTGAGTTAGTTTGTTCAAAATGGTCCAATAGTTCCTTTCGATAGCGCTCATTAAAGGTGGAGGAAGCATTGGCATATTTACACACGTTGACTTTATTATGCACCAATGAACGAAAAATTGATGAACTAATTAATTTGAGGGGAAACATTTGTTTAAAAATTAACAAATCATCAAAATATAAAATCAAAATAAACACAAGAAATCTTGCACATGTGTTTCAAGCAAAAAATACGCATGCGTCATTATAAATTCTGGTTCATAATTGTTTTAATCAAACCAACTGTTAAACTTTGCAAATTAAATTAAGTGTAGAGACAGGATTAAAAGAGAAATTAAATTTTTATTGAAGCAAATTTTTTAAAGATAAGTGCCAATCTAAATAGATTCTTTAGATCAATTTGAAATTTGGTAATACACAGTATTTGGGCGATACGTAATTTAACAAAACGAATTAGTTGATCTAATTCATTGAATTAAGCAAAAATTGATTCCACAACATGATAAATAAAATATGATTAGATTGTTATGAAATTTTCTGACCAGAAAATTGTCAATGTCATCCCTAATTGTCTCTTTAACTAATAGAGTACCAAAAGGCTGAATTTAAACTTTTGATCAATACAATCCAAGAACCACTTGACAATTTCTTGGTTAAAAAACTTTTCTACCTACAATTAAGGTGAGAAATTTTTAATTTAGATAATTGACTTCAAGGCATATAGTAATATTATTTTCTTTTCCATCAAACGACAGTTGAAAGTGAATCATTAACGCTTGTTTGATTGATAATCGAGGATAAAGTGGTTAATGCAGAAAGAGTTTGGGCATTAGTCGCATCTTCGACTGCTTCTGACTGAGATCTTCCAACCCTAATCTCGGAATCGACGACTGAAGAATTAGATGAAGAGATAATTCCAGTAGCATTTGCGGTAGTTGTCAAAGGTTTTTGGGTAGTTAAGACATCAGTTTTGGTGGACGAAGATGTTGATGACATTCCAACTACACCCGGAGTGGTTGCACCAGCAGATTCCACTTCTTCAACAGACATTCTAATTGAATCGGTAATAGCTAACTTGATTACTGGTTCAACTGGCGTAGAGGACGAAGCTGAAGTGTTAGTAACATCACTCGAAATTTCTATGACATCATCTTTTGGAAATTGAATGGCCGAAGATTTGTTTTTTACTTGATCTGGACTATTTGGAGATTCTGAGCTCAACTTAACTGGTTCTTCCTCCGATCTAGCATTTCTCAAATTTATCATATCTGCGGTTGTTGTCAACTCAACTGGTGGTAAAGTAGTATCCAAAACTGCCACAGAACCATTAATATTGACGGGATCAGGGATAGTTTCATTAGTAGAAGTTGAATTTAGCACGTCGACAACTGTAACAGGGACTGTGATAAATGTAAAAAACACAAAATACGTATTAGATTTTTTTAAACATTTCCAAGAGAGTAAGAATACTAACCAGCATTAATTGTGGTGGCAAAGTTGAGAAGCACAAAGGATAGAAAACAATTTTGTAAAGTGAAAGACATTTTGAACAAAAACTGGTTAAGATTTGAAATATCGAAGAACTATTATAAGAAAATTGTTGGTTGGAATCAAGTTCGGCGTAAAGTTGAAGCTGAAATGAAAGGTATCTTAATGTCTGGACTCACTTTATCAACAAAACCGAGATGAGACAAAGTTGAAGAAAGAGTGAGAAAGTGAGAAAAGGAGAAAGAGAAGAAGAAAGAGAAAAAGCTAGCAAAGAGAAAGTTAGATGATGAATATGAAGATAAGGTAAGAATGATGATACATTAGTTTAAAAATGATAGCCTTGAATAGAAGAAGAAAAAATTACTTTTCTTATCAGACATTCACTACATTAGCATTTTTGATCCAATCTTTAAGCCCAAATCTAACAGTTAACCTTTTTTAACTCTTAATCATTTTCCCTTTTCACTAACCCAACATCTAATCACATTTAATTGTCAACCAACTCAATGTGTCTGCACTAACAAAAACGTCAACTCTGTTATGATCAGGATGTCCAAGATAATCGGGACAATCAGTATAATAAGGATATGATTTACAAAAATAAATTGGCTAGACAGATACAAATTTAGTCTACTATTAGATCCATTCTCTGTGTTCAAATTGGCATTGAACAGTCAAGTTTCAGCTTAAAATTCAGTCATCAAGATGATCATGATATAATCTGGTAATTCCCTCTTTCGCAGACTATCAAACCAAGATTATGTTGACCCTAAGCCAAATGGATCCACCAAAAAGATTAGCCATTTCCAACCCCAAGTCATACAAACGAGTTAGGATTTCAAGAAATTTTGAAGACACCAAACAATTAAAGGATTTTATTGTAAACCCAATATTGTTTGATGTTGTTATTTGTACCCAAATTGAGAGGATAATTAGCTGCTGTTAAGACAATTGCATTGAATATGAGAATAAAGGTAGAAATTGATTGAAATCCTCAAAAAAGGTAATTGTAATGACAAAAAGGATAAGTTGTCAAGTTGATTTTATCTTAAAGGTAGTCAGACTGTCCTTGATCAACTCTATGACCTTTTTCCACCTTAATCACCTTAATTGTTTCCGTTAATCTTCACCTGTCTCAATCAATCTCAACATTGTTGGTGACTTTTAGCAAGACTATTTGGTGATTACCTTTTTTCAGGAAGAAATCAAACTGTTTGACTAAAGGAGACAATCAACGGAAATGATCTCATCTTATTAAATACAATTTAACTTTTTATCAATCGACTCGTTTGTAAATATAATGATGATATTATTGAAAAAAAGTACAATCGATGAATGTTACTCTTTCTAGCCATCAATCTGTTGATTCTTGAGCATTGTTAATGTTACATGAGTAAATATGAAATCATTGAAGGCCGGTGGAAAATTGAAGAAGCATAATTATGATGACTTCAACTTGCAAGATTTAATTCAAATTGGTGGGACTAGAAGTCAACTTGATTAGTCAAAACGCAAACAATTCAATGATATTTACAGTGAATTTCATGTGCAAAGTACACAGAATGAAAATTGAAAAGATGATGATTGACCATTTCAATTACCCATTCCTTTCAGGTAAATGGCATTTTAAGAATTTTACTCTGAAAATCAGATAAAAACTGGGTAAAAATAACCCCTTCAAACGGATAAATGATTAACTGATATGTTTCTGGTGTAATCATGACATTAATAGCATAAATTATTCCTCGGTCCCCAAGATCAAAGGCTTCAACTTCACAAGGTTTTCTTTCCAAGAGCCAATGGCCTCTAAGGGTGATTCAATTGATTGCTGTGTAAAAAAAGCTTAACAGGCAAAAGCTCTGTAATGTATTCAAAACTTCCTGATGAGTTAGCCACTCAGTTTATCAGTAACATCAGTATCATCTAGAATTATCTCTAGTTGAATGAAGTTAATCGGCCTCGTAAAGAATCCTCATTATCCGATTGAATGACTCTTTTAATGGTCGGTGACTGGTTAAAACTGAGAATTTTTAATCTGCGTCTTTGATTAAAGCATTAAACTCAAGCACATCTGCTCATTGAATTTAAAAGCTAGTCTTATGAAAATGAAATGAATGGACAACCGTTAAGATTTGGGTTCATCATCTGGTTGACTTGCTTTTCAATCTGGTTATGAAAAAGGCAATCAGTTGGCCAACTATGAGAGATATGATTAGAGACAAAACCGATGAATTGTAATCCGAGTCTTGGATATCAAAATAATTAAATAATCCCGATCGATTGTTCTCGTTAAACCAAGGTCCGGTAACGCTTTCGGCGATTTCGTTGGTAAAGTTGATTGTTTGATTCTTGAGAGATGAAAAATCTTCCGTATTGTGCCAGTCTTTCAAAGAGGTCTGGGCTATTTGAAACATTGTATCCAGAAAATTGTTCATCTCGTCTCGAGCATGGACCAGGGATTGAGCACCTTCAGGTTTACATCTTTAATTGGCCATCCAAGAGTTGAAAATCATCATGAAATCAACATTATACCAGCAACAATTAAAAGAGAAGAGAAAAGAAGAAATCGTTAAAAGAAAAAGAAACAGATTAAGATTCAACAATTTTCACTTTGTCATTGAATTTACCATTAAGTAAATCATTTATGGTGATTAACATGATGACGAAGATGAATTAATCAAGAATCATCATTAGCTTTATTCATTGTTTAAGAAAATCATTATTTCCATTTTGTGTTATTTGTTTTTTATTGTTAGGGAAAATTTTGATTCCATAAAGATGCAAACAAATAGCATTTGAATAGTCTTTCATGGTAATAAATGATAATTTAATGAACAATTTAAGCATTTATTAAATTGAATGATCAGAAGTGTTGATAAAGCAAAAGTTGAAAACTAACATTGTAAGTCATTTGTATTTCAATGGACATTGAAACAATGGTCAAAGTGAATAGAGTTCCAATTCCATAGACAATTTAATCAATTCCAATATTTTAAATTCAAGTGTTTTAATTATACTACAGTTGTGTACCTGAAATTTTCCGTCTAATGTCTGAGGGACTCGATTGAATAAACGTTTAAAGCTTTATTAAAATTGATCAGTTTCACCAAATGGACTTTGATGTGAAAGAAATTGAATAATCGTTTCTTCAAATTGCTAATGTAATCTATCTTTAAAAACTCTTAGATTATCTCACCTGTTATAGCCAAATATGGCCACCATGAAAGCTTCAAATCCATATCTCGGATAAGAAATGATTGAAATGAACCTGAACAGAATGGGCATTCCACTGATTCGTGTATAGTAACCCGAAAACAGGATAAATGGAAGCAAGGTGTTGGGGGTTGCAAAGACTGCTGACATTATATCGTGCATAAACACTGTTCCTAAAATGGTCCCATGAGTGGCTGCATTAAAAGAAACCAAAATGTAGATGAAAAGAGCACTGTTATAGCGATCCATCGGTTGTGCCGTGAGGATAAAGATTCCCGTTACCGAGATGAAGTCACACAGTAAAATAAAAGGCAAATCAGCCAGATTACGAGCTATAAAGTAGGACTCAATGCGATACCAACCATTGGCAAACTCCTTACAAAAAAGCTTGGTATCAATTGGGATAATCGCAGACATTGGCATCATATTTGCCAAACAAATCAAAAACAATAACCAAAACAGTGACCCGACATTGTCTTTAGAATCAACAATTTGTTTCTCAATCGAACCTCTGATCTGTTTAATATCAGATATCGGAATATGACTCAAGTCGGGAACACAGCCATCAGCAAGACCTTTATTTGGATACATTAACCCAATAACAAAAACTGCTTGAATGGCTATCACAATCCTCACTGTGGAAGACATTTGATTACGAAAACACAATTTAAGTTGACGAGACATGAGAATCTTGAATTGGCTTAAAAAAGACGCCTCGCTTTGGAAGTAGCTCTGTAACAATGGCCTGGAAAATAAATGCACCGATCCATTTGGTTTCACGTTATTTAAATGATTTGTGTAATTGTCTGAATATTTGTACGGATTGAAGTTGGCATCCATTTTGTTGACCATCTTGTCTAGGACATCATAACCATGTTCCCCGTAAGCCACTTCATTGAGCAAATCAGCGGGATTATTAAACACATCACACTTGACTCCAACCGCTGTCAGAGTTGGAACCACCTGATTTGGTAAACCATGGAATAAGATTTTACCATTGAAGGATAACATGTAAACATCTTGAAGTAGATTAAATGTTCTTGATGATGGTTGATGAATTGTTATTATCACTGCCATTGATGATTCACTTGCTATACGTTGCAACAGTTTAATCAATTGATAACACGAAGATGAATCCAGACCCGATGTTGGTTCATCCATTAACAAAACGTCTGGTTTTGAAACCAATTCTTGTGCAATTGAAGTTCGCTTCTTTTGACCGCCACTAATGGATGAAATACGGACATCGAAACAATCAGTCAAATTGAGTTGATGAGCTAAATGGCCAATCGTTATCGAAGCTTCCTTAACATAATCAGGAAGAGTTGAATATGGCCTTTTCCCAATCAACTTGGAACCAACCTTCAACCCATATGAGTACATCAAAGCTTCTCGGACAGTCAACTGTGAACACAAAATGTCTTCTTGTGGGATAAATGCTTTGGTCACTCTTGATCTTCCAGTCAACCTCAGATCCCCTTCAACCCCTTTCACTCTGATTCCCGCTAAACACTCGATAAGAGTCGTTTTACCCGAACCTGAAGGACCCATTATAGCTGACAATTTACCAGATTTAAAGGTACCATTCAAGTCTCGCAAGATTGTCTTATTTCCAGTCAATCTTTTCTTTCTTTTAAACCGATGGATCAAATTGTTTAAGGGTGACGGGTAAAGGCGATAAGTAAGGTTGAACCAATCAATGCTGAAGTCATTTTTACACTTATCTTGAAATTTGATCAACTGTTCATTATGATTTATCAATTTATCAGTTGTTTCAGAAAAATGAACCAGTTTATGAGAATCCATGGTTGGGTTTATCAAAAAATAACGATAACGCTATGAAACAACACAATTAATCACAATTGATGTATGCATGCACATTTGATTTAAAGTAAAAATAAAACATCAACATCACAATGGAATTTAATTGATAACTTGTAATTTTGTTGCTAATGGTATTTGTTACCTTTTTTGTTGATTAAAAATATTAAATACAAATGTAATAACTGAACTAAGCTTTTTGCAATAACCAGGAGATTTCAATCTCTACTTTACTTTTTCCGAAACCTAAATAATGGATTTCACTTTCACTTCAAGAAAAACTGATTAATCAGCTTATTATTTGAGCTTGATTAATTGTTCAGCCATTAATTCATGCTTGTCATTTACTGGTAAATCAGTTGTTCAATACGTTGCCGTTACAAACCAATGTTGATCTACTCACTAGGCTAAGTACACAAAAATGTTTCTTGTTCAATAAACAGTTACAATTTGAGGCCCAAATTTTGCTGTATTATAGCCTTGAATTTTACAAATAGAGACTCAAAAATACGGTTAAATTGAGTATCAATGAGAAACCATTTCCAATTGATTAACTTACAAATTATGTGACATCAATCAAGCTAAGTAATTCAAATACATAAGTTTGCTCTGCTATAATCAATTTACCTTTCCAGTCATCTAAACAATACCTACTTATCCAACTAATTTAATTTCTACTATTGTCTTCTAATCTAATAATTACAATTATTTCTACCTAATTAACAGGGTAAAAGGGGTAAACGTGTATTGAATTGTAAACATCAACAGCTCAAGTCAACATCAATTTGATTCCAATAGCAAAGTAAAGGGAAAGTCTTTGTCCATTAATCGGTGTTTGAATTCATAATACAAAATAAAGGAATGATAACAAAAACTCGAACGTTTGAATTATGATTTGGGACTTGGTGGGTTTTAGGGGCACAAAAACTGAGTCCTGCGATCATCACTCTTTGACCAATCAATAGATGGACCATAACAATTATCAAAGTTATATCATTGTATTACTTATGTTGTCAGATTTGAGACTGGATTGATAAAGGTAAATGGTTATTCAAACACAAATCTTGATCTGTTAGAAGGATACTCATTATTAAATGAAGTAAATCAGATTTTATTCGGTATTCAGTTAAATATATTCTAGTCCGTAATAAAATCTACTGATTAATCAAAGAATGGTGAATGTAGATGATACCATTATATTGATGTTCAGAGTTTTTAGGCAATGGCCAAAATCAAGAGAACTGTTGATGAATTGAAAAAAGGGTTTTATCGTTGATGTGCATCAACCATTTTCATCGACTAGTAATAAGGTTTAGCTCTCTGACTCTTACGGTCACAGAGAGCGGTCAGTTTAACTGAATATCGAACTAATCTTTTGTACAGAAACAGTAATTTTTATTTCTCAAAATAAGAGCATTTTCTGGTTGATCATCAAAAGTTACATCAGTAAAATGAGTCTCATGAAAAAGTTTGCTTCCATAATTATATAAACAGCGATCGAAGTTTCAACTTGGCCTCTATTTTCTCGAAAACTGTCGATTTGAGAATTTTTTAATAGCATAAATGGACTCAGTTTTTATGCTTCTGCGAACCCACAAAGTCTCCAAGTTTTTTGGCATTACACCATTTTTTTATCAATTATTGTAATTAAACTTATCATTTCCCTGTATTTAGATTACTGAGATTGCATGTTACGTATTATTATAATAATAATAATAATTATTATGAAAATGCCAAAAATTTTGTTAAGGTAATAGATAAATAACGAAATGATAACTGGCGTCAGAATTTGAAATAGATTTGCTTTCATTTGCTTCTGTTTTGAATACTTAAACAGCATCTAAATACAAATTGCAATGATCTTTGGAAAAATTTGGACAACTGTGATTACGGCACCAAAATTGCACTAAATATAAACTCAAGACACCAACATTTGTTTGGCAAAAAAGTGATACTTTAACATGAAGCTGATTGCTGAAAGTTGAATCAAGTGTTTGATAAGTTTGAGCTTAAAACTTGGACATTATTGATTTGAATGACAAAACCCAAAAATGTCAACTTTAAAATGGTGCTTCATTTCAAAACAGGATTCAGGAAAAACATTGTTTTCAATATCACTATCAACATCATGATCATGCTTTTCATATAATTTTATATTAAATCCCCTTTTAGCCTGAATACTTCATAGTCACAGTATCTAACTAATTGTGATTAAAATTCACAATGGGCTTTCCTAGTTCTGCGTTCATTGATAATGGAAACAATAATCAATAGCAATAATCTTTGAATCTTTTGTTATTTTATCGCCCAAATGAGATGTAAATCAAACACAAATAGGTAACAATCAAAGAGAGTAGCCAATAATTTATTAATAATATCTGAAAATCAATAATAATAATGTTATTAATAATATTTTTGTAATAACGTAATAATAATATCGTAAGAGTGAAAACAATTTACATTGATAATGATTATCAAATCAAATATAAATAAGAAATCCGTGGGCAATTCAAACAAAACTTGATCATTTACATTTCAATTGACTTCCATCCCAACAATTATTATTAACGACATATTAATTAATAAAATAGATAATTGTAAAGCAAACATGTTAAACATTTGTTTGTTTATTGCTATTTTCACCAAACTTTTTGTAAGTATATCAGGACTCGATGCTACTCCGGATTGGCTTTATTCATCTGATCCTGACTGTGGTCTGAGTCCATGTCAGTTAATTGAATCTCGTAATTTTATTTGTGAACAACATTATGTAACAACTGACGATGGTTATATAATTAATGTACAACGAGTAGTTAATCCGATTCTTAAAGCAGCTGGGAAAAAAACGATCAAACCAGTTGTCCTGCAACATGGTTTGTTTGGTTCCTCTGTACATTTCTTAGTCAACTCGGCCGGAGGATTTGCAGCTGATTGGACAAATGGAACAGGTTCGGTGGATATAACCACCGAAGGTCGTAATTTGGCCTACTTTCTTTCTAATTTTGGTTACGATGTTTGGATGCCCAATTCGAGAGGCAACAAGTTTTCCAGAAACCATACCAATCTTAACCCAAAAAAAGGTAAACTTTGATTTCTTTTTGTGATCATATTTTAAACTCCACATTGTTTATAATGTTTAATTATTGATAATTATTATTCATAGATCCAAGTTTCTGGAGAATCTCTTTTGATGAAATGATCGCCTATGATTCGCCAGCAGTGATTGATTACATCTTGCAGAAAACTGGATTTGGTAAGTGTTATTAGTGTTTATTATGGTCTATAGCTATGGTCTATCTTAGTGATTAACATTTTGTAATTTTTTGACTGTAAATAATTTCAGAAAATCTCGCCTGGGTTGGACATTCACAAGGCACTTTACTCATTTTTGGACTGTTATCTGAAAAACCTGAATATGCAGACAAGATTAAACCATTTATTGCAATGGCTCCAATAGCTCATGTTACTCACATAACATCACCAATCCGTTATTTAACGGAAATTCCTGGTTTAATGGACTTTTTTTATGTTGCTGGAGGGGAATTGACTGCACCACAGGTTTTACTTGACCTCATGGCTGAACAAGTATGTGGTCAACAGGTTGTCCAACCAGCCTGTGGAAATCTTCTTTTCCTCGTTTGTGGTTATGATGCCGAGCAATTCAACTTCACCCGAGTTCCAGTCTATTATTCGCAAGGTTTGGGAGGAACATCTGCCTGGAATCTTTTACATTTTGGACAGAATATTGTCAACAAAGGATTCCTTAAATTTGATTATGGTGCGCTGATCAACTATCAAAGATATGGAACTTTTGAACCACCAGCTTACGATCTTGGTGCCATTACATCTCAAAATATAATACTTATGGGATCAGCCAACGATGTCTTTGCCGATCCTACTGATGTTGAAACTTTAAGGAAATCTTTGAAAGGTAACTTGATTTTATTTCTGACATATTTAAACTAATTTGACACCTTTTTATATTACAGTTCCTTTCACTGAATATCGAATTGCTGACCAACAATTTAGCCATCTAGATTTTATCTGGGCAAAGAATGTTGTCGATCAAGTTCACAAACCAATGTTGGATATGCTCAAGAAGTTCCAGTAATTTACCTTTGTTGATTGATTTGTTATCCATTTTTGACGTTATCCTTTTACATGGATAAATATTTATCCAACAATCTCAATTATTTAGTTTTTGTTTTTGTCTATTTTGATTCCTAGAATCACTATTTTGTGCATGAATAATCCATCAAAGATAAAATTGTTAAACAATTTGAGCTATAATATTGTAAAAATCTATCTAAATTAATATCTTCTAAGATAATCTGTTGTCATCATTAACAGACTCAATTATTATGTTGACCTGAATTATATCTTTGATATCGTTAAATCACATCAATCTATACATACAATATATAAATAAATGTATCAAATTTTTGCATCAAATTGTGTTCAAACTGAGTGGGCTCTTGTAAGAAAAAAATTACACAGCACGGAAGCCTCATCTCAGGACTCAAATTCCTGAGAAATTCATGAAAATAGAGATTTAGGAGAAAATGCAGAATCCATATTCAATAACATTGAGTGAGGGAAAAGACTTTTTTATCCAGGTTTCTGGTTCATTGTTGGACCAGGATTTTAAAATAGTATATAAAACTTTGTTTTTGAGCAAAAGTAGAGTTTGCTGGAAAAGTCTGGTGCCTCAACTGTACAAAAGGAGATCTAAACTTCAATTTTGAACCCAATTTTGTAAGAACTATCGATCAGATCTTTTATTATCTTTTAGTTCGCAATTTTAGCACTCATTTTTACGAGGACTTAATTTCAAACAGTAAAACAGTTTTGTCAGTAAAAATAATTTTGCAATCAGTCGTTATTGTGAGTCTGCTTGTACTAATAAATGAATTGAAATTAAATCACAAATAAATTTTCATTTTATAATGAAAAACTAGGTTTTCATCAATACAAGATTACAATTAATAAACCTTGCCAAGAAATATAAGGTAACATTACGAAACTGGATGAGCAGATTGATTGAATAAGCAGTGTTAAATTGATCATCTGATGTTTCCTTACAATAACAAAACTAGGATTGATTTCCTTAAATTATTTCATTGTTTTCTCAATATTCACTCTATTATCACCCTTTTATTGTCAATCAAAGCCTATTGAACAAGACATAACTCAAGAATTACAATTTACAATGAAACTTGCTTTGTTTCATTTTAATCTATTATACAAGGCTATTCAGCTAATACAGCTATTTCTTATTAACTGAAACCATTCATGTTACATTCAGTAATCATCCCAAGAGTAATGTTATTTTACATGTTGTTTTCATGATCAATTTGTGAGTATAAAAATCGGGAATTTAAAGATGATTAAAGTAAATCTTGAATCAAAATAATAACTGAGGTTATTTGAAAAATGTGTCAATAGATGCCAGCAGCTTTCCTTTGGTTGAAACATTTCTAATTGTCGCTTAATCATTATGAATTATAATAATCTGAAGTTGATTTAAACAAAAGCTTGTTCATGTGTTGCTTTTACTAGAAACCAATTTCGATGAAAAAATGAATTAGTTGATTTAAAGCATCAGAATAGGATAATTTTCAAGAGTAAATATTGTTCCATTGACGCAATTTAACATCTGAATCAACTTTACTTCATAAGAATCGATTAATTATCTCTATTAACAGCAACTACAGGTAGTTGTGTTTTATTTCAACTTCATGTAAAACATTACATGTAACAAATAAAAATAATTACTGACATTTGACGTAGCAAAATTGATCTTCTTGTTAAAATCAATTTTATCCATATAATATCACTCTATGTACATTTATGGCAATATAACACATCAATACATGTACATTGGTTAATGATAAATGTGTTACTTTTTAAGGAAATTATTGATTATATTGAAATTAAAATCAATTTTGTCATTCTAAATATACTTGAGTTTTAACCTTTTTTGAAGAAAATTAAATTTCATCTCACCAAGCCTCAAGTTTTCTTATGAACGGTTTCATTGAAAATAAATGAAACGGCCAACAAAAAGAAAAATTCAGATCAAGAAGATTAATTATCGGTATTTTTCAAGATAATCAACACCTTGGAAGTAGAAATCAGTTTATTAATCAGTCCAGTAATTAATGTTGGCGATTAACTGAAACTGGCTTGCAACTACAAATGTGTATATTAATAAAACCATTTACGGTCATCCAGGCAGGTTGATACAGGAAAAGCATAGTGAGCTTTAATTACAGCCAATTAACGTCAAACAGCCATGATAATCAATAATTGTTAATAATGGTTACTAGAAGATAGCAAGAAGAAATATTTAATTACATTAATCAACATAAAACATTGAAAACAAAAAGAACAAAAAGAACAACAAGAAAAGTATAAAGCTTAATTTCAATATTAACTATCAACCTGGACAGGTAAAGCAAACATATTAGAGTTAAAGTCATTAAAACTGGGCATAAATATAAACATACAACTATATTAACTATTGCAAGAAAATATTGATTCAATTATTTTGCTTAATTTTTACTTTTGTTTTTTTTGTTCTCTTGTTTCCCAATTTTAACACTAATCAAAAATTAACTTAAACAAGTTTACCAACCTTTGCCATTCATTGGTTACAATTAGTTAACATCATTATATATTAAACTTATCCAGACCAAGAAATTGCATTCCCAATCAACCTGAAATCAAAATTTAATCACACTAAGGTTAGTTAACTATTAATTATGTGCAAGTTTATTATAATAAATATCATTTTACCTTTATTCATCTATACATGCATACGATATGTGATCAAATAGCATCAAATTTAGTGAAAATTGTGACCAAACCAAGAAAATTTTCACACAGTCTGGAAGCCATGAACTATATATCCGAAAATAGCCAGAGCTGAATCAGAATTCAGGTTACTGAGAGATTTTTGGTTCAGGTTGATTCAGGTTGATGGTTTATTATTGGATTAGGCGTCTGGATATTTAAAACCGTCTTTCGAGTGGATCATTGATGGTGCCAAAATATCTGGTGCCAATCAAATTCAACCATTAGTTTAGATTCACAGTTGATTTTGAGTTTCTTTTCAAGACTAAGTTAATCATCATTAAATCATAATTATCAACATTGCTTCTGGTCTAGCTTCAATCTAATTTAAAGGTTAACCTGAAGCAAAAACCTTTTGACTTGTTTCTTGTTAGATGCTCATGAGACTGAAATTTGACCATTTCCATAAGAGATACTTTGCACCAAAGATGACCATTCTTTGGTGAATTGAAAGTATCATGTTCAATTCACGGTGCAACATGCACTTGATTACAATCTGCTTTTTACATCATAAGCCACCTTCAAGTAAGAAATAATTGTTTCAAAGTAAATCATTTCCTCGATATGCTTTATCCAATATCTTGTAAGAAACATTCCTTGATTCATTGAATACATTTGAAGATACTAAAGATGATATGATCAAACTGTAAATTAAGGAAAAGATAAAAAAGTTAATATTTGTATTGAAAATTGTGTTTGATATTTTATTTATTATTTATTAGCATTAATAAATTCAAAGATTAACACTTTACCTGATTTATTTGACAACGATATTATTGATAATTGCCGCTCTCAATTGTAATTGAGAGGGAAAACAATCAACGTTTTAATTGCAATCGGTAAATACTGTGCATGGTTACAAATGCTGATCGATGCAATGATTGTCTTGTCCGTTGAATCCAAGCTCACCGATGATGATACCAAATTTATCAGTTTAATCGTCATGAAAAATGGTAAAAATCTTTGATAAGATAATGTTGTTATGGTGGACCAGAGAAGCAATTTAAACATAAACAGAAATTGAAAACAGGACTGAAGATTTCATGGTTGGACCAAAGTTGTTAATCATAATCGATTAATCCAGTTTCAAGGATAACATTCATCTAGAGTGAGAAAAAAATATCAAAAACAGAGAAGTAATAATATTAAAAAAAAGTTAAAAGAAATAACGAAACCTTGAAAGATGAAAATCTAATGTAAAAGCTTTACATACATTTGCTTATAATTGTAATTATTGTTGGGTAAACTGGTGAAATAGTTAACCATCATCAGTAAATTGATATGTTACTCTCCAATTTGAACCATTTGAATCCAGATTCAGGCAGCACTGGTCCATCTAATATTTTCAAAACAAAAGGTAACCAATTATTGAACCTCGGGCAAACTGTTAATAAGCCCACAAATTTCACTTATTGTTTTTTTATTACCTTTTTATTGTAAAAAGGTAAATAACGATCATGTTGATAATGATGTTGAGCATGATGATCATCTTGATGATTCCTCTTTTCCGCCTCGCAACAGATAAAAACTCATCAAGTAGCATGTAATATGTAATGTTTTAATAAACTCACTAATACCAACGTGTTAACTTGCTTAGTCGGAGGCCATTGGGAATTAATGGTTGACCCATGCTGAGTTTAGTTTTGTGTTTTTCACTTTTTTTAAAGATGATCAAGAAGGAACCCAGAAAATCATTATCCATTCTCTCCGAGGTGGTCTGATTATTGCAATCCTCTCATCATCATCATCAGAGATCATCATTTTATCCTCTCCTGTTTCAGCCATAAAATTTGCCTTTGTTTCGGTGGATAATCAAAATTTTCAGTCGCTGTTAATAATTTTAAAACTGACTTAATATCATTTTTGTTGCCCAACATTTCGAGTTGATAATTAAGGCAGAGAATTAAAATAAAACATTTATCAAAATTGCTGCTCATCTTTTTTTTACTATATCATTCTGCTTCTGATTCCTTGTAGGTTAATTATTTTTGCTCACTGACTTCTTTGCATAATTGATAAAACATTTATGATCAAAAATTGAAAATGATTTTGTTGAATAAGCAGAAAAATAATCATGAGAACGATGACTGGGAAAGAATGCACATCGATTTATCATACACCGAACTGCTGTTTTAACCTCAACTAAATTAAAGATGTTGTAATGATGTGATGATGATGTTGTTGATGATGAAAGACAAATGATTGGATGAAAAGTAGGAGGTTCATTGAATATATTTGCTTATCATTTCCCTCAGACTTTATTATTGATTGGCGATTTCACACTGGAACCTGATGAAAAACAAGAAAAACGATTTGATCAGAAAAAAATCACACATTCAATCTCATCTGTCAACTTACACTAAATTAACAAATATACCAATTGAGCAGTCAAATTAACAATTGAAAGCAGCCGTGATTAATAAAATTGCCAAAAATTTACTTTGAAGACAGAATGAAAAGTCCAGCAATCCTTTATGTAACAAATGAACGGTATAATTCATGACAACCTGAAAAGATTAGAAGAAAACGATGAAAATTAGTTTATGCTAAGATCAATATTTCCGGATAATTAATACCCTTAATGTGATTAGTTTGGGAATTAAAATTTGACGGAAAAGACAGAGAATCAAGACAAAAAAGTAAGTTAAGTTTTTTTTTCATTAAAACTGCCTTAAGGGGTTAAGTAATAAGTTATTACAGAGGTTTAGTTTGCCTAGAAACAAGCAAACCAATGGACAACCAAATAACTAATGTTGCTATCAATTAGTTACTAAGATGATGATGAGAAAGATGATGATTATGATGAAGATGAAGTCTTTTTTCTGCATGGTTACAAGGTAATCTTGACCGCCCTGGCTCACAGTAATTAGCAAATTAAAAGTTAAACTCAACATGGTTTTCAAGATGATGATGAGCATCCTGAAAATCATTGAGTAAAATGTAGCTTCATCCTTTACTTTCACTTGTAACCATCAACCTCTAACAAACTCTCATTCATTATGATTACCCTGAATTTCATAATCATTGTGATTAGCAATTTCGTTCTTCATTTATCTTTTTAACTTGAATTTGACATTTAATGGTAAATAATTGTCTATATATGTTATTAATAGCGTGTTTTTCAGTGAAAAAAACAGTCAATTGTTTCTAATTGTTCATGTTTTCCCATTGAATTTTGCAAAATGAAACTTGACACTCGTTTATAATCAAGGTTAACTTTTTGTTTACCTGACATTTTCACTGGGAATTAGTCATGAATACGTCAATTAGTTTTGTTAAATTGTCTCAAAAATATACCAGAACGATCTTGATTACTTTGTAACAAACATTTATAAATGTAACTATAATTTACATTACAATTTATGCTACTGAATATGTTATGAATAGCTTATTATGGTTACGCTAGCAAATAAGTTAGCCAATAATAACTGTAAATTAATGATTATTGCTGTTATTTGAGATGAGATAATAAAAAAAGATGCAGTTTAAATCAAATGAATGTAATTAAATTCATCTTTTTGGGTTATTCGCTTTCAAGGTTGAGTTAAATGTATTACAAGTCGTACAACAATTGTATTGAATGGGTAAAAATTTAAATTACTTGAAATATATGACATGATTTCAAGTAATATAAATAAAACACCAATGTTTAAATGTACATAAATCAATTCAATGGTACAAACAAATGTCTCAATTAGAAACAGAGTTTCTATCATTTCTTTTTCTATAGCTTTAAGTGTGCAAAACTTGTATTCACAATTAAAGTAAAGTGAAAATGATCAAACTTTGCTCAACCAGAAATAATGCATTATCAACAGTAATAAAGAGATGAGCAAAAGATGACCAGCTATGAAAATGGATCTCATCATGAAATGAAAGTGATTACTGTCTATAATTCCAGTCAAATCTGATTTGTTTGGTGAAAACAGGCGTCCGATGTAACAGCAATCAAATCACAATAGTTACCAACGAGGTTAAGTTGATGGTAAAGAAGAGAAACTAATGGTAACCTTAACCCAACTTTGTTCAACTATAAAAGTTGACTCTTCAGGTTTCATGCGTAAGCTGTTAAGATTCAACTTTTTCAGCTCACTTCACCCTAGATATTTTACAGTCTCTCCTCTATCATCCATTTACTCACTTATTATCGTCTCTATGCTCACTGACTCTCACTCTTCTATCATCTTGAATAAAAAAAATCACACATGAAAGTTTCCATTTGAAAAGAATCAGCCACTTTTCCTTCGTCAGTTGAATGTTTCAGCTCAAATCGAAACCCAAACACTAACCAACCAAATAATCCTGTTAATGTGTCTTTAAATATCCTCGTTAACTCTCTTTATCTGTATGTCCTTAATGTAAATTAATGATATTGATATTTTCGTTAAAAACCCAGTCTCATCATTGCCATCACCACCATTGATTGATCTTCTTTTAATAGCCAATTACCTATTAGGAGCAAAGAAAGAAATTAACAAATTATAAGCAAAAATTATGCTATAATAAATACTTATACCATTTAATTAATAATTAATAATTAAACTTACCAGACAAGCAACATCAGACGACATATCATTGAACTTCAAATTGAACTTGTTTCTATCCAAAAATGGTTTTTTACAGCTTTTTTCACGTTAATTTAATTCACCAAATATTTTGACACAAATTAAATTTACTAAGGAAACTACAAAATTAGACAATTAAATTAGTAATTTAGTGTAAATTAGATTATAACAAATTAAAATATAAACAAAGACTACTGTTAATTTTTATGCAAAACACACTTTGAACCAGCCACTTGCTTTACGAAGAGAAACAAGCGGTAAAATTGAAGGGCCGGTCTCCACATTACAACTTGCCATCTTTATTTTGAAAATTGTTTCTTCAATTTTTTCAATTATTTCAATCAATTGCACCTAATAGAGGGTTTACAAGCTGGAGGTGGTGGTGGTGACTGTTATAAAAATTGATCACTGGATGGAAAAGTGATGAAGTCCTCAACAATCTTATGGTTTCTCAATATTGGGACAGCTAATGGTAAAACATTTCTATTGTTAACCCTGGTTCTAACCCGGTTCACTGTTATTGGTAAGACTACATTGGATGCTGGTAAAATTTCTGGTGCTAATCAACATTACCATCAACATCATCATTACCACCACCAACATAGCCATCATTCCCATCATCGTCACCACCACGAGATCACAAGTTCACCCAATCAACATCACCATGAGAAAAAGCTGACCCACAACCAGGAGATTGATCCTGTAAAGCAAAATTTGGTCAACAGTGATAATGATTTAACCTGTGTTAAGTGCTCCTCTTTTGACCAAGATTTGTTTATTAAGTTGAAATTAGAGGCAATTAAGAGCCAAATTTTATCTAAATTACAATTGAAAAGTCAACCCAATGTAACTTCACAATTACCCAGAGAACTGGTCTTGGAAGCTCTAAAAGAATCCGAATCTAATCTATTCCATCAAGGTGTTATATCATCACCTTCCACAACAGCCATGCTATCTCCAATAATAAAATCATCAAAATCATCAACCACCTCATCTCATCCATCAGTACATTCACGTTCATCTTTAGCCTCATCTGTTCCAAGTTCCCATGGATATACCCAGTCACTTTCAAGTCAACCTCAAGCTGGAAAAGGTCTCAAGTCTAATGAATATACTGAATATAATAATGATAATTATGAATCACCCGAGACAAGTGATGATTATTATGGAACTACATCGGAAATTATTACCTTTCCTGAACCAGGTAAGTCTATAGTTTTTTTAAATATCGTAAAACCAAGCTATTATTAGCATAATTTCATTATTATTTTGACCTTATCCAAACCAAACAGGCAACCTTTAAATCTAATTCATTGCATTTCCTAATGGAATTAAATATCAACTAATGAACGTGAATTTGATTTATTAAGGCCTGTAAGACATGATAATTAAAATTTATTACTTACTTAGGGAATAAACATGAAAAATAAATTATTACGATATGACATTCAAATAAATACAATTGTTGAACCCTTTTCATGCCTTTCTATTTTCAACCCTTCAGACAACTTAACTGAACCTAAAAATATGAGAAACACCGAAGACTCCCTTTAAGTGTGTTATTACCATTTAATTATAATAGTAGCAATCAAACTAGTAATTATTTTATTAATAAATCTTAAGATTAAACAATCCAAGATAGTTTGATGAACAAAGATTCTTCCTAGAAAATTGATTGTATTCCTGAAAATCAAGTATTTCCAAAATTCTGTAAGTTTCACCAAACAGAGGAACTATTGTTAAAAATAATGCCGATTTATTGAGCTAATTTACTGATGAAAATGCAGTATTGACTCTGAACAATCAGGATGAAAATGAATAAAAAAGAAGGCAAAAATTGTAAAATTGATGATTAAAGACAAATGATGCTGATTGTGGTTAAAAACGAGTGGTTAAACCAGAATTAGACCTTGATTGAACACTATTCATATTCATGTCACAAGAAACAAAAATTAATGATTTTCTTATTATAATTAGAATTTCGAATTCAAAATTATCAAATTAATTATTTCAAGTAGTATTTTATTATCAAGTGAACGGTAAATTATTACATAAAAACCATTGTAACCATTAAAAGCTACAATTGGGAACATCAATTCTGTCCAAAGAATTTTAAATATTGTTCAACATGAAAATGCCATGAAAAGGGTTAATTCAGGTAATTAATATGCGATGATCAATTAATTGATTGAAGGTGAATAAACTACTTTAGGTTAGTTTTAGTCTCCAACAGCTGAACATTAGACAAAATAGACTTGAACTTGACAATGGAAAATTGAACTTCCATCAACATTTCAACAATTTAGGTTCAATTTTTTGCTTGATATGGTTAATAGCATTGCCTTTTACAGTCGTCTGATCAACCGCAAGGTAAACCTGGTTAAAGACCTAAAAGACTACTCGAGCCAAAAAATTATACAATTGATTGACGGCGCAATGTTAGGTTGTGTCTAGTGGTCAAACCCAAAAAAAAGAAACATGGAAAATGCCAGTTTTTAAAATATCATTGATTGTTGAATCCAAGTTACTGAGTCGTGTAAAGAAATACAATTTTTTATGTCTATAACAGGTTTACTTGATATTGCTGTCTTGGCTTGTCTAGTCTTGTATGTAAAGGCAGGTCAATGAGGGTGAAGCTTTAAAAATTTAAATATTTCCAAAATGTAGAAGGAAAACAAAAGTTAAAATGTTACAATTTTTTATTTGTAATGCATGGTGTTTTGATGGTTTCAATGAATCTGTTTCAGGGTAATAATAAGTGGTTAAAGTGATGCCTTGATGGACGAGTTGTAACGAGTTAGTTTAAGATGAAAATCATCCACCTCTGTCAATCTCAGCTTTAACTAACGTAATACAAGATGATGAATATGATGAGTGATGAAATTACATGGAGACTGGACTGACTTTGAAAACTGGTTAACAAGTAGTGTTAGACCAAATTAAATATAATTGAGGAGATTAACCCTAAAAATTGAAGATAAATTATTGAAAATTGGGTTGGGTTAATTGATGGTTAACTGTTGAAGTTCAATTTAACTCTCGTCTATTAATTGTGTCTACAAAAACCCAGACAATCAGGTTAATTTCAGACTCATTTCTATGTCTATTCATTCCAATTCATTCCTTAATTCATCTTCCATATAAATCATTTACCATTATTTTGTTCCGCATTTTTTGCCTAATTTGTCCAAATACACAGTTTAACCATTATTTATGTGTTTAATTGTTAACTGATATTAGTTAATCTAAAGGCTAGAGCAATCTATTCTCAGTTGATTGTTCAGCAAAAAGGATATTTTGTATCTTCTTGATATTTCCTTATGATTTCATCGTCTATCTGGGTGACTTCAGTTGATGTTGTTGTCAATTTGCTTTGAATCTTGATTAATATTATCAAGGGCGTGTATCTGTTATTAATTAATTGCAAATTTGGCAAAACAAGCAATTGATCAAGAAATGGTAAAATTAAATCACCCTGTTTATTTGTTCAAAGTAAAATTTAATGTTGATTATAACAAACAACATGTAATAAGCTTGAGCTTTTTTTGTGCCATTTTTTTGTTGTTGATCATTTTTACCTTCACTTTTTTTTGCTTTCCAAATGCATAATTAATAATTGCAATAATTACTATTACTATATTAACTTATTATCATATTTAAACCGCAATTTGATTGATTATCATCTCAACTCACCGGGAAACCGCATTTATTACAATCAATTTCACTTCCATTTTTCACTTACTTTAAACATTTCACTTCAACATTGACTATTTCTTTATTAGAGCTCATAATTAACTTTAAATATCCAAATAATCAATTTCATTGAATCAATCAAAATTAAAATAATCCCTGATAAGTTAAACATAAAACAAATTGCAATGCCTTTCAAAATTTTTCAACATCAAACTGAATCAGTTTAAATGGTTGCCTTTAACTCATTGTGATTTAGAGGTTATAATTGTTCAAATCAAACAATTTTAATTTTATATTTAGACGATTAAATCAACTAAATCCTGAAATGATTCCCGGCAGGTCAATGGTTAACAAATTGATTCACTTTTTGTGTCTCCTTTTGGACAAATATGATTAATTGATTGCTTCTTTTACTTCGATAATTACCTTTGATGATGTAAAGATGTGACCATTCAATGGTTGGTTTGTTTTATAAATAAAAAGTCCAGAAAAGGGTTCAATAGTGAGACTTGATTCATTTTTGGGTGAAACAGACAAGAAAATGAATCTGAAAAAGGTCAATGTCATCTAGTCTGGAGTCACACCTAAACTTTCACTCTTTGCTGTTTGGGTTAACATTAAATGGTTAAGATTGTTAAAACGAGAAGAAAAGTAATCATTTTTCAATCAATAATTTACTGATTCTTTCTTTGCAAATCAACACAATTAGCTTGACATGAAATGGAAAATGTTGATTGTAATTTGTTAGGAAAACATCTGAAAAAATTACTTCAAGTTCATGAATTTGAGCTCATCTAATTGTTCCTGATTTAATTTGATATTCTTGATTCAGAATGGAAGTAATTTAGGTTGTAATTCAAATCTAATGAAACATTTAACTTTTCAACTTCGAGATTCTCTATGCAGTCTCACTAGATGTCACTAGTTTACCTCAATTTTGGCTTAATTTTTTCTACATTTTTTTGTCAATTGTTTTTGATGGTTTCAATGTTTTTAATTATGACTCGGTTTATATCTTTTAATTTATTCAATTTTCAAGAGATTTTTGATCAAATTCAAAGTCAGAACTCAGTTATTGGTGAGAGAAATACTGAAATGAAATAAGATTCAAAAGATTTGCTGTCGTAAGTTTTACAAATGTGTACAATTCCACTTATATTTTTATCTGGTGTCTAATATATGGTGTCTAATACATGATATCGTTAATACTTGTGATAAATAAGCCTGAATATCTTGAGAAATTGTTTGGCTTGTTATTTAATTTGTTACTTTTCTGCATCTAATGAGATATTTCTAATTAAAATTACCGTTTTTTTCTCTTCTTTTGCAGGGATGAAAATCAATGGACATACGCTACTTGAATTAACCCCACCAAGTAATAACATCAATTCACTAGAGGTCACATCAGCAAGTTTATGGATTAAATTGAGACCATGGGATTCAAATAAAAGTTCAAAACAATCGTCGGAAAACCATAGTATTAATATATTTGTATTTGCTGTTCGAAACATATCAAAAGATAGGAAAACTGTTGTAAGCAATAATGAAACCTTTGCACCACCGTCATCATCCAAATCACCATCATCAACATCATCCACATCGAATATTTATTTTGAACAGATTGTTAAGAAAAAATTGTCTGTATCGCCAGGATGGAAACAGATTGAGATTGCAAATGAGATACAAAGATGGTTTTCATCAGCATCAACAGCTAAAGATAAGTTGACTTTAATGGTTGACTGTTCAGGGTGTGAGGGTAAAGTTAGATTTGTACTTTTTGATTCCAACAACTCACCCAACAGTAAATCAAGCAAATCAACTAAATCAAAACAGTCTGGTAGCAACTCAAATAAAACGAACGGAAAAGAATGGAAAACACGAAATATCTCAACTAAACAGTCACATTCTTCGTCATCTTCATCTTCAACTTCAACTTCGACTTCTACATGGTCAGGATCTCAATTCCGTCCTTTTCTGGTTATCAATACTAAACCTAAAACCGTTAAAAGGATAAAGCGAGATAATTTGCCAACCTGTGATACCGATTTCAAACACTGCTGTAAACAATCATTATACGTCAATTTTACCGAATTAGGTTGGGACAATTGGGTTATTGCACCACAAGGATATTATGCTAACTATTGTTACGGCGATTGTACCAAACCATTGAAAACACCCGATGTATTTGCTTATTATCATGCCTATATAATCGATAGATTCCGTCAGGTTAATCCATATGCTTCCATATCACCATGTTGTGCACCAACTCGTCTCTCAGCCATGTCATTTATTTACATAGGACCTAGAAGTAACATAGTTAAAGCTGATCTACCTAAAATGATTGTTGAAGAGTGTGGCTGTGCTTGACAGATCTTATCATTCATTTTCATCTTCATCTTCATCACCATGATCAATAGAATCACCATCACGATAAACTATTGTCATTTACATATCATTATGTTCATAACCTGTCATAACAAGTCTCATCCTCAACAGTACTTGATGCTTCTATTTCCTATCCAATTTAACATCATCATCATCGGATTTCTTGGTGACTTTAGAAGCTGTTAAAACTGAATCAGGAAAAGATTTTTTCTGAGATGGATGAATACATGATAGCATAGACTTCTTTAATCAATAATTATAATAAATTAAATTTAAAAAGACACTTAGGATTTGCTAATTATAGATGAAAATAATGATTTCCCAGGATTGAACCACAATTATATGGAAAGAAAAATTGAACGAAGACAATAATTACAACAAGATTGACACGAACATTTTAAAATCAGACATCAGAGTTTTACGATTGATTATGACGACGCACATTTGGTGACATAAAAAGACAATATTACCTGACTAATTTTCAACATAAATGACCACAAGAAATGACACCTTGCAGCACTTTTCCTTCATTATTAAGTGATAATCAAACTATTGTTGAGAGCAGTTTTGTCTCATCTTTTTTTCATCATTCAATCAACCAATTTTTGCAAATATGCTTGTGATTGTATTAATAGTTCACCCAGTGAACATAATTTAGACACTTATCCTAACTTTCATTTTTCATTTTAGGATCAGATGAATTAATTATTAATTATAATCAAGGCCAGAGCATTAAATGCTCATTACATTATGGACCAAAATTTGTTAGCTTGTGACTTAAAAAGGTAATAATCAAACTGATGGTTTTACCTGAAAGGCTAATCACAATTTGAATAAGTGGCAATATTAATAAAGCAGTGATGTGTTTACAATTTTAAGATCAAATTTTGTTTAACTTATTCACTTTTGTGCAAAGATCAACAAAAGTTGCGATAATAAAGACAAATTTATCAATTTTCCACTTTCCTTTCATTAATCAAACCCCAATCATTACCAATTTATGAATCAATTTAGTATATGTAAGATAATTAGAAGCGTAATTCATTAATTGATTGCCATATTCAATACATTCAAGCAACATTCAAAGCATAAGGAACTGATACAAAAAGTGTTTTTATTTTACCTTTTTTAATCGATTTTCAGTTGAATGTACAAGATTTATTACAGGGGCGAGAGCATTCATTATGAACAGGGTTGACACAAAGTGGGAACACAAACACAATTAACAAATGAAGTAATTTAAATTAACCTGGACATATTGACAAAGCTTTGCATTGTTTCATTGTTTACTTCAGCTGGTAGTGAAATCCGTTACAACTTCAAACGAGTAACTTTTCCTTGGTTTCTGAGTTAGGGTCAGCATTTATTCCGTTTATTAATCAATGGTATCCATGACATGAACTGTATCCCATGTGAGGAAGGCTGTGATAAGAAGAGAAAAGAAGACACAATTAAAATCTATTTCTAACTGGAAGGCAAACATTAAAATCACGGTTACATACTAGATTGGATATGGGATTGTGTGTTGATGATGATTTCCACTCTGAGATCCCATCAAATAACCAAGGATCAATCCTTCACGATACTTTCTGGATGCTAAACAGACAGAAGCACCGATAAAAATTAACACAATGATTAAAGTAATACTTTTGTGAAACATTTTCAATTATGAAGCGTTAAAAGTGGCGCGTTGAGGAAACAGTTGATTGAAAGCAATATATCGATTGACAAAACTTGAGGTTACTAAAATTTCAGCTGGTTAGACAATCGTTTTTATATTGTTTTTCTGAGTGAGTTAATTAATTTTTATTTTGTACCCAAATCAAAAATTGGTGTCTATTATTTTAACCAACAAGGTTTTAATAATGAATATGCGGCTAATAATCATCTTATATAATTAAACATCTAATAACTTACCTTATTGACCTGGAAATGGGGTATCGATAAAGAGTCAACCCGCAGTTGAAACACTTAACCAGCCTTACATTAACCATTTTAGATGTAAACTATTGTAAAATCATTTCAATTAATCCAACACATTGATCATTGATAGGTTCATTAACTGTTGGTTAGACCTTAATCCAGATTTGAACATCAACGGTAAATTGTAATTGTAAGCTCAACTTCCGTACCTAATCATTACCATTTGTTAGATGATTAGGTTATAATTTTGTTTCTTACATTTTGGTAGTCTTTTATGTTCCCCTTACTAATGGGTTATTGAAAAAAAATGATCATTAATAGGGTTTATTGTATTAAATAAAGACTGTATTTAATCAAAATCAACTTTCAACTGTCTAATTGTTATCCTTTTCACCAAAGCATCTTCAATATTCAACCATTTTAAAGGGTAACAAATCATTATCATTATCATTATCACAGTAAAACATTAACACTTTTAATATTATTGTTTTCGATGTCATTCGGAAGTTATAAAATGGTTAAATTGTGGTTACAAAGTCAACCCGTTAAAGACAATTGAAGCAATTATTCACGCAACAATCCAAATTGATCTCAGGCTCACCATCTTTGGCTTTTCATGCAAAACTTTGAAATAAATTGACACAAAATTTGATTGAAAAAACAGGTAACATATTTATAATTTACTTTAAGATGATTTTTTAGAAAAAAATTATCTAGAATCAACATAAGAGACATTAATACTGGATTAAATCAAGATTTACATACCAGTCAAACTGTTAAAAACATGAAGATGATTATAATATGTTATTGACTGTTTAGTTTTGATTTGATTATTAAAAGATTTCAAATATCAACCATCTTATTGTCAAAATGATACAAAAAAATGAACAAAACAAAAAATATTCTTCATTGAATAAATTGAAATTGTTTTTGGTTTACAAAATAGTCTTTTTTCAATGTGATGATGAATGTTTAAAACTTATGTTTTTGTCTTTATCAGTATTAATTATTGTGATTCTAATGGCGATTTTACATGAAATGAAAAGATTTCAAATCAACCATTTGATCTCTTTTTCAAATTTAACAATAAGTATTTAACCTTCAAATGAAGTCAATAAATACATAAATTAATAAATAATACAATGAAATAGTAATAATGATGGGTGTAAGAATGATTTACGAAGAGGTTTTCATGGGTTCGATTGTATAACCGATTATTAAAAGCATTTGAAAACTAAAAGAGGATAAGGAAGAGGTAAAAATGGAGGATGGAGAAGATAAGGAGGGAAAAATAATGTGTGTTGAGGCTCATCTTCCGGCTGGTAATATCACATTTCCGTTTCAACCTGTCTATTTAATATCAACAGTTATCTTTATCATAAGAAAGGTTTGATGTCTTTATCATATTTAGTCTTTTTTGTCTTTTTTTTCATGAATTTTTTGTTTGTTTTGAAAACGTCCAATGAAAGAGTAAAGGTTTCTGTCTTGTCTTTTTACAATTGGATTGACTCGCCTCAAAGGTTATCCTCAGCTAATCTACAGTAATTTGAGAACTTTATTTATCTGTTTCCTTGGTTGATGTTTCATTTCACGCCATATTGGTTGGCCTATCACAGTATGTCCAATATGACGATCTTTCCTGGATCCTGAAGGAATCTCTGGACTATCGGGAGATGAAGGTGAAGATAGGGAAGCTGTAATGGGGTCCGTTGATGATGAGAGAACCACTAAGAATGCTGTTTCTTCTGGGTTTCCCTGGGCTAGGTCAAAGGTGAGAGCGTCCTTTTCGGTCCAAGTTAACTTCTGGCTTGTTGAAGTTTTCTTCTTTTTCATCAGTTTACCATTAACGAACATCAAAGCACGAATATAATAATCTGGTAATGCCATTGAACCAAAATTAAACCAGAAAAGGGGATGTTTAAAGAGTGTAAAGGATCATTTCAAAAGACGTCATTCCAATCAGTCAAGGTAAATTCAGCAAAGGGGAAAAGGTTGGAGATGAAATAAAAAGGGAAAAAATATAATTAGAACTTCAATTTTGCTTTTTGAAATGTTGCCACTTTTTCTTCTGGTAATTGTCGATTATCGTGGACAACGACCGGGCAGATCGCTCAATTGTGAAATGCCAAAATTCGTTGATGACGATAGATGTTTTAATTGATCAAATACTTACTTATGTTATGCGATTGACTGAGAAGTGATGCTTTATTGACAAGTATCGTTACCCTTCGAGCTGTTGGTAGATAACACAATCCCAAAGTTAAATCACCTTTAGTCTAAGACGTCATTCAGTTGAAATAATAGCAATGAAACACCATAAGCAACCAAAAGAGCGTTTATCGGATGAAGTGAAGGACGCAATGAATGGTGAAAATTGAACAAGAAAAAAATATAAGGGTTAATTCAATGGAAAACACTTGGGGAAAACACAAATTGCATGTTGAATCAACTGTTAGCGTAAATCAAATTTATAAGTCTACTTGTTTTATTGCAGCTATTATAATGTAATTTTGATAGAATTGAAGAGGAAATTGAGAGACAAGAAATTGGCTAATAAAATTGGTCTTGAAATTGGTTCTTCATTAAATCATTTAGGTCAGATAATAGTTTAATCAATCTTACCTCTTTAGGTGGTTTCAGTTGATAGGATGTTATTGCCATAGGAGAGTTGAGATCAAATTGTTTCAATGGTATTGTTAGTTCGCCGAGGCAACAATCATTGGCATATCTTTCATCATCCATAACTTTGATCCTGAGACGGCCATCTTTCATAACTGATTTAGGGACCTCTTGAGATGTGAAAGATTCACCAAATTCAGGTTCAACCGATCTTTTCGCAGTATTTGTTCGAAATGAAGCTGATACCTTTGCCAAATTTGATCGACGTTTTACTCTTAAACCGTTAACTATAATAATATCAATAGAAACATAGACGGAAGGTTCCAAACCATACTCTCGAGGTTTACAATTGATAACTGAATCAACCTTGAGCACAAGTTTAACCAGCGAGTCATCAACTTTTTCACAAGCAATGCCCAACAACACGCTAGGAGTAAGATCTTTCAGGCCTTCATTTGCCAACATGAGTGATTGAGTGTTTGTTGATTTGGCTCCTGGTTGAGGAAGTGACATGGCTACCAGAACACCATTGGAAGGCTTTACCATTGACCCATTACTATAACTGGGTGGCTGTTGCTTGTATAAGCCATTGGAATCTGTAGTTAAGAGTGATTCTTTTGATCCAAGATCAAGATGTCTACTGTCTTGATTAAAAGAGGCTAAATTATTACTTGACTTTTCAATATTAGATCCATACAAAGGAACCACTTTGAGCTGAAAATGTTTTGATTCGCCGATGACCAGCCTTTGTTTACCTTTAACATCGACTGAATGTCTCTTACATCGACCAAAGAGAAGTCGATTGAAAAGGCAAACTGGTGAGACAACACAAACGGTTATTATGACGGACAAGAGAAATAATAGAGCAGCAACCAATATGATGAAGATCTTCTGATACTCAGTGAGGACAAAATCAACCTCATTGTAATCTGTTGTTGGGCCCATCTCTGGAGATATCTGGTTGTTGATTGGCAATCGCATTCACTGACTGAATGAATGACTAGTTTATCGATTTGTTAGTCAAAAATAAGCAGCATTAATTTAATGGATAGGACATACGACATTGTAATTATATACGATTGAGTATAGACACGGCTAGAGTACATTGAGTTAAAGCATAACTTTCTTTTTCCATCAAGTACCACACAAAAATTGATTTCCTTGGGACCAACACAAAATTAATAATCCACTGTGAAATATCCTTTAATGGTGATGATGATTACTTCGAAGAACTAAAATCAATTGAAAGGTTCAATTAAGATTGGAAACAATAATTGATGTGCCTATGATAGAAAAAAAAGAGATAAAGAAAAACATAAAACATTATGAGTTAGTAATGATGATGCAGATGACTCGTAATCACATGTTTATTGTCTTTCTATGCTTTTTGCAAAACCTTGTCTTTCAATAAGCTGAATCAACAAGTAATTTATTTAACATTTTGATTGACTATTAATTAACATTTACAAGCAGATGGATGCGAACCTTGTCTAACCTCATCAATGTCTATCTTTGGTGACTTTTATTATCATTTGTTGAAACCATTGGAAATCAAATCAATTCACAGTTCATCTTTTGATTTTGTCTGTTGAATAATTTTTGGTGTGTCTTTTATTTTTCATCGTTTGATTAATAGCATCTATTTATAGTTAACCGACAAGTGATTCTATAACATTTTATGGTAAATAATTAGTCATTTGATCGCTGGTTAAATTGTAATGTAAACATTTCATCGAAACCATTTTCCCTCCATTTTTATTGGTTTTCAAGTCTCTCTAATTGTTTTCTCTCATTATTTTCAACTGTGACTCAAAATGGATATCCTGGTAATCTTGATAATCTTGATAACCAACCTCTGGTTCAAACAAACTCTGACTCAATTTAACGGAAAATTGGGATTTGTTTAAAGTCAAGTCTTTGGATACAATATTTGGATTGCTACATTGGAGCTTCTCTATTCTTTAAAGCTGCAACATTGGCTAATCCAAATTTTGAGATACTTCATCTGGTAAGTAAATAACCAGAATTTCATTGTTTTGATAAGATTTTTGTGAGGTTGACCATTCATCAACCTTTCTTCTTTTTATAGAAATATTTGAAAGAAATACTGACAACTGAAGGATTCAATATAAAGCTGGAAATCTTAAGTTCAAGGTACAGGTTAAATTTTGATACCTGGATGACAATGTGGAAACCTGATGCGTCATTAATGAAGCAACTGCTTAAAAAACATCTGTAGTTAGCTGACAACCGATATTTTTCTCAATCGATCACAATGTAGTGAAATAATCACCAGCACTCATGGTGAACAAAGCCTATGTAATTTTTGATGTTTGCTGTTAGCTGATGATATCATTAAATGTAAGTGTCAATGGATTATCGCCTATTTTTGCGCTACTGTTTATAATAATACCAGAATTTTATACCAGAATTACGTTATTTAAGGTAAGTGTATACTTTTTATACAAAAATAACACATTCTGATATCTTCAAGTTGAGAAAAAGATTATCAACAACTTTTGTTGACATAAGTTGATAGCATCACGTTGCAATAAATGACTATTCAACCCTGTCAGGGTAAAGAATATATTTCTCAATGAAAAGGTCAAAAAGTTTACTCAGATATTCATTCAATCAAAATATCTTCCTTATCTCATTTTTCAGGATTGATTTCCTAATTGATACATAATCACTTATACTAATTTTTTCGTGAATAATCTGATAAGTATACCCATAATGATTTCATGCTTTCAGAATTAATCTTGGTAAAATGATCAGTGGCTATAGTAGATTGAACTGCTGATTAAGGTCCATCATTTTCATACTTGTGTAATCATCAAGAGCGATTCAATCAACAAATGAATATCGTTGTTGCTCACTTCGATAAAATGTCATTAGTAATGAGCTTCTCATCATATTACCACTAATCTTCCTGTACATTAATATTTGAATCTTTTGTTGATTTCTCGAAATTTCAAGTGCCTTTAACCTTTAAACGAACATTGAAATACATGTAGTTAATTATCTTTTTGAAGTTAAAACTATTAGTCTAGCTTGTCATTCAATTAATTACTGTTGATTATGTTTAATTATTCAATAATTTGCTATTTTTCCACCCAACTGCCTCATTTAAACACTTTTCTGGTGATTAGGGTCTCACTTTCATTTCAGCCGAGTGAAAAATCTCATGCAAATCATTTGTTTAAATTATTCAAAATTTTAAAGCTTTTCAACCATCATTCTTGGCTTGAATCTACCTGTTAAAATTGAAACCAGCTTAACCACAATCAAATTATGCTTACTTTTAATTGTTTTCACTTATATTTTTCTTTTCTTTTTCATTACAGAAACAAATTAGCGAACCAAGTCAGTAATTTGTTGGTCAGTCCATCACATAAAGGGCTCATTCTCAAGGAAACTAATCATTTTTTTGTTTGGTCAACTCATGTTAAAATGAATGTTTTCCAATTTAATAGCAATCCTTTATTCAAGCAGATCTATAGAATAACCCAGAGATACTATTCAAGAATAGGAATTCAAATGAAATTGATATCCCTGTAATCTGATGTTTTTCTCATGCAAATTTATTCATTTATCACCAGCTACATAACACTTTATGAGTTTATAATTCACAGTCCTCAGGATCTGTATCACAATTATCACTATCGTTGGTAAATATACCGTGCAATTTGATTGTACAAAAAGTCAACAATTACTGACTCTCTATTAGCATTGTATTAATATCAAATCAATTTCTCATTGAATTTATTCTCTTTTTTTCAGCATAACAGCAAGCATCAAAATGCAATTACGGATGGTACATTTAACCTATCTAAAGGATATATTGAAGGGAATCATCATTGGTAAAGACAGTTTGCCTACGCTTTTTTACATCAAATGCGTTTTCCAATCAAACTGAATCCATCAAATCAATCATTTATGGCAAGAAAAAGATATTAACCCTGATATCTTGACTGGACGAATTCCTGGAATCCTCAGATACCTGAAGATTCAATCGAATTAACTACTAAAAATTCAAAAAAGGCAACAATCATTTGATCTGTGGGATCTAAAGTTCAAAGCCTTTCGATTTGGGCTTTACGTATGTTTCAAATATAATTTTTCTTATTTCTCTGCGTTATTTTCAATTAGTAACACTTCTTTATTGCTTTTACTAGATATTGTCAACATATTTCATGGTTAAAGTCATAATCATCTTCTTTACGGCACATTTAAAGATCAATTCAGCAATGATTTACATGTGTCAAATGGATTTAAAGGAGCATAAATTTCATTCAATATCTTTCTATTCAAAATGCATGAAACTTCCGGAGGAATCACAAAAGCGATCAAAAGTGAGTAAAATCTGAATAAATTAATCATGACAATGGTGACAATTTAATTTATATTGATGGTTGTAGTGGATAAAAGCTGATGTTTTTTTCTTCTCCTTTTCAGATTTCTTTGCTTATAAAAGCATAAAATGAAAACAAACAGAGCAAGTGGGATAAAAATACAGTTGACACATGAAAAATGGAAAAAGATTCTGAAGACTCTGATGAAGTAAAGAGTGTGGAAAGCCTGTAAATTGATTGTTAAGAATCACAATAAAGACGGTTCCAGAATCCTTTCTATTTATGGTACGTAAAGAGTCATTTGACTCTTTATTTAGTTAATATCGTATGTTGCTGTTATTATTTCAATACTTTTGTTACTGGCTGGTGTCAAAACTCATCATTTGATGTACATGATTCAGTTAATATTTCATGTCCATCAATGATAGCCAATAATAGGATAAACAATTCTCCCTGCAATCATTATTATCATCAATATCTTCAAGTCATGTTACTTTATCTGTGCTCTTCATCTTAGCTATCTTCCTAGCATAGTTTGACCAAAAGTACTAAAGTATAAGTCTAAGTATCTTCATATTGAGAAGATAAAGACTCAAGCTTTTTTTAGAAACTCAAGTTTACTTGGAAATGATTAACGATTGATAAAAAAAGAGAAACATTTCCATGAATAAAATCTTCTCGATCTTGAGTTTTTTGTTCAATATTTAGACCTTTACTTCCATTATTACCACTTAAACATTTGCGATCAAGAAAAATGGCATTCTGTGTCTCCTGAGATTATCAAATGGTTATGATTTTCACAAGACGAAAGACTGACAACGGTGAAATTTTCACGTTTTTCAGATTTTCCTTCCAAATTGATTGTTACTATTATTATAATAGATCCAAGGAATCACCCAATTTTCATTCATGGCATTTTGATTTATGAATTAGAGGAAAACCTGAAAGATAAATTGATTTAAATATCGTTTTCTACCTCCATAGTTGATGGTTATAATTGATGATGTTTCAACCCTAATCAATACAATTTATCTAAATGGTAATACTGGTATAATAATCGAGGATAAGATTTATGAGCCAACAAATTATTCGCATCTTTATCAGCTTATTAAATAATCTAACTGCTTTATCAATTGACTCCACTTAAAAAGTATTTGATTTCAATTCTAATTCTTTCTATTTCTTTCTCTTTCAGGTAAATGACCATTAACACCTTTACATGGACAAAAGATCAAATAACAACATCTAAATGGTGCAAAAACGGTCATTGATTCGGTTGTAATATGGTGTTATAAACTAAATCTCATTAACAATGTAATACGCTTTGGAGGCAAGTATTTGGACTCATTTTTAATCAACAACAATTTTCCCAGGAAAACACAGAAAGGTTAAGACAAGAGATAAAAATCTTTACCATGGGAAGAACATGATGAAAATTTGAGTCTCTCCTGTAGCAAGGTATAACTACCTTTATTGATACACCCACACTAAAAAAGGAACCATGAAACAAGAGATCGATACAACTTTATACCAGTAAAACCTTTTTTCTTGTTTAAAATGAGTTTGTCTACAAGTTGATAAAATATTCAAATGGTTATAATAAATCTTGATTAGTTACAATACATTTAATGTGTTTTAGACTCAGAGTGTAATGTCATACAGTAATCAAGTTATGATTCATTTGTTTCATAGTGCAAAAGGAAATTGTATTTAGATTTGATTAAATATAATTTCTTAATTCAAGTTCGGTACAGAAATTTTCAATGCTAATATTTTTCTCTTGTTTCTTTCAGTTTCTCCATTGGATTGATCAATTGAGCTTTAACTGTGATTGGATTCTAATTAGTATATTGGACAACAAGATCCCAAAGACTGACAATTTAAATATTCAATTGAAAGGTTAACATTTAAAGTTACAATCAACTTTATCCAGAGAATCATTGACAGTTTATAACAAATCAATAATTCAATATTGAAAAGGACTGGACTTTGTTAAAAAATAAGGTTGATTAATCAAATGAATCAACGTTTGTTACCTCAAACGACTGTTTAACCAAATCTTATTCACATTGCACATGATATTCATTGGATTAGATTGTTATAATACTATCACTCTCTTCATTAACTATTTAGATTAAGCTGTAAATTAGCTTAAAATTAAATTAATCTATCAACTTGTAGCAAGCTCATCATCAAATTACCAAGTTGTAAATGAACTTAATGGTTTGCACTTGTTAAATTGAGACTAACAAGGGCATGTTAATTGTGAAACCAATTATGTAATCTAATATAGTTTCACAATTTACCAGCAATTTGTTATAATTTGTCTAATTTACTTTTGAAATCATCAATGGACGAAACAACCTTTACTATCAAATTACTTGACCAAAAGCTGGTTACCAACAATGTTTGATGAATGTAAATTTCAATCTTAATCTTGACCACATTCAATTGTAATTTTTAATTAGATTTTCAAAGAAATGAAACAAGCTTAACTTGTAAACATTACTGTAACATAGTAAATATTAGAGAGCAAAATTGCTTTCTAAATCCTATGGATTAGTAGATGTTAACGGTTGAACCACTTTGTTGATGTGATTAATCCTTCAATTAGAATTGGGATAATCATTTAAAAAGTCAATTCTGTTTGGAACAAAATTAATCTCAAGATAATCCATAAACAATTAAGGTTGAGTAAAGGTAAAGGTAAAGGCTTGCCAATGTTGAATTGTTGTTGGAGAGAAGAGTTAATTTGATTGTAACGCAAGGAAATCAATTGTAAACATCTTTATTTTTCTCATTAATTTTAACTTGACAAAGACTTAATATTTGAAACAACAAAAGGTCAACAATTGATCAAGGAAGGTTTTCGTTTTAATCGAGTTTAACTAACAGAGCAAACTCGATTGATTGTAAATACATAGAGATAGAAATATTTCCCATTGATTAATCTTTCACTAACATTAATACACTGAGTTTGCTGTGTAAACTTAATCAAGCAAACTAAAAATAAACCTCATTGAACACCATAATTAAGTTCAATTGTGTTCCTATTAATACAAAGTTACACATAATAGCTCAATCCTATTAGCAATCATTATCCTAAATGATTCAATATTGAACCATCAAATTACAAATCATCTTTGATAGTAAACCATTGAATGATAAATAGTGTAATAATTGCAGTCGATAGTCAAAAAATGTAAATTATCAAAAGAAGAGCTTTCAAAGTTGAAAAGTCTTTCAACAGATCTTTGCCTAGTAAAAGGCCTTTTGAAATTAGCGCTTTAAAAAAAGTCTGAAATCAATGCACACCTTGGTATTGTCAACATATCAATGGCAGAGTTTTTTTGAATCGACGAATAGAAATCATTAAAAACGGTGAACCGAAATATTGCGAGTATAACAATGGTATAACATGTACTTTAACGTCTATGAATGTCGCGCCCTACATGGACCCAATCTGTTCATTCCAACTCAATTTACGAAATCCATACCATCAGCCGATTCCTCCGCACTATTCACGAACTCATGGCTAATTGTTTTATACAATCTGATTCACTCAATTTTACTTGTAATAAAGATTAATAATGAAAATGAGAAGCTCATTTTTGAAGTCAGTCACAACCGATTACCATTTTCTGGTTAAAAATTGTTTTTTCGATCTGAAAATATCATTCTTACAGAAAATCAATGCTAACTATCGTAATATCGCCATCTCTAAACTACTTAGATGTACTGATAACAAGGTTTGAACAACAATTAATATATTGATTAGGCATTGAATAATTTATACATAAATAAAAACTGTTAACAGAAATATTGACAAGTCTTGTAGTTGAATCAGAATTGTAGTTTGGATTCTGTTTAAAGAATCAAAATCATGATTTGATTTTTTATTTAAACCTTTATTTACTTTAAGGATTTAAACCTTTTAAAATAATGCTGACATTTAATGTGATCAACAAAAAAAAACAAGTTGAACCCAACAAGTAACAATGAATAAAACCAGAAGTTTCAGCGTTATGTCTCAACGCAAGCGAAGACTATGCAGGAGAAATTTTTCATGTTCTTCGCTTTCAATTGAATATTGATCAAGAAGATGAATTTTGTAAACTTATAGTGAATAGCGTTTGATTGAAATACAGTTCATGAAAAGACTTTTTTCTTTGTCTTCTTTCTGAGTTTTCTTGTGAAGTTAAAGGCCTTGCGGGCGGTGTTTTGAAACAAGCGCTTCGAAACCAAGCAACTCGAGCCAGTCCAGAATCAATCCAGCATTACATGTTTCCAGTGTGCTCATTGCATCCAGAAACCAGATCGCTATACAGATCAGATCCTTACTATATACGAACTCGTGGCTAAGTATTTTGTTCAACCTGATTCACTTAATTATTTGACTACCAATTGAGTAATTTATGAAAAAAACGATTATAAGAAATATTGAAAAGTCTTGTCACTTTTCAAGAATCAGATAAATCAGCAATTGTAGTTTGGATTCTGTTTAAAGAATCAAAATCATGATTTGATTTTTTCATTCTAAACCTTTATTTACTTTAAGGATTTAACCTGTGAAAATAATGCTGACATTTAATGTGATGAACAAAAAAAACAAAGTAAAGCCCAACAAGTAACAATGAATAAAACTAGTTATTTGAAATATTTTGATTCATGTTGAATCTGAATTTCAATTGAAATCTGAAAATAGTTTCCAATTCAATCTGTTTCGCATTTGTTAAGTACAACAATCCAATTGTTATTCAACGTCTATAACCTTTTGTTAAATCCTGACAACTCAAAATAAAAGACAAAATTCAATTTACTTCAGAGTCTGATTAAAGTTAATTTACATACTTAACAATACAATATCGCGGTTAAATAACTACAAAATTGACTCGTAAATATGGCTGAATATGGCTCTAGAAATGGCTATAAGTTGCGCTGCGAAAATGGGTTTTGGGTGAATCTGGTTTAAAAATTAGGTTTTACACAGCAATGAAAGTGATCAATGACAATGGAAAAGACATTTTGAAAGCTTTTTGTTTCGATGCTAAATTTAGACGGTAATCAATGAAATTAATTAGTAAATATCAACTGATTGTAACAAACGAATGTTAAAAGGCAAATAAAAGGTAAAACTGGTAACTGGTTGAGTCAATTTGATTGTAATTGTTGGTTAATAGTGAAAGCCTAGAGTCATTTCATTGTTTACCCAATATCTAGCAATGAGAGTTGAAAGAGATATTTGATTGTAATTTAAATTCTGAAAATAGACACAATTCTGGTAAATCAAGGTGAACAATCGTACCAACCATTAACTTATTGGTAAAAGGTAAATAGTTGATCTAGAATTTGATTAATTTGGTTTTTTTCAATGAAATTTGATGATATATGATAATAAAGTAGGAACCCGAGTCAATACATATTCATGGTCAAAACGTGGGCGATTTCATTTTTTATCAACCTTTTAGGATTCACAATTTATCATTATTACCATTACAGAAAATGTATTTTATCATTTAATTGAATTCAATATGACTTTGGATAATCAATAAGATTGAATTTGAATGGTAATAAGAAACAAATTAAACAAAATTGTCACTCTTTCAATCACAGTATCAACATTGATTGTGACCATCAATGTGACTCAACTGACAATGGCCATGGTCAAACATAATTAGAGTGTCATCTGAAATGTAAATAAACACGATCAAACATGATCTGAAATTGAGTGAATCAAATTGTCCAATTTACGATGATTATGGTGATCACCTGTACGCTGAGAGTCACGTTGAAGATGAGTTTAACATTTTTGCCTATTTCAATCTTTAAATTGCTCCTGATCATGATTAATGGCTTCAATTATTTACAATAAGCTGATTTGTCAGGGAATCTCTTCCACTAATTGTTTGATTCAGACAAAATTACACTCTTCACATCATTCATTAACATGGGTTCAGAGATTGCCATTTAAACATAATTAACGTTAAGCCTTTGCTCTTGTGATTATTAAATATAAAACTGGTTAAATTGTTCAATTTTAATGGTAATCGTGTTTTTATTCCTGTGAATTCAATGCTAAATTGTTGGCTTTAATGATGATTCAGGAAAAAATTGACAACGATTTTAATGTTAGATTCAATCTGAATTTGCTAAAGTAATTGTAATTAATTTTATGTTAATTGTACGGTTGAAACCTTATGAACAATTAAAGCTTCTGACTTTGAGAATGTTGATTTAGGTTTCAAATGATGAACAATTTGCATCTCTTGATTAAACTGTCTTCAATTGGTTTATTAATTTGGTTTTATTTGTAACACTCAAATTTATCTTTTTTCACGAGTATTGCTGTAAAAATACAAATTGACTTGATACTTTGACTTGCAGTGGACAATTTAATGGCTAATTAGAGTTTAATTTCATATATTTTTACGATTTATCATTTTATTGGTTAGCATTGAATCATAGGCTTTCATTTGATTAGGGAATATTTTTATTATGATTAACTAAGGGATGCAAAGCTGTTTTTATTGTCATTTTGCTATTTCTGTTTCAATGATGTCAATTTCAGGTAACAAGCAACAGGAAAAATATATAAAAATATACATCAGATTGCTGTTTGTTTTTTATTGATGAATACAATTTATCTCTTATTTGCGTGTTGGACAATTGTTAATCATTTAGCAATAGTTGACGATTAAAGTCGATCAATAAATTGCGCCATTTAAAGATAAAGTTGATGGACTGATTAGGAATCGAGTAAGATTGGGTTTAGGATTAGGTTGGATTGCTTTGGATCGGATTCTGCTTTGTCTTTGTTTGCCGGTAAAAAAGCTTAAATGAACCTTGATAAAGGCTGACCATTTTCAATTTAAATTGTGATAATTAAGACCAACTACAATCGTTTAACAATTAATGCAGCCCTTTTTGACACATTTAGCTGATTAATTGAATGGTTTCACGGTGAATTAATGGAATGATCAACGTTCAAGTGATAAAATTGTCATTTTCATTGGAAGTGAACCCTTTTGGTGATATCAAGAAAGCAAGACTTTCCAGATCCATCTTCTGAATTGCTGTCTTTCGTTATTTAATTAATTACCATTAGGATCCTGTTAAATTCAACTTTTAATGCTTTCTTTTGACTGTTGTTGGTGATGTCAATGATGGCGATAATAATTTGATTACCACAAAAGGAAAGCAACAAGAAAAGTATCTACATGTGTATTGCTGATCATTACAAGTAAATGAACAGAATCAGGAAACAGGGAAAGAGAGAAAGAAAGATTCAGTTTCATACCAACATATATATATCTTCATGACCTGACCTGAATTCATGGATTTTAATGCAACCCAAAATCCAGTATCAACATTCTCATTGGGATTATTTTATTCTCAAAGATAAACACAGCCATCAGAGGAGTAAGAAATCTATTGAACAATTTACCTGCCATTTACGATTTAAAGTGTAAACAGAAATTGGAAAAAGCAGTTTCGAAGCAAAGATGAACTTCAAATTATTTTGAAAACAAATTAATCTTTCATCAACTTAGCAGATTGCTGTATTTCAACTACAGTCGACTAAATCCACAAAATGTTTCTATTTAACTTGGCAAATCTAATTTTTCAGCCCAATAATGTTATATTTGTTGACATGTAATGACCTTAAATGTTGTTGTCAAATCAAACACAAGCCATAATCAGTTTGTCAAATACAAGTCAATAACTTTCCCAGTTGAATGGTTAACAATTGATAATTCAAGCCATAATTAAAACTGTAAATCATTGGACACCATTTCAAAACTAGACAATAATCGACAACTCGAAAAGAACGACAAGTCTTGAGTACTTACATTCAACAGCTGATTTTTTTCAACGTAAATTGCCGATCTATGATCCTATTTGTGGTTAAAATTGCCCTCAATTTGATTTGATGAGAGTCACTGATGATTAACTTTGAACTGGCAGACAGTTTATAATTCAAGTTGATAATTTGGATGAAATGGAAATGGTTTTAATGGAGTTTCAATGATTGACAATGGATAGTGAAGTTACATGGAAAAACGTTAAAACTTGAAGTAATTGTTGACAATATTATTGTTAAGTGTAAACATGAGTAACTGAACAAGTTATACTGAAATTTACCTTTTCAGATAAATACAGAGCAACCGTATAACAGGTTATTTTGATATTTAACATTATAAGCCAAGCAAAGTTATCTTTGGTATATATTTTTCACAGAGGATTGATATACTGGAATCAAGCGCATGTATTTTGACCTGAACTGTTCTGAACGCAGTCTTTTCTTGTCATCATCCTTTCATCCAAACCATCATCTTCATCATTTCCATTTATAAATAATACTGTTTCAGATATTATATCAGGAAGTCCATCTGGGGAAGACAAAATTTAAAGATGATTAAAACTACAGTTGGTTGACCTTTCAGTCTTAGGTCAGTCTTTGTGATTTTCGATGCGATTCTGGAAACAAAAATGTAAAAATGATCTCTCCTGGTTAAATATTTTCCAGTCTCCGGTCATTGATCGTAAATCCTACCAATGGTTATCCTATTTCAATCCATCAACTGTTCAATGTTTGGTAAAATAATTACGATAATACTATTGAGTTTACCTTTCATGATCAAATTGAATTTTAGGGTTGAAAGGATAAATGGAGGCTCTGATTTGAAGTTGAACCAAAATTGTTGAAAAAATAATTTCCAAGTGCTCGTCAAGTATAAGTGAATAATATTGAAAGTTTTTCAGGCTTAAGGTTAATTGAAATACTTTCTGCTGGTTGACCAGCCTTTAAACTATGGCTTGATTAACAGTGCATAAAGCTAAATTAAATGAGTTCTATAATTGTTTAATTAATCTATCCATTTATGGTCAATCCTAGTCAATGATTCATGTTTTAAATCGATCATGATTTAACATTGAATCAAGCTCAACCTACGAGCTTTCCGTTACAAGGAATACCCTTCTATGTTAACCTTTGTTCATCCAACAGTGAGTTAATTTGATTGTTAACTTTTCACTTGTAAAATTGACAATTTCATAGCTAACCACAGTTCATTATTTACACAATTATTATTGACCTGATGGACCAGTCAAGTGTATTTGCTGACCTTTGAAAACGCACAGCAAATTTGAAATGTACGGATAAATGTATTGCCAATATCGCTGTAATCTGTCATGGATCAAGATTCTTGGTTTTTACACCATTTGGAAAGGAGTCAGATTAAACCGTTTATCAATTAAGGTTACTTTGACAATTTAGGAGAAGGTAATTACCAATATCTTAATTAAATTGTTGTTTTTGATTTCAAATTCAACTCTTTTTAATTTTGTTTTTTTTTGTTTCTCCTAGCTTCAGAAAATGATTACTCACGCGCTGATATGGTTTGTTAAATTGGATCAATAATCAGAGTGAATTTAATCATCGAAATTTGTTGTTTTAAAAAATGTGCTGCCAGGTTAACGACAATTTAATATTTGATATTAATTTACTCTTAAAATTTCCAGTTAAAAAGTAGAAGCGAAAAGGATAACCTGGCAAACACAGTCGTACAAGACAGTTGACAAGTTGACTCTCTAGTTGTTTCCAAAGCAATCTTGTTAAATTATATTCCAATTCAAGTTTAATATCAAAGGATAATCTCACCGACAATGGAACCCAAATCCACTCTCATCATTCTTGTGCTACTATTAATCAGTGTCTCTGTCTCCATGGGATCCAGAAAGTACAGAGAAGGACTGCTTCTTGGTTATCTTATGGCAACTCAAAGTAACACCAAGCATCATTTGGTTTCTCCTTACCCTGTATAGTGAGTATTTCATCGTTTCTGTTCACCAGAATTATTGTTCCTATTTCATAGATTATAACTTATCCCTGACTCATTTAGCTTTCTTCAATCAACGATTTATTTCGCCTTTTCATCTCTATGTAACCAGATTACCAGTATTCACTCACGTGGTCAACCAAGTCCAGATAATTTTTTCCAAGATTAGCTTTTTTACATTTTTAGACTCATAACTTTCCTAATGCAATTTTTCGTTAACATTTCTTGATGGATCCTATCCCGTAATTTATTTCTGATTACCTGATTGATCGACAAATTCTCGTCATTTATCATTAATAGCAACTAATTTTACTTTGTTTCTCTCCTTTCCAATGAATTTCTCTGAATATATTCTGTAAGATCCTTTGACATTTCCAGCTTAACATCTCTTTTTTCCCAAGAAACAGTCTTTTTTTGTGCCTGCAAGCTTTCAATGTACTCTCCCCTTGTACTTTCATCTCATTTAATCAATTATTCAATATTATTCTAGGTAAATTGTATTATTTCTAACTAATAATATTATTTTTGAGACAATATTTCATTGCTATTAGCTATCAACACTATGTCATCTCTTTGTCTCCAACCAATTTCATTTACTTTCTTTATGCCTTTTGATTACAGTTTTGTACATTTCTCATGTAATATCTATTACCTAAAACACTTACCAGTCCCGAAAGTTGCCTTTTACCTAATTTGATTGTTACACTTATCTAATTGCTATTTATTTTTTTTATTCAAGCGTTCCTCATCCTACTGGTTATGAATATTGCTCTGGTTGCTGGGGTTGATTGATGTTTCAAAGATTTCAAACCAATATTCACATAACGATCACATTTCAACTATTTATTATCATTTATCATCAATTTGTCCGGATTTCATTGAAAATTTCAAGCCTCAAACTCCAACACTATTCCTAAACACCTGTTAATCTCATCAGACAAAGCTGTTTATTTTTCGTATTACAACTCTCAAGCAACTCCAAAGGCTTAACTAATTCCTTTACTGATGATGTAAATTTATTCATCGCCTTTACCATTACTTTTTTATCTGAATTCAGCTTTTTTCCACTGAAATTCCATAGAAAGTATTTTATAACTGTTATCTCTTCCAATTACTATTCCTATTTTATTTGTATTTTTTCATTTCCAAATTTCTCTGCTTTCCAGGTATCATTGAATGATATTTGTTATGCAAAGCCCAAGGTTACTTGACATATTTAGTTACAATGTACCTTGAAACTGAATCTTATCCTGATTGTATCATGTTAACAGTGATGAGTCAATGGGACGAGTAAGGCAACTTGAATATGAAAATTATTCCTGTCTTCAAATGACATTTCATGTCTATCCTACTTCAACAGTAGTCATAACTTTTTTTCACCGTGTTAATCCAATTCTCTGTGTTTTGATTAACAACAATTGAATCCCCAAAGAAAAGGTTTTAACAATGCAAACATTGGCATAATTAAATGAAGCTGGAGAGATCAAGAAGAGGCAACAAAAAGTCAACTTGGTGGACATGGAGGACACTCGACAGTTACATTTGTATCTGTATTTGAATTGTTTAAACACACATTTCCAAGTGCTGCCACAAATCAAACCTTTGACCTTTTCACACCTTTCCTATTGATTATCCAATAACCATGTTACCATCCCACTTCAATTGTTTGTAATTATGTGGAAACACATGTTGACAACTGAACCATAGACTGGTTTGAAATTGACATTTTGTTTTTAATTTAAAAATCATTAAATATTACATGCAACTTGATACAACCTTACAATTAATGATAATTAAATTAGTATGATCTCTACTTTGATCTTATTAAAGTAGTAAAAGGAGGATAAGACTATTAGTTTAAATAAGGTTAGCAAAGTGACAATTTTCATAGACTCTAGTGTATTCATTGTTCAATTATTTTCCATATTCATCGACTTGAATCTTTTTACTTAAAAGTAACTGTAGATGAATGTTAACTTAAAATTGTCAATATATCCAATTGTAGACTCGACTGTGTAAATTTAATCTGATTAAGTTAAGTTTTGTCTCTCATGAGTATTAATACTTCATACAACGCTCATGTAAACAGCCAAGAGTTCAGGATTTTGCCCTGAAAATGAATTAATTTGTAGATTCATTGACAATCAATGATTAAAATACAGGTTGTCAACCTTCTAAGGTAAGACAAGCTAATTTAATTGTTTCATAATTCCAAATTCGTAATCAAACTAACAAGTAAGTTTTACATAATTTTTGTTCAGCAAAACTTTAAATTCATGGCTGAATAACCGGATAAAAGTCAATGATCTTATTGATTAATAGAATGGAGAAAGCAAAGTCTTCAGAATTGGGAATGCAATGAGTTAAGTATTTACTTATAATTTATAATTTTCTTTGGTCGATAGGACTAGACATGAGAAAACTCACAATGAAAACAATAAGTGATAAACCGATCAAGGAATCAAAAACCTGAACTTTGTTTACAGTTACTGAGTTTGTCCATTAAAATGAAAATGAAGTTCATTTTCGCTATTATAATTTTTATGATAGACAGTTTTAGAGACCTTACAGGCAAATTTGATCCCAACTATTGAAAGTTCAAGTTTTGCATTAACTCGTTCAAGAAACTCTTTCAAGGGTCCCAATGTTTATTTACCTGTGTGTATGGAGATGAAAGACGAGCACACTTGTAAACACCATATTCAGCCTAATCTACCTCAATTTTTATTCAAATATCTAACGAACCAAAATGCTGCTTCAAAAAGTCTTGAAATAGCCAACAATGAAAAATGTTAGTTGTAAAAAGTCAGCATTTGTTTCAGAGAAGCTACACAAGTTTCTATGAAATCGATTCTTTTGCCTCGAAATGCTTCGAGTATCTTAAAGCTAATAGATCTTAGCCTGTTTGTAGTTATTAATCACGAACGATTGATGCTACAACCGTTCGTGATTTATGACTTCAAACCTCAAATTCGTACCCTGAGCTGTCGAAGACTGTAGATCCATAAATTCGAGCTCTCAAGCTCAAGGACCTAATTGTTAAAGATTATTGTTATTTGACCTCTAAATGACATTTGAGGTCACTTTCTGAGTGCCACTTTTTCACGAATGGTTGATGTTTATAACTTATACCGTTAGAAAGATAAAAAATCTTTCTCAAAAAATTGATTAACTGAACGGAATGTAAATGTTCACATCTTTTTCATCAACATGAGTTACCAATATTCAACAAGCACCAAGCAATCGGAAATGTTGGCCTTAAATGTCATTTAAAGTTCAAATAACTAAGCGAAATTATGACCTTAAGAGTTCGAATTTATGGTTCTTCAATTTGGGACTTGTACTGACCGAATAACATCAAGAACTAACTTGTGCTTCTCAAATTATTAGCGCAAACGAGCTCAAAGGATTAAAACGCAAGAAGAATCTCTTGAGTTAAGTTTGCTTCAATGGCACCATCTTCAGTAATAATAATAAACTTATTGATAAATTAGGTAAAGAGTTTACAACCGGATTAATTTCTGGTTCATCAAACGTTATTAGGACTTTGGTGTTTATTCTTGTCTTTTTTTAGATAATTTCTTTCGATAATCTTTAAATATTCCTCGACATTTATGCAGATAATTCAGACAAATGATGAATAATGGCATTCGGCAATTTTGGCATTTCTTGCATTTTAATCCAAATCAGTTTGAATGCTCTGGAAACAGTGACAGACAACATTTTCAAGGTAAGTTGTTCACTCTAATAAAAGAGTTCAATTTTACTCTAAGATTTGATGATCAAATTGTTGCCTCAAGGATATCGTCTGTAAATTGTATCTCAAAAGTGTTTATCAATTGTAATTCAGCATTTAATTTCATCATTTCATCAAATCAGTTCAATCATCATGAACGCAATTAACTCAAATACATAATGATACAATTGTAAATGCATTTTGTTTATTTGCAAATGATCATTAATAGTCAAAACAATTTGAAAAAGACTAAATTAATTGATTGAAACAGTTTCCAGGCTTTATCACTATTCGAGTAGTTTTACTAGCTACAAGTTAATTCACTTAGCAGTTCAACTTACTGTGCTATTTAAATCAGGCAATCAACTCATTATCAAATTGTGTTGCCGGATTATATTGTGAATAGTCGATAAATTTGATGAAATGTTTGCGTATTGACTTCAATCGACTTCAAATTGTCATCAGAGTTACTAAATCTTTGTTTAACATTCAATAATTTTCAATTTATTTACATTTTTGCTTACATATTTTTGTTACATTCATCTAAATCAATTAAATAATTTGATTAAGCCACTTGAAACTACAATTGACAAGAAGGTCACAATTGTAGTCATCGCCATATCAACATCAACAAATTCAATCATCTATTTGTCCTTCAGTCTAAATGGAGAGTCAAGCCGAGAGTACAAATTGATAATTGTGATTATGATTAGGGTTGGGCAGTCCTTAAAAGCTGTTTCAAACTAACAAATTATAATCATTTAATCACAAAATATCATTACAATCATCTTATCACTTATCACTTCTCCTCGTCTTTAGCTCATCAATAAGAATCTTGTTCATTCTCAATCATTTTCATATAACTCATCAACAAACCAACTCAACACTTACTTGAATTGTTTTCCTCACCATAGAGCTTCTGTGAAACCATTTGGCATAATTCAATTGATTAACAATTTATAATCATCAACAATCGAGCAACAATGTCACAGCATTGTGAAAATAATGATCAGGTAAGATTTGATTTACTACAACTGCTGCCATCTTATTAGGTACTTAATAAGTAGGCAACTTTCGTCTGTTTTTTGTTTATATTGATTTTTTATTCAAACCTTTATTTGTTATTAATTTTTCATCTTATTTTCTTGTGTGCATCTTTATTATTGTGATTATTTTTATTATATGGCCAAATTCAGGTCTTGACTAATGGTCATGGTGGAACTAAAGATAATGGAAATCTTTGTGTGCTGTTCTCTGTGAAGGAAAACGTTGGTGCTTTGGCTGAAGTCCTTAGAATATTCAAAGTAATTGTCTTCTGATTGATTTTTCCGTTGTGATTTATTTCAACACTTCAAGTGTCATTAATCATATTCAGCATTTTTTTCTTGTTAATCAAACCATCTGATTACTTTGTCTTATTCATTACAGGAGTATCATGTTAATTTGGCTCACATTGAATCAAGATCGTCCAAACGTTTCTCAGATGATTATGAGTTTCTCATCGAAATCGATACTCGGTCTGAGTCAGCAAATATTGACAAAGCATTAAACGATCTTAAAGGTATCTCCACATACATGCAAGTTATTTCAAGAGAGCCACGAGGGAAAGAATCTGTTCCATGGTTTCCAGTTAAAATAAAGGAAATTGATAACTTCGCTAACCATGTATTATCATATGGAGCTGAATTGGACTCTGACCATCCAGTAAGAAAAATTTTAAGCATTTTCCTGCCAATCAATCAATATCTAGAGAGATTAATTGGCACTTTTTTAAATTCAATTTGCATCTCAACTGAATCTTACATTGATTATCGTGATTTATCTATGACCAGGGTTTCACGGATGAAGTTTATCGTAAACGTCGAAAATACTTTGCTGATTTGGCTTTCAATCATAAACAGTGAGTTCAATTTAGTTTGACAATTGTTTTAAAATTGACTAATTTTTGTTTTCTTTTCCAGTGGCCAACCATTACCTCGAGTTGAATATACAGAGGAAGAGATCAACACTTGGCGAACTGTTTACAACCAATTAACAAGTCTCTATCCAACTCATGCTTGTCGAGAGCATAATCATATATTTCGCTTGATGATTGAAAACTGTGGTTATGGACCAGATCAGATACCACAATTAGAAGATGTCTCTAATTTCCTTAAAGGTTAGGAATACTTTCATTTTCGTCATTCGTTCATTTTCAGTCATTTTTGTTTATTATCATTGCCGATGGCTTATTTCATTTAAAAAATTTAACTTTGTAAATAGACAATTTGAGTAACATATTATTTCTTGTTTCAATAGATTGTACTGGTTTTACTTTGCGTCCAGTTGCTGGTTTATTAACATCTCGAGATTTTCTTGCTGGCTTAGCTTTCAGAGTTTTTCATGCAACTCAATATATTCGCCATCCTTCAGTTCCACTGTACACACCAGAGCCCGATGTTTGCCATGAACTCTTGGGTCATGCTCCTTTATTTGCTGATCCAGGTTTTGCCCAATTTTCTCAAGAGATTGGTTTATCATCATTAGGAGCTCCTGATGATTATATTGAAAAGTTGGCCACTTGTTATTGGTACACAGTCGAATATGGTCTTTGTAAACAAGATGGACAGATAAAAGCTTACGGAGCCGGTCTTCTTTCGAGTTTTGGAGAGCTTCAGGTAAGGCTAATTGTCTCTGAATCGACATTTTTGTTATTGATAATTAATGGTGATCCAATCACTTTAACTATTGATGTATGATTTAAGATATTGATTACCACTAACTAATATTTATCAAGATTATCAGATAGATGACTGAATTGATCTACCGAAAGATTGAATATTATAAATTATTCAACCGAAGTAAACACTTATTTCCTATCCCAATCAAGTACTAATTGAATCTTTAGAGATTAAATTGATTTCTAATAATTCATCAGAATTTTCATCAAAAAATGTATTTGTTCCTACTTTCTTTGATAGCTCACTTCTTGATCGATATTATCACTGCAATTTAATTGAATCACCTCCTCAGTCTTTCTATCTCCAATTCAATCGAATCTAAGTCACTAATTGATAAAAAATAAGGTGATTGATATCTGATCAGATACAATGAATGATTTTCAAATTAATTAATTTGATTTGTATCTCTTTTTTCGCAGTATTGTTTAACTGATAAACCAGAAGTAAAGCCATTTGATCCATATGTGACAGCTCTTCAAAAGTATCCCATTACTGAATATCAGCCTATCTATTTCTTGGCTGAAAGCTTTGGAAAAGCTCAACAAAAACTTAAGTAAATAACTTGACGGAAAATTATGTAAATATGGTCATTAATTTGTCTTTTTTTGTCCACAGAGAGTTTGCTTACTCCATCCCGAGACCATTCACCGTTCGTTATAATCCTTACACTCAATCAATTGAAATACTTGATCGTAAGAATCAATTAGAAGGACTGGTTAAAACGATTCGAAGTGAGTTTGAATTGCTTGAACATTCATTCGCCATAATCTGATCGCTTTCATTGCAACAAATCCGTGCTTCTGCTTTCGCTTTTTATAAATCATCCTCACTCATGTCAACCCTTACCGATCCATTATCGTCTCCTATTTGTAACATATTGTGACTGATTCACTGTTTATTTCAATTCAAATAATCAGTATAACAGTATACCGTCCAAAGCTAATTATTCAATTGAATGTAGCTTATTGTTTTATTTTTTTTAATGCGTCCAACATTCAATGTAATTTTAATTTACTCAAGCAGTTACCATTTTTGATTCAATGTCCACATTTATGTTATTTTTTGTTTCCAATTTTTATTCAAAAATGGTTCTGCTTATTCCTGTCAACTGTCCGATTTCATGTGTCTTAACGAATCTCGTAATTTAATTTGTTCACGATAATTATTTGTCTTAACAATCAAAACCATCATCTCTTGTAATGCCAGAGAAAATAACTTTAATCCAAGTAACATGCTTCGACGATTTCATCATTAACTGCTATTTATGTTGACCGATTGCTTTTGCAAACTCTATTTGACACAATTAAACTCACTTTATTTGTATAAATGTCTTGTCTAAATGTGCTTTCAATTGGTTCACCTAATAAACCAACGCCAATAATAATTTTCATTTTCTCTTAAAATTTCAGGTGAAATGGATATTCTCACAGATGCTATTAGGAAAATCCAGTAAACTTATTAGTTTCATCACAGGAAACAATTAAGCATGTTCAATATCCGCAGTTAGTTAATATTTGCTAATATTTGGTCACTTGTGATCAAAAATCTCACTCCACTTGGACTTTCTAAACTTTTATTTCTTTCATGTAAACTTTAAGCTTGAACTTATGAAAATAACATTTTTAGAAGCTAATAAATTGAAATTGACAAATCTTATACAAAATTATGTGATTTTTGTACATTTTTTGTGAAATTAAAGATCAATCGATCATAAATGTTACACCTTTTGATTCTCTACTGATCTCCGAATTTTGTTAATCAACTGCTTTTTGGTGTAAACCAATGTATTAAATTGCCTCTCCAAGGCTTCAACTCGTCTCTCTGAACATTTTATCCTATTGACTTCGGTTCTTTTAATTGATTGCAATTTTTTAATCGACTCTTCAGTCTCTGTAATCGATTCCTTCAATTTTTTATCTTTCTCTTGCAGATCTGTCAATTTGGCATCAATTTCTTTGTCTTTTTCCTGGTCTTCCAATTCATGGATATTTTCAGTCATTTCTTCCTCGATCTGTTGAAAAATTTTCAGCTCCTTCATATATTCAGCTTCTGTCTCCTCGATTTTCAATTGGGTCGAAACTTTTCTCTTCACACAATCTGCAAACTGTTTCGAGAGTCTTTTAACTTCTTCTTCCCAAAATTGTCTCTGCAAAGGTACATTTTTGCTTTCCATTATTAACAATAGTTCTAATGATTGTTGAGAACCAATTTCACGTTGAGAGTTGAGATGAATGTTAAAGAATCAAAATAAATTGTTATTAATTTTCACAAAAACAAATTATAAGCACAAATAAAAAAATCAGACTCGATGAATTGTTGGAAAGCTTGTAGGGTAACAGATGGCTTTTTTAGCAATAGAGAAAAGCTAAATTCGAATTTTCAATTTTACTGTTTAGATGTAAAGGACTGAAGTTTTGTCCTGGTCCTTATCTGGAAAGCGAGGCCAATTCCTTAATTTCTGATATCAATCTAATAAAAGTTTGGTACGATTTAAATCAATTGTTTTGATTAAATTAATCGATTTAATCAAAAATGGAATTGAATAATGTAATTAACTGGCTCCATCTATTGTGATTTTGATTTAATAGAGATCTTCCGATGATATGACAACAAAAAAACAAACAGAATCTCATAACAAATGTGATGCAACTCAATTGATACGGTTAATGTTTCTCTCCTCTTTAAATCATTGTTGAAAATATTTTTTAATAATTAAATCACACTTTGCTGCTTATTTATTTGATAAATTTCAACATTTACAAGTACATTCATTAGTATAGATTATTTTTAATTGTTGTCAACATGACTTTAGCATTATCAGGTAAATAATTTTTATTCTTTGTTTACATTCTTTTCTACCCTCTTTTCCTCTATCGTTTCCCTTTCATCTTTGTTCCTCTCTTTGCTTTTTCCTTTCACTGTTCTTACTGACTCACAAGAATCTTCTGGAAGCCATTTTCTTGAAATGCCTGATTTTCAAACGCTTCCCGATGACTAATACATTAATTGTTATTCTAAGCACTTATTTATTCGCTTAGTCACGAATCTAATCTCTGGGTACTGAATGCTGAGAACACTCAAAGCCGATAAAATGCCAGACTTATATCTTTTCTTAGATATCCATTTGTTAATTACACTTTATCTTTTGTTTGATCAAAGCGTCCTTGATGCTAAATTGAAACATTTGAACCAGTTTATTGACTGAGCTTCATTTTCATTTTATCAGCAAGCCCTACTTTTCTAGACACAACTCCTTTTTCATTATTCCTTTGCAATTAAATTTTCGTTCTGCATTTATATTTTTTTTGTTTTTTTAGAGAATTATTAATTGTATTTTTGTGTTTTTATTCCTCCTTTATCAAGATCCTCGTGCGCCACCACCAAGTCCATGTATTGGTTCCTTTGATGAAGAAGCCATCTCCTGTTCTCCAATGAACGAAATCAGATTCAATCTTTGCCCACCATCAAACATCGATCCATCTACACCAAATACGACATCCGCAATGAATGAAAATATTGATATTGATAACTGTACAGTAGATTCTATGGATGTTTCATCATCGGTAGCTTCAAGCAATGAAGTGCAAACAGGGTCAACAATATCTGGAAAATGGACTGAAGAGGATACCGATAACTGCGACAATATGTTCCTTGTTGAATCTAGTTTAGGTGAAACCATCTTTATATTTGTTAAAGGTTCCATTATTCAAGAAAAAGACTGTATAACTGGAGATTTACTCAGAAGCTTTGATTTGAACAAACTCGATTATGCACAATTCTTAGATGACGAAGAGCCAAGGTTGAAACTACTGTTCAACAGCAGTGACTCTGATAAACCTGAAGTTATCGAAGTTTGTTACACTTTCGAAGATGAGGAATCCTTGAGTCGATTCAAGGATCAATTTATTGCTCCATTTATCAACGAAGAGTACCTTGGTATACCAGTTGGACGTGAAATAAGGCCGAAGGGATCATTAAAGACATCTAGCGGACCACGGTTAGAGGAAACCATTGGATTGATTTCATCACGGTCAACAGGCTTCAATTTCAATGATATCTCAATAAACTTTTTCGGAACCCAGATAAGCATTCCAGTTTTAACCAAGGAAAGGAGTCATTTCGATAGCAATCCATCGTCAGATAGTAACAAAAGAGGAGCTAATTGGACTGAAGAGGATGTTGAAAACTCAGAGGATATGTTCTTAGTTGAAAACAAAGAGAGTAAAACTGTTTTTCTATTTGTCAAGGACAATATTATTCACGAAAAGGATTGTGTTACCGGTGATGTTAAAGTTGACCATGATTTAGGGGTTATATCTAACGCTATTTTTCCAGAAGCAGGGAGTAAAAGTTTAGAAATGAAATTATTTTTCGATTCAAGGGTTCAAAGTAAAAAAGAAGCCCGTTACACTTTCGAAGATCAAGAGTCGTTCGATTCATTCAAGAAACGTTTCATTCAACCTTCACTAACTCAACGAGCAAAGACCCTACTTCAAGGAAGGAGGCGATTCGAATGTTTAAAATGTGGCTTCTCAGAAGTTGCCGGTCAAATGCATGAGAAAGACAATTCTTGTCCTCAATGTTCCAGTGTTTTCACTTTTTTCACCAGTGACCATAAATGATACACAATCTTACCGACTGTTTGGCTTGTTTTGACCTAAAAAAGCAAGAGTAAAGAACTGATCCGAGTTTCGATGTAAACTTCTCATCATTACAAACCACAAGTTATTTGGAAACACCAAAAAAACAATGAATATCTCTTTTAATATCTTTGTTGAACCATTTTGCTAACCTACACTTTTATTTCTCATTCAAAATATCTAAATCAAATTTTCAGTTATATTTTGCTTTATTTTACACATTGTATCATTTCCATGTAGGAATAGCTCACTTTATCTGTATTATATACAAATATATTTATATCATTCTCATCACATTTGTTTTGTGAAAAAAAAACTTGTCCAAATGTTAAACTTTGATTTAATTTCAACACACATTTAAGTGTCAACCTCTTTATGAAAAAAAAGATGGAAATTTATTGGATGATGAGGTGAAAACATCATGTTTTTCAAAGATTTTCACCTTGATACTTCTTTTTTACATTTACTATTCTGTATAACTCTGTTTCCAACTTGTACTGAACAATAGTTAATTAGTGATAACGTGATTACTAGAAAACCTACTCTTTTAAATGAATTAGCCTACACGATGAAAAACCAGAAATGATTTCTGGTTGAGTGGGTTAACCACATAACAAGAAACCCATTGGCTTCGCGAAATCTAGAGATTTTTAAATTGCAAAATCCAGTTGAAAACAAATGACTTTCAAGCAATTAGAAGATGCAATGATAGCAATCAAATCTCATTGGTAATCTTATTTGTTACCATCGCAAATTGTTTCGTCAAATGTTATAAAATGAACAAGCCTTTCATTGTTTAGTCAAGGAAATCACTTTATTGGATAACCTTTAATGCTTCTCATTAAATCTAAGTCACCAACAGGTGTAAATTTGGTAAAACTGTCAAAAAGTATCATTACAAGGTTGATCTGAATCGTCATTCAAATCAAATCTGACTTTACAATGAATCCTGATCAGTTAGATAATGTAATGGAATTATAACTCACGTGTGTCAATCTAATCTATATTTATTTTTAACTTTTAAATCTCAAAATTCTGTTTAAAACTAGATTTTTTGATAGCTAAAATTACTGGTCACTTCAATTTTAATTTCAATCACGAACCAGAGACAAGAGGTCATTCATTGACAAAGGTCATTCAGGGGCATCACAAATTAAATGTTGCTTTTATAATAGTTAGTTATCTTATCAAATTAGCCAGTGTTTAATTCTTCCGTCATCATCTGTTCATGCAACTGATGAGCTTGATTGTAATGATAATGAAGATCGTGATCAACAAATAGAAGAAAGAGAAGCGAAAGAGAGAAAAGGGTTTGACAGTTTGAAACGTATATGAGCAGAGAAACATCAAGCTTGATTCTGATTCTTATTTAAGCACGATTTGATTCTCATTATATTGTTCATTCATCGTCATTCCTTCTTTTAATTCGTTCTCCATTATTTACACACAATGAAGAGTTATTTAGCCATTGCTCTTGTAATAACCGCCATTTATGGTGCATCAGGTAGAGCCACTGAACAGTGTCAAAGGGATAAGAAGTTTGATATCGCTCTTTTATCCGTTCAATGGGCTCCTGGTGTTTGTACCAAACCAGATAATGACAACAAATTCAAACCATGTAAAGTCAAATATGAAGATGAATTCACTATTCATGGAATGTGGCCAAATTATTTCGACAACTCTTATCCTTCAAATTGCTGTTTTGAACAATACTTGAACAAAGGAAATCTTGACTCCATCACAAGCCAATTGAAGGTAAGTTGAATTGAGTTTGTTTTTCAATTGAAAATAATTTCTACTAAAATTTATTTTATAGAAATATTGGAAATCTTTGTATGATAATGATTCTTGGGGCTTCTGGATCCATGAGTGGAAGAAACACGGAACCTGTGCTAAGTTTTCAGCATTGAAAGGACAATTCAATTACTTCAACACAACTTTGAATTTGTTCAAACAAATGCCCATTGGTGATTGGTTAGCAACTGCTGGAATCAAACCAAGTAACACAGGAGTTGCTCTTGAATCTGTCCGTGAAGCAATCAGAAAGGGTTTCAAGGGTCGACCACAATTGGCTTGTAGTGGTTCAACTTCTGGTCTTCCTATTTTGACCGAGATCAGATTCTGTTTCGATCCAGAAACACTTGGCCCTCTTGATTGTCCTGCAGAAACTAACAGCTGCAGATCAAAAACTGGAAAAGTTATCATCGTCCCAGCTTGATCCTGAAGCGATAAGAAATTACAATAATGTATCGATAGTGGTAAAACAAGGAATGCTTTTGTTTTCCCGAACATTGTAACTATTGTTGTTGTTGTAGCAATTATTGTTCCTAAATAAACCTCAGTAAATGAATATCATATGACAGATGTTGCAAAAGATCCTCAAGTAATTTGTTTGCATCATGTGCCCCCGCTTGGGAAATTCATCAGGTACAGTATGATGTAATATATTAATTAATATAATTCTAGTGTAATTTAGTTTATGCCATGAATATACTAAAAGTCAGTATGGCTGCTGATGTTGAATTCAAGTTAACGACGACTAAAGCTTTCAAAGCGAATTAAAGTGTAGCAATCGTTAACATTATAAGATAATTAACCCAATTCAGCAATAATCGAATCAGTAAAAGATAACTTCACAATTTGCGTGATGGTTCATAGATGTTTCAGCTCAAGATTTTTAGCTTCTGACGAATTTTCTTTACAATCAAGCTCTCATGATCTGTGATTTAAAGACCAGATTTTTCTGAAAGTCTAAGACCAGAATTATCAGTTAAATCTCAAGCTAAGCGAAAATTTTACACAATTTAAGCCTTTGGTTAAAGTAAAACACTTTAAAATAGCCTCAGATATACACATTTTCAGGTGTGCTTAGATTAACCATTTCAATAATCTTGTTAAATAGATCAAGCTCATCTCAAATTATCATTTTTACTGGTCTTTTGAGTTTTTTTCATCAATATGTTATTGTATTATCGCCATTCTAGACTCTTGCTTGATTCTGATTCTTCAAGCTTCTGGATCCATTAGCGAAAAAACATGGAACTGTGGTCTAATTTCAGCATTAGACTTCAACACAGCTTTAAATTTATTCAAACAAATGCCACTGGTTAACAACTGCAAGAATCAAACCAAATGACAAAGGATATCCTTGAAGATATCCGTGTAGCAATTGGAAATGGGGTCAATAATAGACTTCAACACGATGTAAGTTTAATTGACATCGATTGAATGAACATATATGGCAATCTTTATCACTCTTAAACCAATGTTGATGTACTAAAGGGAAGCAAAGTTTTTTTCATAAAAGTCATGTTTAATGAAGTTTGTTCAAATTAGTATCTATTAATAACATGCTGAACTCATCATAATCTTTCTATTATTCATTTAATTTCCAATACAGTCTTCTTATTATTTGCTTGTACATGGTCAAATTGCTGTAAAGTAGTGTACCAAAAACTTGATATCAAACACATGAGAAGGATAAAATGAATAGGTTCAGAAAACTTTCATTACATGGTGAGTGAATTAAATAACACAGGTTTATGTAAAGTGGAAGCAAAAAAGTTATATTGAATTTCATTCAGATACGAACAATGACATTCAATTTTCAATATTTAATCCACCTAGCTCTAATTTAATTGTTGCTATTAAAACTTCAATGCTAAACAAATATGTAGGACTTCATCTCATTTGTCTCTGGAGTAGGAGTAACAGAAATGTTTTATCTACCAGATAGCTTATTATTTATTGATAGCAACAGCAATAAATAAATGACTTAATAAAACCAAAATAAACATTCAAGTTGGCTCAATCCATATTTGATTACACATAAAATTACTCGTGAAAATTATGTTATTATATTCGGTATTATTTATTAATTGGTTATTCATTAATTTATGCATCCGATGTCATTACATTTGTATTATAAAATGTGCAAAGTGTGTATTGTATTATGTTGCACCGAAAACCTCTTTATTGGACATTTATTTATGCTTTTTGCTAATTCAAGTTACAGGTGTAAATTTGGTGAATGTCAATAAGTATCATCAATTGGATTGTCGTCCGAATCAAAGCTAGCTGCACAATAGAAGCTGATTAGTCAGGTAGTGAAATAAAATTATTTTAACAATTACGATTGAGTGTGAAAAACTATTTGAATTTCATTTTTACTTTAAACTGTGAATGAATAATTTTGTTCGTACATTATTAATTGAATTTGGCAAATAAAGGTATTTGATTCATTGGTTGGTTTTATTATTTGGAGTATTTTTAGAGACATTACATGGATTGCATTCAATTGTACAGTCGTCTCAATTTTTCGAACGACAAATGTTGAAAATAATAAAATATAAGTGGAGAGATCAAATCTAAGCAGCTGATTGTCATTTAAACATATTTACAGTTTGAATTAAGAGATCTGTTCATTATGATCGACTGATGATGTAGAAGTCAATTAAGATTCTTTCGGGTTGGTTATCTGGTTTGTTGGTTGACGATGATGAACAGATGTCTCTGGATTTCCAAGAGCAATTTGTTTTCCTTGTTGTGTGATACAATTTATTTTCAATTTTGCAGCATCACAAATTACGATATTAGGACCCATCTCTTTGGATTCAACACAACCCTTTTTATACTCTTTTGTTCCATTTTTTTCAACACACACAGCAATCGAAGTTACTGTGGGCTCTGTTAAGCTAGGTATCTCTTCAATGATCATGGATTGTTCCGCTTGCAAGATAGCTTCGGTTTGACTAGAACTTTGCACATTATTATGAACTTTATTATTAACATATGTATCGTAGACTTGAGAACCGTTACCAACATCATTTTCAATGATACTTTCTTCGATGCTTTCAAATGACGTTTCATGATAAACACGATCTTCACTGAGAACCGATGTTGTTTCTTCATCATCAGCTATAACTCTAGGGACATCACGAAGATCTAAACTTCCATTTACATTGCTTTCGTCAATTCGGTCAATTTCAATTGCATTATCGTCACTAACTAGATTTGCATCCTTTGAATAAACACTATTGTCTCCTCCTTGTTCACAGCCATCATCAAATACTTTTGTTGTCACTAACGCTTCATCTGTCGAGGCAGGAATATGTGATTTAACACCATTTTTACTTGATTTACCAGCTTTGTTTGTTTTTTTGAGGTTTGAGTCTTTAGTGCCATTTCCAGTTACCGTATTAGACGATTCTATTTCATCTAATGACTGACAAGTAGCACAAATATATTTTTCAAGATGAACAACTTCTTGAGGATTAGATATTCCAGCACACAGTTGATGAAACCATCCTTGGCATCTTCCTTCACAAAATATCCAATCAACTTCTTGACCCTCAGGCCGAAGACATTCGGAACTCAGTGAGCAAAGTTCAGGCTCAGCGTCAACATTATTATCCTTATCACTTTTGCCTTTACGATTTTTTTTGCCCTTGCTTCGCTCAAAAACACTACGATCTCGCCTTCGTTTTTTGTTTCTTGATTTTGTCGCATCGGTCTCGACAGCTTCCCCTTCATTACCTTCATCTGATTCAGGTGTACGTTTATTTGTGTCAATCATAAATGTACTAGAAGCTAGTATGGCTAATGATGTTGAATTTGGGTTAACGAAAACTAAAGTCTTCAAATTTGAGCTGGAATAAAGTATAAAAATAATTAATATCGTATCATCAAATAATTCAATTAAAGAAAAATATTAGCTTACTTTACGAAAAGCATGATATTCCATAGATGTTGTACCTCAGGAATACCAGCTTCTAATAAATTTCCTTCGCAAATAAGCTCCAATAGAATAGTGCGAGATTCATTTGAAAGTCTTAAACCATGATTATCTGTTAAATCCTCTGCAAAGAACAAATTATTAAAATAAATTACAAACTGTAAAACTAAACTTGTTGGATGATAAATAACTTACTTCGTAAGATCAAAGGTGATTTTCGCTTATTTTTAGATGGAGATCCTGTTATATTTTGTTCTTGACTGGAGGAATCACTATTCAAACAATAATTTTTTTCTACAATGTCGAATCCTTCTAATAGATCAGAGTGGGAATCGATTCTATTCTTCACTTTTTCTTGGTATCTTTGTATTCTATTTAGAAGACGGACCAACAGTTCACCTTCGAGAACACGAGTTGGAAGCTTTGTATAAGAATAGATTAGCTCTTGTACAAGATCAATCGAAGGTCTTTTTCCACGGCAACATAGAATGCAGACAAAGTTAAATTGATCGACAACATCATCTGAATTTTGTATAAGCAGTTGCTTACGTCCCTTTGCTACCAAATTAACGAATGGCAAATAAGAAGATACGCAAGAGACGTGATACCATTCTTGACAAAGTTGACATTGAACCATCCAATCGCCTGCTGGTTTACCACAGAAACAAAATTTCCTCGAATTTCTATCACGTTCCTTAGATTTTCGATCTTTCTCGTTCAAATCACCATCTCCAGTATCATCATCTGCGGCATTAAACTCGTTAAAAGCAATTTGATTGTTTTTCTTTGTGTTCTTTTCCCTTATAATTTGAATCTCGGACATTTCATCTTTCTCACACAGATCATAAATCTTATTAATCTTTGCAGCACTGAAATCACCAGAAAGTTGTTTTTCAAAACCGGTCAGTTTCTTGCTCCCTTCACGAGCTGGGGTTTGGGTTGCAAATTTTTTCAATTGCTGATATATTGAGCGGGATGAACAATTCATAATATCAATGCTTGATGGAAGGGAATAGTTACTTCGAGGAGCCAATACATTAACAATAGGATAGAATGAGTTTCTTCGAAGAAAAGTTTTGTTGACTTTATCCTTCCAATCGTTGGCAACTTGCAAAGAAGCTTTCATAACACCAAGAACATCAAAATGGATACCAATATTCTTCCCTTTATTGTAAAGATCTTCCAGCTCAGAAGCATATGGAATATTTTCTTCATCTTTCTGTTTATCTGATCGAAGTTTTGTCATCATTTCAAGGGCTGTGTTTGACCATTGTTGACATAAACTATACAACTGTTGCAATTCATCCCAAACTGGATTCAAATCAACAGCTCGTAATCCAGGACTTTCTGCACTTTGATCCATAAGTTCTGCCATCGCATCTAAATCCAATTTTTCACGATTTAATGTTGAAGAGTTTTGTTTGACTGCATTTAGAATATCTTTAGCTTTGTCCAACCAATGGTTTGCTTCTTCCCAAATCATGTTGAGGCGATTTAGATAAGATGTAACTACATTTGATGGTGCTTTTAAGTCCATTCCAGATTCGATAAGAGATTTCAAATCGCTTAAATTACTTGCTCGGCAGCGAGGGTTTTGCTTTCGGTCAAGAAAAGGGTCACAATCTTCTAACCATTTAATCTGAATTAACTTTTCCTTCAGAATGTCGAGTTTACGTTCAAAACAAATGAATGAAATTGTATTGGCATCTTGAATTAGGTTCAAAAGTTTTCGGGAATCAATTTTAAGAGATGTATTTTCGTCAAGATAACTATCAATAAGTTTATCAATCTCAACACATCGAAATAACAGCTTTCTAAGTTCATCACTTCCAGGGACTTTAAAAGGATAAGTGTCTAATACTTCACAGAAACCCGAGAATTCGAATACACTTAATTTTCGGTTTTCGTTATCAGATTCATTATTTCTTGATAATACGAGTTTTGATTTCACCGGGTTGTTTCCATTTTTGTTTTCATCTTTTTCTGATTCCATCTTTTTCTTTATCCTGGCAGAAGATTGAGCTAAAGATGATTGATATTTAACACGTTTGGAGTTTTCTTCTTCTATGAATTTGTTTTGTTGCTCGAGAAGTTCCTGGACAATTTTATGAACCTGTTCAAACTCTTGAAGAGCATTGCACAACTTTTCATATTCTGGACAATCTTGCGGGTAAATTTTGTCTTCAGCTATATCGTAAAGATTTCGTAAAACAGTTATAGGAACTTGTTCGGACCAATTATAAAGCAGACTATTAACTTCTGTTTTCCATTTCTCGAAATTGTTGACCTTGACTTTAATTTCGTGAATCAGCTGTTCAAACTCCTCTTTTTTATATCTATAACGAAAAACTTTATCTGAAGGGGGACATTTTTTACAAAGATGGTCAATGTGCTTGAGACACACGAAGCGATCTAGCGGAGAGAGAAAAACTTGGATGAATAAATTGAAATACAAAGCAAAATAAGGAACCTACCAGTTTTACAATTACAGATTAAGGCTGAGAAAAATATGATGAATCCACAAAATGAACATCGACGATCATCTTCTGGAATGAGCTCGAAAGCTTGACGTTGGCGTTTAATACAGGTTGGATAGTTTTCGATTACTTCTCGTAAACTCAATTCTTGGTAAATTATAAGTTCAAGATTGGTTGAAATTTCATTCAAGGTTTCAATACCAAAAAGCTCGCCATCAATTGCTAACTTTGATATCATCTCCTCATGACTAAAAAGAGGAGATTGTTTATTATCACAGAGATATTCGATAGCTTTATGGCCAATTGGAATCCAACTAATAGGAGCAATGACCACAGACTCAACTACATTGACTCCAGAATCATAGTTCATATAATACACGGACGGAAATGTTACTAGAAAATGACCGGGATGAAGTTCAGCTTTGAAAACCTATGAATTTTGATAAAGTAATTTAATAAAGTAAATTAAAGGGCATAAACAATTGACAATATTAATCTTACCTTAAGTTTCCGCTTTGAAGCTTTCAATAATGCGTCGGATGAATTAGAGGTGGCAGTTGTTTCTCCAATTAAATCGATGGGTAAAGGAATTGATCCTGAATCAAATTCTGCCTCAAAGAGATGATTATCGTCAGGAGAAACAGCATAAAATATTTTTGAATCACCGCAATGTAAATAATTAATCGAATATGACCAGTGAACATCTCTCCTCCACCCACGATGTGAAAAACACATGCCAATGTCCCTTTGAGCAAAAAAAACAACGTATATAACAATAAACAGAACAATAAACATAGAGAACTTGAGACTTACAATGTAGGAACTGTGTTATCTCTTAATTGGTTTCCAAGAAAACTAAATATATTATCCTCTGATTCTGGAATATTTAGAAAATTCCAAGTGTGGTCAAGGTATTTTTCATCGTCTTTTGTTAAGAAAGATCCCGGCTTTCGAGTTGGAAATCCTGATCCGTAGACATTAGTAGATAAACGATAAGCAGAGAAAATTTGAACATCTTCACCCTGAGAGACTAAAGTCCAGAAATTTTCATCAATTTCCTCTAAGGGCACCCTCTTATAGAATTGAAATACAAAGAAAAAGATTAAATATAAGTAAATATCTGATAAATTCCATTATTCTCTTGAACATGTTGAGATTACTACTTACATTTGGAGGTTTACCAAAGTAATCGCATTTGAAACTATCACCCATTCGGTGATATTCGCGAAATGTGAATTCTTTTTCTGCAGGGACATCTTCGTTGCTAAGGAAGTCTTGCTTGATTGTTTTAAATTTAAAAGTGTCTTGATCAAGACTAAAATAGGGATTGAATGACTGTAAAAGAACAAAAATAATATTCTTAATATTTACAGGCTTTGAGGCTTAAAAACGGGCAGCTTTGACATTTGGTGGAATGTCAATCAATATTTTACACCATATTTTAAACTTGAATTTACGTTGTAAAGAGAAAATAATTAGCAATAGGTAATGATAGCCTGATTAATTTGAAATACTTCAATAATTGGTTTCCAAATCATCATTGAATTTGAAATAAGCAATAACAAAAGAAATTCTTACCTGAGGAGGAGCAATAATACAGCAAGGTATGTTTGGATGATTTTTGGAGATTTTTCGGAGATAATTAGCTGGTCCAATTTTAAATTCTTCCTCACCGGGTCTGAAAATAGGAGCATCTATAAATTTATTAACCAATGGAGAATCCATTTAGAGCAGATTGAATGAAAAACCTTAAAATTTGCAGAGAAAACACCGAGGTAAGATACATTCAAAGAATTGAAAGTGATCAAAACATAGACAGTAAAATTTGTAGAATAATGTGAAATGGCAAAATTTGAATAAATATGTTAACTAATAGTTAAACAGTTGAATAAAGGAAATTAAATAAATTTAAAATAATCTACAGTTAGAAAAAAGAGTACTGGAAAAATATGTTGGTAACTAGTCAAAGAAAGCTTCTAACAAAGATATCACATGTGGTTAAAAAGCAATAGGTTGGTAACCAGTTTTCTCTCAGTTGTCAATGTAACAGTGAACAGCCAATTTCAAAGTTACTTTTGCTAGTTATGAAATTATTATTCATAAATAAACTGTTCTATTCAATTCTATTCTATTTCTTACTTCTAATTTCATAATTATAAATATTTGTTAACCTAAAAATGTGACCTGACCAAGATGCGCGCTTTTTAAGCAATTGTTAAGGACCACTCTTCTTAAGGCCTACCAAACATGGTAATTTTATCGTTACCTAGACATTGAAGATGCTTCAGAAAATGTACTTTTCATATTTTATTATGATTAAGACAATGACTTATTGTCTCTGGCTGCTATCAATTGACTTAAAAGGGATAAAATGCAGAAAAATTCAATTCTCATATATTTAACCTCAATTTGGTTTGAGCAAGTCAAATGGATTTGATCTGGACGCTATATTTCATTGTTTGAAAATCTCCAAAATGTGTACCAATGGTCAAAATAAATTAGCTTGGTTAAGGAGGGTCCGATATACAGCTAAATACCAGAAAAAGTAAGTTATATCAATCAGCTGTAATTTATGGTTTTCAAATTTTATACTGTCGTCCTAATTAACAGTTTTTTGTTGGCCTTTTCTGGTACCTTTATATTATCATTGCATTGGAGTTTATAAACTATAGTTTACAATTGAACGGCGTTAAGTGAAAACAAGAAAAACCCAATGAAAATGGGTATACTTGTTATTAAGTATCATACAAGTTACTACCGCCCAACTAAGATAAACATTGCCAGGTAAACAATACAAATTTCGGTCATTTGAAGGTATATTTTTAGATTATTGAGCTTTTCTTTTTAAATATAGTTAACAGTGGCGATTACCGTTTTCAATGAGCCATATTAGTGAAGTCCTTTTTTTAACGTAAATCTGATAAGCTCACCTAACCTGCAATGAAAACAAACCCACTAATGTTTAATGGTTTTCATTGAGTGTAGCCCCATTCCTTTTATATTATTAATTGTCTCTGTCTTTGCAACAATTTACTAAATTGTATATTTATAACTTTTGCTCTCCATATTCATCTCTACCTTTACCTCATAGTCCTCATCATCATCTTCAACAATTAGGGTCATTTGCTACTTGTTAAACTGTTAAATATTACATACTTTAACCCCGGTAATGATGTTTCTAAATCAATCATCAGCTTGATTGTTTATCCAACATGAGAAAATAATGCATTATTAACATAATTATTGGCACTGTTTACACAATATTTTATTACTCCTTATATAAGTGAAAACACTACCAAACCACCCAAAACACGATCAACATTTAAACTTTTCAGGTAATTTAATCATCAGCCTGACTTGAATTTTGATCAGTTTTATTTTGATTTTTGGTGCTGCAATAATCAGTTTTTCAATTCAACTTTCAGTTTAAATCATCATTGTGTACTACCAATAATACAACGCAAAGCAATGGGATTAACAAAGGTAAGAATCAAGTCTTTAAGCTATTTCTATAGCTTATGTTCAGTGTGATTTGAACCAATCATCAATGTTTTTAAGTCTATCCTCTCGATTGATTCCAGTGATTAATTATTTAAATTTTGTTACCACAGTTTAGTTATTTGCTGTTCCTACCAATCTTGGTTTCCGAGTGTTTCTTCAATCCATTCAGATGGAGGCAAAATACAAATTGTGACAGTTACAATTACAACAGTGTACAATCTCACATGCCTTACAATTGTGGATATCAACAATTAACTCGTCCCTATTATCCGCAATATCAATCAATGATGGAAACCATGGAAAATTATCCTTATTATGGAATGCACCAACCATTCAAACCATTCATGATCAGTGGTAAGTTGACCAAAAATTTATTTAGCTTTGGGCCAAGTTCAACCTTTTGATTTTGTAATATGGCGATTCTATTGTTTATTTTCAGGCCAACAACAATATTATGGATCAAAGAGTCCTTCTTATTACCCAAATTATTATTACAACTCTTATAGTTCTCTGGACTCTTCTATGGCCAATGGTTACTCTAAAAGCTGGCCTTACTCTTCATTCCAACCAAGTGTTCAGGTTCCACCACCAGTTAGCAAAGTGAACACTCAACAGATCAAACTTAAATCATATTAACCGCAAGTGAACAAGGCAACTTTTGTTAATTAGCATCACCTAATCATCTCTTATTATCACTTTCATTTTTCCACCGTAATATACTTTTACTTCATTTTCAATTGGTATACACAAAAAAATTGTAATTTTGCGATTAATAAAATGAGATTGCAAAAAATGAACAAGTTGTTTCACAAATGTTTAATTGGTTGGAGTAAATTGTACTTTTATTATAGTTGATTTGAACAAGGGGAAAGATGATTATGGCACAGGGTTAACTGTAATCAGCGAAATTCATAGAAATAGATTTAACCCCATATCAACATTAAATGCTTTTCAATTGTTTTTGTGCAATAAAGAGAGTTTTGTTAAAATTTTTTACAAAGCACAAAATGATGGCTTGTCTGCTGATGAATATATAATAATTTGATGAATGATTTTCTAGAAAAGCTCTTAAAAATATATCTTCTCACAAACATGATTAGTATATATGATTTGAAAAATATGATTTCAAATAGATTTTCTTATACTCATTGTATGGTCAAGTAGTTAAAAGGGTGTTTTTAAAAAGCAATCAATGTAGTCAATTTTTGGGTAGAAGACCAGCTTCTTTAGCTAAGCTATGGAAATAGGAGACTTGATTCTTCATAAGATTGGCTGGAGAATCAAATTCAACTATTTTACCAGCATCAAGCACCAATATGCGATCAGAGTCCATGATAGTGTTCAGTCGATGGGCAATTGTTAAAATTGTACAATCAGAAAATTGACTTCGAATAGTTTCTTGGACCAAAGCATCAGTTTCCATATCGATAGCCGCTGTTGCTTCATCAAGAACTAAAATTTGGAAAAGATGAGAATAGTTAGTCATAATTGTTTAAATTTTAACTATTGAGCTAATTAAACTATTTAGCTTTTAGCTTACCTAATACTTTCGATTTTTTGAGAAGGGCTCGCGTCAAACAAATCAATTGTCGCTGTCCAAGGCTTAAATTTTTACCTCCTTCACTAGCTTGGAAGTCAAGTCCAGCTCCTGACTGTTCAAAATATTTTTTTAGATGAGAAAGCTCAAGACAGGCCCAGATCTCATCATCGCTATATTTATCAAATGGATCTAAATTGAATCTTAAAGAGCCACAAAATATGACTGGGTCCTGAGGGATAATTGCAAGGCGAGATCTCAAAGTGTGTAAACCAAGATCATCTATATTGCAATCGTCAATTAATATTCCTCCTTCGCAAGCTTTCAATATTCGGAAAAGAGCTAACGAAATAGTTGATTTTCCAGCTCCAGTTCTGCCGACAATTCCAATTTTTTCACCAGAACCGATTGTACATTCAATTCCTGATAAAACTTTGTCCAATTCAGGTCGATAACGAGTTGAATAATGATCAAAATGTATTGATCCTTGTGTTGGCCAATTTGGTCCAGGATCTCGCTTTCCTTGGAATCTTTCACCTTCAGGAGGTAAAGCTGAATATTCAGCAATACGTTCTACACAGACGATATTCACCTCGAGTTCAGCAATAAAGTCGAGACACATAATACTTGATTCTGTAACACGTTGTGCAGCAACCAACATAAGACCAATGTCACCGGGTCCAATTGAATCTTTTGAAATAATACCAAATATGGCGACCAAGAAAAGAAGTAGAGAGCCGAAAATGCCGAGAATCATTTGCCTCCATAAAATAGACATAACTGATAAATAAGCTGTATTTTGATTTGTATCGATTCGCTGGAAAAATTCATTTATAAACCTATTTTGAACACCATAGGCACGAATAGTGACAATACCAGAAACTGATTCACCGATATAGGAATAAATCGGGGATCGTGTCGTTGAATCAAGTCTTTTCAATTGTCGGGTAGCTGGCATGTAGACTCTAGGAAATATACTGAAAATGAATCCAAGGGGAAGCATAACCAGAATAAACACAGGTGCTTGGATTGCGATATTACACAAAGCTCCAATACAGTCAATGGCCGCGATAATAAGACAACAAATAACTAAACGAATCCACATATCGACAACATCCATATCACGTGAGAATCGATTCAATATACGACCAATGGGTGTTTTTTCGAAGAAAGATAAAGGAGAAAGTAAAATACCAGAAGCCAAATCCTTGTGAAGACCTCTACAAGAATGAACTGAAGCTATGTTGGAACCAATCATGGTAACAACAATTCCAATTCCTTGTGCCAATGTTATCGATGAAAACACTGTATACCTCCACCATGGGTCATCTCCACTTGTAGCTTTATCAGCCCAAATAGCGAGCCACATATTACTTGAGATTAAAGTAGCAAACCAAAGAGCGGCTGCACAAGAAGTTACAGCAAACCAAAGGAAAGGTATTTTCTTGAAGTATTGCTTGTAAACTGCCCAATCAATTTTACCACTTTCAAGAAATTCATTTTCAACAATATTTTTCGTTTCTTTTGGATCAGCATCTTCTTCATCGGCGTCAATTTCCAAAGCAGAAGCTTCGTTTGCCTCTTCCTCTTCTTTCTTCTTACGTTCACGAAGACTTAATTTTTGCGCCAATCTAGCCAACGATCCTTCAGCTTCTAATAGTTCTTTGTAAGTTCCAGTTTCAATGATTGCCCCATTTTCAAGCATAATAATCTTATCGACTTCCTGTAAAATATCCAAATTGTTGGTAACCAAAACTCTTGTTTTATCTTTCAATAGTCCAGTTTTCGAGCTAAGTACATTCTCAATCAGATGGCGAGCCACTGGACCATCAACAGCACTCAAAGGATCATCAAATAAGAAAAGATCAGCCTCACTATAAACTGCTCTAGCAATGCTAACCCGTTGCTTCTGTCCACCCGAAAGGTTGATACCATTTTCCCCAATTTCAGTTGAATCACCATCAGGTAAAATGTTTATATCCTCAGCTAAGGCACAAGCGGTTAATGTTCTGTCGTACTTTTCCTTGATAAATGGTTTACCGAAAAGTATATTTTCTCTAAGAGTCATGTGTTGACACCAAGGTTGTTGAGAAATGAAAGCAATGTCTGAACCTCCATCAATATTTATTTTACCTTGAGTTAAATTCATTTCACCAAGTATAGCACTTAAAAGTGAACTTTTACCAGAGCCAACGGGACCAATGATTGCGGTGAATGATTTTTTGGGTATTCTGATATTAATGTTTTCAAGATCAGCTGGTTTCCATTCCATCGAAACAGATTCGGAAGGATTGAGGGCGCTTTTGGATGAATTTTTGGTTAATCCTTTGTTCATTTTTTTCTCACTCTCTACTTTAACTGTTCCGTCTTTCCAGCTAAAGCTTGCTTCTTCGATTCTGATGGCGTCTTTGTCTTCATCTCTACTAATGTATTGTTCAGGATCACCAAGGTTCAAGAAACTATTGATTCGACGACATGAAACCATTGCCAGAGTATACTTTTCAATAACTGTACAGAAACGCTGTAAAGGCATTTGAATGGTGGCAGCAATTGATAAAACAAAGAAGATATTTTGGGCTGTTAAAGGTTCAGTATTTGTTGCCATGTATGCTCCAAAGATCAAGACTGAGAAAATCAAAGGTAAAAGTGGACTTTGAAGGATAATTGAGGCCTGAAGGAAAGCCATTGTTTTGAGATATTTAAGTTCAGAATCTCGAAGTTTGGCAATGTATTCCATGAATGATTCCTCCCATGCATACAGTTTAACAATTTTGACTCCATTGAGTACTTCATTCACAAAGCGAACCCGTTTATCTGTCTCTTCCATTTTTCGAGCTTGTTGTCGTTTCATAAAGCGAATGACTGATAAATTGAAAGGAAACCAAATGGCCATAATAAGTAGTGCATAAAGAGCTGAAGGACCTAAAGCTTGTTGTAGCAGATAGACGGAGACAACAAATCGGAATGGAGCAGAGAAAAGAACATAGAAAAATTCCATAAATTCAAGAAGTCGTCTGGTGTCGACAGAAACCATATTCATTAATTTTCCCGTTTCAAAGTCTCTCCATGAAGATTGAGTTTTTTTGAGCGCTTTTTTGTAAATTGCTGCTGATATTGTTGCCGTCATTCGTAGTCCAAGACACTGTTGACATTCTTTGAGTTGAATTTGTAATAAATTCATGGTTATATTGGCAGCAAATAAACATATGGCTAAAAGGAATCCATGCCAAGCTGGTTGTTCATATTCATATTGAATGAAACCGATAAATGCTCTAGAGATAGAAAGACAAGAAATAAGACATTTAATCAATCGATCTCTTAGATTAGTTCAGAGTGCTTTAACCTTATTAACATTTAATCAAACTTGACAGCTACAGGTAAAGCATTTATCTCATGTAAGCTGAAAAGATTCTTATAGCTATTTAACCTTTAAGTTAGTTAATTGAAAGAAATAAAAAACAGTTATTCAAGATACATGAGCATAGAATCATGTTTCTCTTGGATGATAATCATTATCTTCATCATTGCACATTGCAATATGATAGTTTAAAATCTTGATTTATCATAACAAGTTTTCAAAGAGTTTAATTAATTTTAAAGTTTCCGGCTGATTTGCTTGTTGAATTTAATTAGGAATCTAAAAAGCTTGTGAAAGGAAAGGAAAAATTTTTTTTCAATAATTATTGATATTTTCATATTCAAGTAAGTTTTAGATGGTTTGAGGTAATGATATCGAAAGGTTAATCAATTGAATGTTGATCTAATCATGAAATCTTTGAAGAGGACAATTAATGTAAGCTGAAGAATGAAAATGATGAGAAGTGACATTGATTTAAGGTCGCCTGTATGATAAAAGACTAAATATTGGCATAATTTTCTTGTAATTCAACTTATCGATAATATTGAAACAAAGTTATTAATCTATTTATAAGAAGTTGTCGAAATGATAATTCATTTCAATTTTTGTGTTGATTGAAATTTCATCTATTGAACACAATTGAATCATTTTAACAGTCAACAATTTGAGTTATTTTCACTCAAAATGGTGATCAATATGAAAAGAGTTGGCTAAAGACTTGACAAATATGGAATCAAAGAAACCATTTATTGACTTTCATGGTAAGCAAAGTGAAAGCAAATGTTTTCATTTCTCAACTCAAGTGTCTCAAGTGAAAATAAATCAAATGATGTTGATAATGAATGCAATTGTTGATTGGAAAAGACCTCTCTTGATTTATGATAAATTCAATGTCATTCTTTGCCCAATCAATATGAAAGAAAATTCATTATTTTTGTTTTCAACATGATACTCATCATCATCAACATCATTAAAAGATATTAGTATTTTACTTTCTTCTTCTAATCGCTTCCTTCTTTTCCTTCCTTCCTTTTCTTTCTCTGCAATTTTTGCTTCTTCTTTTCATGATTAAATTTATCATCTTCCAGTGATACACGAAGAATCTGCTTACATCTACCTTGTTAATCTAGTTTTAAAAAATCGATTCAACTTGATTCTGACTAGATTCAAGGTCATTAACTCATGAACTTGTTTAAAAATTAAGCTTCAGACGAACGATGACACAAGAAAAGAGTTGAAATGGTAAGATAGAGTTAAAAAAGTGAAGCTAACAGTTCTGGAAAAAATTACCGATGAATTAACTGATTGTCTATAGCAACTCATTCCATAAAAGTATCCAAATCAATCCTGTCTGACCACTGTTGGTCCATCTTATCCAATAATCTTTTTTACCATTTTTTACTTTCTCTTGAAAAAGTGTTTTAATGTAAGAGCAACAACTTACTTGATAAGGATAGGAACCAAAAGGGTAAAGATGTCAGTTAACAGGGTTAAAAGAATGGCAACGCAAAATTTTCTTGCAAAAAGTCGCATAGATAAAGTAACTACATCTATCTTTTTGGTAACATCACTGGTCAGTTTAGTCTCGATGGAAGGTGATTTGCCACAAGAGATGATCCTCTGGATACAGTTTCTTAAGTGATTAAGAACAGCTTGGAAAACAGTTTTACCAACTGAAATTGCCTGATCAAAATAGGAACTTAGAATGGCTGCTTGTAAGTTTCCCTTCAACTGCCACATATCCTCAGTACCAAGAGCTTTACGACGACCCAATAAGATAAGTTTAGTGAACCAAAGAAAAAAGATTCGATTGATGAAAGATGCTTGTGATTTTGGGCACATTTTGGTTTCAAACAAGGGCTTCTCAAGGGTTGAACTTGGACTGTGAAGGTGATGATGATGATTCAATGGATTTCGGAGTCGAAGACCTTCGTTGAAGGAAAACAATATCAACAGCAGAACCAAAATCGGAACATAAATGGTGTAGAAAACAAACTCAGAGAAAGGCTGTGAATTGTAAGTAACCCATTTATCGTGGTAAATAATGATGCTGAAAAACGTTTCGGTCACCAAGAACAACCACATCATTCCAGATTTTACAGATAAACGTTGTTTAAAATAAATCATAGTTAAAAAAACCTGTAAAGAAATGAATCAATCATTAAATGAAAATTAAAATGTAATAAGTATTTCAAAAAGTACTTACATAACAAGCAGCTTTGACCAACTGAATTATGGTATAAGCTAAAAGGACACGATATTGTGTTTTATAATAACGCTGGGTAAGAAGCGATGAATATAAAATGTTGGCAAGGCAGGCAAAAATAATTAGAGTCAGACGAGTCCATTTTAAAAATGTCCAATTTCCAAGATCAAAGCTTTTTTCACGGAAAGCGTGGGTTAATATGGTGAGAATCATTAGAACGACAGGGAATCCAGTGAGAAGGGTAACTTGGAAACACTCTGTAAATTGAGGATTCGTTGTATTCCATGATAATTGCGAATCCTGAGATGAGGAATGATTGAAATCACAGCAAAAAGAAAAAAAGATTAAAATTTGTTTCAATATCACAAGATGGATCGATTTTGGTTTGCAAATCAAATCTTACCCAGAAAACATCATCACCGCAAATTGTTTGAATTAGTTGACTTGAAGACATGATGAAGTCAATTATTGAGATGCACAACTAAAACTTAGAGGCACACTTTTTTATGTTGAGTAAAGATTGGCAATCTGCTGCCAATCGGACTAGGCTGGAAACTGAATGTTTATGGATTCTCCCAGTTCAGAATTCTTAGTGAAGAGTGAGAAAGAGGAGTGAGTATTTAGAAAGTAACAAGTGTAAGTGAGTGAGAGTGAAAGAGAGGTGATGTAGCAGTTGTTTTTTGTTGTTGTTGGTTGCTGCTGTTGCTGACGGAGATGTTGATGAGAACTGGGAAAGAGCAGGAGGGTAATCCAGCAGAGACTAGGCTGGATTTACGGGTTAACCTTATTCTTCTTGTTAACCATGTTTCAAACTGTAAAAAACACGACCTATGTAACTTCAAATCAATAGATCCATTAGTGTAGCTTGACGATGATTGTTTTTAACTGATTGATGTAAGTAAAGTTGACAAAAAAATGTCAATCTTGAATAACGATGGTTGACAGAAACTGAAATCACTATAAAACTCTACAAGTTAATTTGTTGAAAGCACATTGGTGATGGTGATTACGCGGGTGGAGAGATGCTCTTTTAAGAGGCTTGGCGATGTTATTATGATTGTCTGTTTCTTGCTTAACCAATATCACTCACTCACTGATTACTAAACCAAAAGGAGATGAAAGTTGATAATGATAATGATGATTTACACTTGAAAAAAGAAAAAAATGTTTACTAAATTGGATGTTGAACATGATGATAATATATTTTTTGCCCCAATTGAGCAATAATTGTCATTCAAAGATGATTCTCTTTTGAATTTATAAGGTAAGATTTGTGATTAGTAAAGTTGGTAGTTATTAGCAACAATAAAAAGATATTAAATCTGTGTGAACAAGTACCAAAAATATCACATAAGAGCAAGTAATAGGCGCCAAAAATTTAATCACATGTAACATATATTGAGGCACTGAACGGTAATTAATTAGATTTACAAAACTCTATTAAAATTTTAATTACGAGATTCAATACAAAACAAAATGAACAATTAAAATAATAATTTAACCCTAACTAATGGGTTAAAGATTGAAAATGAAAAGACAATGTAAATAGACAAAAGTCGACAGCAGTCAGCTGTGTTTACTTTTCCATGCTCACACTCATTAGTTGAACTTTACCAGATTTTTCCAACTGTTACACTTTTGCTTTTTTATTTTTTATCCAATATTGTTATTTATTCTAGTTTTATCATCTTGAACAGATCAGATAATTGCTGAATTGATCTTGAAACAGAAGTAAATCTATTTCTATCGTCATTGGATCTTCCATGTAATAAACTCGCACCAGCAAAGTAAAAGGTAACAAATGAAGGCAATAAAATAGGAAGGTAAGAAGTTAAAGGTAAAAAGTTGAATGTGTAGAGAATAAGAGAAAGGAAAGAAAATATTCTAAAAAAGAAAGGTTAAAGTGTTAGGTTCAATGTTCAGTTCAAACCAGCTCAATCTAGTTTGTGCTGAAGTCAAACAATGAAAAGTGTTGAAGAAAGGAACCAGAAGAAAGAAGAAGAAAAGGTACAAAGAAATGTAAACCTTGAACTCGAAAGAGAAGCTGAGAAAAGAAACAAAACTCTGACCTGGTGTTGATTGTTTAAAAACCAGGTAAATGGTTCACTCTGGGCCCTGACCTGATTGACCTGTGGCTATTTTGACAATGACCTGGGAATTAGGTTTTTTGTGTGTTACTGTGATTTACTAATGGATAGTGTTGGCTAATACTGTGCTTTTGTTAATCCTAAATCTTGTGAATCTTCAAGGTGAGAGATACAGAATCTTGGACCAACCAATATCAATGTTAAACCACAAATTATAGCCATTGTCAAGTTCACAGTAGATGGATTATTAACAGTTTTGTTTCTGTATTTAGTTTTAATTATTTGCTCTCAGAAAATTTGTATAATTTACTGTCTAATAGCGAGTTATGTAAGTCCATCAATCAACGAAAACTTGCTTCTCTTGATCGAGCAGCAACAAAAACAAGGTTGAATCAAATTAAAATCTTATATTCAAGCTGTTTGTTTGTAAAGTTGAAATTAATTGATGAAGTTACTTGATTGTAACTAACGGCCTGAAGCTGCTTACCTCTTTTATCAAATTGATTATTAGTTTTGTGTAAACAAAATATCAAGCACTATCATTTACTTTGCAAGTAAAAATCTTACATAAGAAAAATAAAATGATAATCAATCAGACAAGTAATTTAAAAGCAAATAAATATTTTATTACAATGAAAGATTTGGTGATGAATGAAGTGAAATGTGAATTTGAAATAATGGTTTTTTGGAGGAAATTGCCTTAAATAGTCATTGTTCAACAGTTGATGGATAAGGGATAAAATCATCGTTAATATGTTTCTCTGATAATTTAGGAATAATTGTATTCTTTACTTCACGAGTTTCTTCAATCAATTTTTCAACCATTTCTGCAGCTTTTCGTCGACTTTTTGTATTCCTCATGTTATTACTAATTGTTTCAATACGATTCTTCAATTCGTTATCATTAAGAATTGATTCGATGCTTTCAAGAAAATATTTCTCATCCAAATTCCATGGATCAATACGACGTCCAAGATTTTTGTCGACAATTCGAGCTGCATTATCCAATTGATCAAAATAATATGGTATTACAATCATTGGTTTCTTATGGTAAAGTGTTTCCATAATTGTATTGTTACCACCATGAGTTATCACCATATCAACCTCTGGTAATACTTTTAATTGGTTAACATAATTTTCACCCCACATATTTGATGGTAATTCAAGTTCATCTCCTTTAGGTCCTTTTGAAACAATAAATCGATGTGGACTTTTAGATAAAATATCAATTAATTGTCTCATTAATTGTAAATCAGCTGAAAATTGTGATCCCATTGAAAAATAGATCAATTTACCAGGTTTATCTTTTAAACATTCGGGTATAACAAAATAATCATTATCAGGTTGTCTAATTGATAAATCAACTCTAACCCAATTATCTAGAACAGGTCCAACCTCTGTATAATCTAAATCTTCTGGATAATGATAAAAACCAAAATGTTTTGGTCTATCAAGGAACCAAGCTGGCTCATATAAACCAGGTAATCCATGTTCATGTAACCAGTTATTGATCTTCTCTTTATGTGGAGCCATTGCATATTCATAAGCAGAATGAAACTCTTCTCGCTCTTTCTTACCACTGTGCACTGAAAGACCAGAAAACGCTGGTGGACCATTTGGAAACAAAGTCAATGGGTTAAGGGAAGCAATTGGTATATACGGTATTTTTGACTTAGCCATAACTGGAAATGGTACCAAAAGATCGCCAATGATTAGGTCTACCTCAACACTTTTCAAGACGCGTTCCAGTGCCTCATTTGTTTTTATGTAACCATCAACAAATTCAGCATAACTTTCTCGGTCCTTCTGGGTGAAACATTTAAACCTTTCAATAGCGTCTTTGTGAAATAAGTCATAGCTTCGTTCCAGCCATGTCATGAATGGAGTCAACTTTTCACCAGCAAAAACTTCTTCATCGAATGGAACGAACTGGAACCCTCGTCTATCAGCGAGATGCTTGTACTTTTGTCGATTCGCAAACATAATTGTATGGCCTCGACTTTGAAGAAGCTCACCAAAACCAAGCGATGCATTGATATGTCCGCAACTAAATATAACAAAATAAAATGAACAAAATTACGTTAAAACAAGGTTAAACATGTTGTGCCAAGTGTAAAGTGGGCTTCAACGTCAAGCACTTGCAATGACAATTCTCCCTCATGATTCAATCTAAGAGTCTGAAAAACAGTTCACAAGTTTCAGAATTTGAAACGACTTGAAAGCTATGTCAGTAGATTCTTATGACACTAATTATAAAACAGTCAAACAGTAACAAAGACAAAGAAAATTAATGTCAATTACTCGGCTAATATAAGTTAAATAAACATACAAGAATAAGCTTAATTAATAACTCATATCAACTAAACAATCAATCAAAATAAAGAAAGTAAAACCATTTAGTAAAAAGTTGAAATGATTACTTACGCATCAATGCTGGTAACCAATATTTTGTATGATGGCGCCATTTTATTTTCACACGATCGGCTGATTGTTTAATGGAGGGAGATTGAAATGAAACAAAAATCAAATGTGACCGAGTTGGAATACAATTTTTGACACTTTTATAATTGTAATGTAATTCAATTGGTTTGTCAATTTACTTGTTAATTAAGTTATTTAGTGTTGTTGAAATATAAACGATGTTGATAATGATGAACAGAGTTAATTTAAAATGAACAGTGAGAACTGATTTCACAAGTTGTCTTGTCGAGTTTTCATTGAGCTGTGGACACTTTCAATTGAGCTTGAATCTTTTTATTCAATTCTGTTTCCTATTTTCTTTCATTATCTTACTCATTATCCCTGATTTATCTCTACTCGATCATTTTCCATTCATAATTTCCACCGTAAAACCTGTCCTTGTTTCACAATCTTCACTCCTCCCCTTTGATCCCATTGTTTACCACATCTTGTTTATGTGTATGTTTTTCATCTGCTGCATGAAATAAGATTCAATCCTGATTTTAATCGTGAAAACAATTATCACCAGATCAACAAATATTGACGCAGACATTCAACAACATCATCTTCATTAACTCTTCAACCAATTTCAACGACAACATCCAATATCAACATTTCAAGTTGTGCCTTTTGGGTTAATGTTGCAAAGAGATATTTAACCGACCCAACTACTCTCTTAAAACCATGGAATGAGGACAGTTTATCAATGACCGAATTAGTTAATAGTATTTTGAACTAATTTACTTTATTTCTGATCTAGCATTTTCTGGTACTCAAGTTAACTGTTAACTAATACTTTTCTCTTCTCTTTTCAACAGGCTGTGATAACAATCCTGGTTTGATTGGAAATATTGTTTACCCGTTCCTGTGGAAAATCTGACTTAGATTCTTCAAGTACTTGGCCACCGGAAATAAAATTCCACTATCACTTGTTGTTTTCATCGTAAACATTGGAGAAAACCCTTGTACGTCACAATCAAACTATCCTTTGATATTGATCGACCTCACAATGGCAAGAATAAGCAATTGATAATTTTATAGTGATTACAAGATAAATTGTTGACAACTTCAATTGTTACTTTTTTATTAGCAATTTTTATTCCGATAAATCACCACTTGGAATAATTATGTACGTGTATTTAGTTTAGTTTTGTTGGTCAGTTATGATCCAATTATTCATGTTAGAATCCACGCAAATGCATCTCAAAAAATCATTTACACTTGATTCATTTGTTGAATGAGAAATAAAAACAAACTCGTTGTTTCAATGTGATTTGAACAAAAAACATTGCACTTTAAGATGAAATTAATGCTAGTGTTTACATGCGTAAATTAAATTTTTATAGATTGACAGTTCTGCAGAGTTCAGACAAGCGAAAGCAATTGCACTATCAAGCCAGACTTAGCCGGAAGGAAAATTATAACACACAGATAAACAGAGTTTCATCCAACATCGGAAATTATTGAATTGGAAGGTAAACAACATTAAACAAATTGTAACTAATCGATTAACATCAAATTCATCCTTGAATAAAATCATGAAAGGTTAATGCCATATAATCAATTTTGTTAAAAACAAAACAAGAATCATAATTAAATTGAATTGAATTAATTTCTTATGAATCTTAATCACTTCCGATGGAAGTGATGATACCAATGACCTATTATTTGACAATTGTGTTATCATTTAGCTTTAATAAAATGCTATTTTTTCTTGAACCCAATGAAAACTTGTGATTAACATGCCATCATCGCCATAACACAAAATCACTTTCAAAGTTGAAAATTAAATTTCATTTTGTTCAGTTGTAGAACAAGGTTTTATTTTAGTTTTTAGTTTTTCATTGACGATGGGTTTCTTCATTAAAATTTGAGTCTTTTAAATGTGCAATCAATTAATCGTACGCAGGGAAAAGACACTTGCGATCAGCCATGATCGCACAAGTTTCTTGTCTTATCATCCACAATCCACTCTTATCATCCGTTGTTGGACAACTAAAGACTATTATGGACCTGGTGAGGGTCATCCCGGTAATTATTATTAAATGTTTTAGGACACCAAAAATCGAAGCAAAAGTCATTAGTAAAAAATTAATATTTAAACTTTATTAATTTGCTTCTCTTTTCATTTATGGTTGACCAGAAAACACATCAATACTGTTTGGTTCCATAGCTCTTGGTTTGGTACAGTTGATTGCTATTGGACTCAATTTGGCTCAATGTCTTAACGACCAATTCATTTTCATACCAATTCTTCAATTTCTGTTTGTTTTTTTATTAATGCATTTCATATTTACTCGAGCTCAACGTGGACCTAAATACAGTCTCAAGAATATTGCTGTTGCTCATCTTTTTGCTTGTCAAATGTCACTTTGGTTAGTTAATTTTGATCCTAACTATGGTACATGTAGCCATCGTCAAGCTCGATTATCACCTCGATCAGATACATCGTCACCGTCATTAATATCCTCCAGGCCTAACATATTTCCAGCATCATTTTCTGATCTACTTTTACCCATTATTCACAATTATCAACTATTAACGGCATTCATTTTAGGTTACATGTGGATTCAAAATAATCGGTGTCATTACAACAGCCTTAAACCGAGACTCTCAGATCTCGATGATAACGCTTCATTCAGTTTTGCCAAGAAACCAAGTTCAATTAAAGGCTTCTTTATGGGTATTTTATTTATTTCAACTGCTTTAATTGTCTTGTTGCTTGGTAATCCAGAGATTACTCTCATCACTCATACATCGATTCAGGTAAATTGACAATAACATATTCACTTAACAATTTCAGTTTGAATAACAATTGAAACATTTTCATATTTCAGGGTTTATCAGCAGCTGCTGCTTTGATTGGACTCGTATTGAGAGGTCGTAAACGGAAGGGACTCCACAAAATTGCCGATCCTTGTTTGGATCCAAATGATAACCACATCATGTCAATTATTACTGTTGCTGGTGCTTATACTCTGGCAATATATGATATTGTTACAAGTGGATTGGAAAACACATTGACATCTTACAAGATGATGAACCATGGAGCTTTAATAATTCAAATTGCTCTTCAAACTTTTTTACTTCGCTCTGATGGTCGCAAGATTCATCGATCTAGAGACGTTTTCGCCTATTTGATTTTATCCAATTTTAGTTTATGGATCCTGGAAATAACAAATATGGCAACTAATTTAACAAATCAAAATTCAATATCAGCTCGACATCTTCCTCAACTACTTGTAACTCTTAATAGATTTTATTCTGGACTCGTGTTTATACACTTTTGGAAACTCAAGTAATTCAAAGAAACCGTCCAACTTTATTTATAAAATATATTTTAAGGCTGAATTCAAAGTCAGCGTTATTTTAAAACCTCTTCATTTGTAATTACTAGTTAACTATTAAAACTAAATTTTAACCTTTGGACGATTCAATTGATGTAACGACCTCGGCAATTGATAAATCAAAATTTACTCTCATAGCAATGAGATTTATTTATATCTACTAGCAGTCTTTGAAATGCTTCTAATAGGCAGTCAAAACTCTTCTGAGCTCATCGCGAAAGGCTGTATGTGAGAGATTGTAAATCCTTACTATTGGTAGATATTGAACAAAAACTATCTTAATAAATTTCGAGTAATCGAGTATTTTGTATTCATCTTTCAATCAAATTAATAACATGAAACTTAGATAGATTGAATGATAAAATATCTTAAAAATCTTATCGTTAAAATATATTCTTACGAAGTTGAAAACATTGCGAGGGCATTTCAAAATTAGCGCGTCAAAATCCAGGAAAGGATTTGCAACTCATTGGTCTAAACTTACTTCCAGACTGTTTTTTTTCAGTTTTGAAGTCAAATTTTTGAGTCTTGTTTTATTATTCATCAACACTTTGAAACTGAAGTTTCCGACTTAAAAATGTCAAGTAATGATACTCCAGATAAAAGTAAGTTTATTAACATCTATTTCTTGATAATATTTTGTATTTTTAAAGTGATGATTAATTCAATGTATTTTATAATAGTTACTATCAAAGTAAAGGTTGCTGGTGAAGATTATCATGATCTTTTGTTTGATTGGTCAGACAGCGAAGATGTAGGTCGACAAGTATTTCGCCAAGTATGTTCATTTTATTTATATTTCATTTTGACTTCAAACTTGACGTAAATATTTTCTGTTTATATCTTCAATAGCTTGCATCGATAATAGGAATACCAATTCATAAAATGAACAGGTTTATGATCCAATGCTATCCTGATCCTGATACTGTGGCATTTTTTTTCAATAAAAGAAATACTCCAACTGGATATCATGACTTTGATCATCTGAAAATTTTAAATAATGGTGATTGCTATGCACTTGAAATGACTTTCGAGAATTATGAGCCTCCATTCCACGTAAATTTATTTTTGTACAATCGTTCAAGTTTCGATGACAATCAATGTACAGCTCAGTATTGTCAACATATCAATGGCAGAGATTTTATCAATCGACAAGTAGAAATCATTAAATATGGTGAACCAAAATATGGAGAGTTTTGGGATGGAGATGCAAGAAGTACGATAAGGTCTATGGGCATCCAGCCGTACATGGACCCAATCTGCTCATTTCAAGTCTATGATAGGCTCCGTCATCCTTACTATCCACGAACTCACGGCTAATTACTTCATTTACTTTATCCACACAATTCTTAATTGGGTAAAAACTAAGTTTGGTAATAGTTCTTGGACGAGTTTGGATTTTGTGGAGTTGCAAGATGATCGATATCACAAATATTAATATTTATATTTTATAAAAATAGAAGAGAATCGGATTAAAATTTACAAATATGCATTATAAATGATTAAAAATTTTACCGAAATGAACAAATTATTCAGAATCAACAATAAAAGGTGGAAGTGAAATTCAGAAGGGAAATTTCATAGAATAGTAACCGTAAGTTTAACAGGAAGGCAAAAGCAACATTTACAATTTAATGGATTGGTGCATTTTTTGCTGAACAATTTCTTCAAGTCAGATTGAAATATCGAAATGAAATAATTCATTTCTTGTTTTATCCAGCTGATAGCCTATGGATGAACTTAACATTTCTAGTTTGTAACAGATTCTCTTAAAACTCATCAAATACTTTTGGAACGCTGACTGAACATCAAATTATTTAAGTTTGCTCCGTTCCAACTCAATGAATGATTCTCTTTGAATAGCCATCTGTAACTTTTGTGATTAATATTAGGTCATTCCAGCAGTTGAATAAGCTGAAAGATAATTCAAGGTAAAGAAAATTAAATTAAATGAGCGATACTGATAGGTATCCTTGGCGAATAATTAAAGTTATTATTACGCATTGACAGATAAAGAAAAAATTTTCTTACCCTGAGGTTAAGATAACTTTTACTTGAATCTTTGTTTACTCAATATTTTTTTCAAGAAGATTGGCAAGATTAAGTGAAGATCTTATTCACTTGTTCAAGATAACCAAAATGAAGCGGTTCCAACCAGCTCATCCATTTCATCAGATTAATCTAAACAATCCGGGGTCCATCGTCTGACAAGGTAGGACACTTCCCTGTTTTTAGTACTCTGTCTTCAGCTCATCTTCTTTTCAGGATTAAAGGAAAACAGGATGAGAGTGTTCATATTAAGGTCACCACCAAGATAAAAATCCAGTGAAAATTTAAACAGTAATCAAAGGGTAATGACCATTGACTTGACATGGTTTCTAGTTCACGTGAATAGCGACTCTTTCTTTTGATTAATCATCACCACCAAATAAATTTATCAGAAACCAGGATGAATTTGATTTTATTACTGTTACCTAAATGATTGAATTGACGCAAAGAAATGAAATACAAAAATAAAGGTGATAAAGGGGTTAGATCACTTACCTTTGAAGGAAATTCTGATAATTTTCCGGCAATTTCAGTGCTTTTAATTCAATAGACCGTAAGAAAGATTGAGATTTCATCATTTTATCTGCAACAGAAATGAAAGGAACTAAAAAATGTGTACTTTAAGTACAAGAGGAAAGTATTAGATAGCTTAACGGACTAAAAAATCTTACCGAAAGCGATTTGTGACCGAGTGTTCATTTTGCTGTGCAAATCATGACCAATAATATCTTAGTACAACTAAAGTCCGATGATAAACAATAATGATTATTAGAAACATTAATAAAATAAACTGAATCAACGATTTAGATCAAAAGGGAAAGGAAACTCTGACAGCTGTAAGATTTACTGGTAGGTTAACTCTTTATCCAGCTGAGAGGATAATGTAAAAGGGCTCGTTATATAACACACTTAATCTGCTAATACATAGATTATTCACCTTAAGATTAAAAATTAACAGATTTATTCTATCAGAAGACACTGACTATAGCATGTACTGTTGACAAGTATAGTAATTAATAGAGTCCATGATAATTTAGATGATTATAATTGATAAATTTATGAAGTTTGAAAAAGGCGGGCTGGATTTGTTTATTTTAATAATAACTTGTTGACCAATCAGTTGAAAAATGATATTGATATTTTAACTGTAAGTTGTGGAGGTGGAGTGAATCGGAATAAAGGGACGAGAGTTTAAACAGAAGAGGACTGATCTAGTATTTGAAGGTATTCGGATATGATATAATATTGTATAATGTCAAGTGAGTGAAAGAGAAGGATGAAAGGAGAAAGAAAGGAAGAAGGATAAGAAGGAATGATAGAGAGTTTAAGGTGAAGATGATGGACAAATTAAGAAAGGGTGAAATGATGAGAAAGAGACTGAGAGATAAAAGAACAGGAAAGAGAGAATGAGAAAGAAAGGAGAGGGTTGATACGGAATGAAATAAATAGATTGAAGATGGATTGGAAAATTGTCCATAACTGAACGTCAACTTGTCAAAGTAACTTGTCAAAAATCGTCCCTTTACCATTTGCTCCTGTGTTGGGACGCAATATTGGAACAATTTTCTTCATTGAATAAGTCATCATCTTCGAGTTACCTTTTGTGTTCATCATCTTTAAAATCATCTAACAGTTCATCTTATTTTTTCAATCGCTTCTTGTTTACGGAAAAGCCTGTGAAAACGATAAAATGTCTCCATCATATAAAATAATGGTTACCAGTATTGATGCGTAAGTAAAGTTTATACAACCTTATTTTCATTTTTGATTAGATTGAGTTTTTTATTGTTTCACTGAAAGTTCGGTTTCGTTTATATTGCGATATAAATCATTTTATTTGTGAATTGATTGAACTTAACATTTCTTTCTTTGTATTTGACAGTTGTGGCCACATCAATGCTTCTCTTGGTTTTGGTGAGCTTCTTCAAAATCGCGGTCACACGATTATTTTTACAAACAGGCAAAAATATAAACATCTTGCTGATAAAAGAGGATTCCAATTCATCCCATTTGACGAAGAAGTTTTTGCCGGTGAAAAGTTGACTCCATTCATGGCATGGTTGGAACGAAGTTATGACCTTTTCCATAAAGACGCAACTGAACGATTCAAGTGTTTTACCCAAAAAGATAGAGATAGTTATGCTGAATTTGTTGAAGGTTATATAAAAACAAATGAGGCATTAGAACGAGTTCTGAAAAACATTGAAGTAGACCTTATTATTGGTGATCTTCTGGTTCCATTCCCAGTTATGGCCAAATCAAAAGTTCCTTACATTCCATTAGCATCTCTCAATCCTTTAGTACTCTTCTTGAATGGTCCACCCGAGTTTTCAGGTCTCTCAGTCAACAGTGGTGATAAAGAGCGTAATGAATTTCGTGAAGCTTTTGAATGGGCAATGGCTCCACATAAAGAGAAGATCAATAACTGGTTACATGAACATGGATTACCTGGTTTGTATGAACCAGCTTGGTTTCTTGATAGACCAAAACATTTTGGTTTTTATCATTATCCAGAAGATTTAGATTATACAGAGGTTGGACCTGTTCTAGATAATTGGGTTCGAGTTGATTTATCAATAAGACAACCTGATAATGATTATTTTGTTATACCCGAATGTTTAAAAGATAAACCTGGTAAATTGATATATTTTTCAATGGGATCACAATTTTCAGCCGATTTACAATTAATGAGACAATTAATTGATATTTTATCTAAAAGTCCACATCGATTTATTGTTTCAAAAGGACCTAAAGGAGATGAACTTGAATTACCATCAAATATGTGGGGTGAAAATTATGTTAACCAATTAAAAGTATTACCAGAGGTTGATATGGTGATAACTCATGGTGGTAACAATACAATTATGGAAACACTTTACCATAAGAAACCAATGATTGTAATACCATATTATTTTGATCAATTGGATAATGCAGCTCGAATTGTCGACAAAAATCTTGGACGTCGTATTGATCCATGGAATTTGGATGAGAAATATTTTCTCGAAAGTATTGAATCAATTCTTAATGATAACGAATTGAAGAATCGTATTGAAACAATAAGCAATAACATGAGGAATACAAAAAGTCGACGAAAAGCTGCAGAAATGGTTGAAAAATTGATTGAAGAAACGCGTGAAGAAAAGATTACAATTATTCCTAAATTATCAGAGAAACACATTAACGATGATTTTATCCCTTATCCATCAACTGTTGAACAATGACACTAACAAATTAGTTGAATTCATTCGCTGTTAAAACTATTTTTGATACATCTTTCAACCTGAATTTTCTTATTCACATCTTTGGAGTCTGCCATCCATCATGAACATTTCATGTATATTTCCCGATATTATCCTCAAACCTCAATCCATTAAATCTCTGTTTATGACTTATCTAATTATCAATCCAAGCTTGTTATTTATAATTTATTTTACTGACAATCATAACAATAAAAGCTTTGAAAATTGTCTTTTCTCAACAATCTCACATTCATTTATATCATAATCAACGGATAAAATGAGTTCAACAAAAATATTGGAAACTTTCAATTTAACCTTGTTTGGTTAATAATTATAACTTTATCGCCAAATCAATTGATGAATCGTATTTATTTGAGGAAAACTATTGATTATTTAGCAAATTTGTGTTGATAAACTAATTTGGTTCCATTTGACTGATGCACATTGTCCAGAGGTCAGGCTATTAAATTCATTGACGTAACCAAACCAACAAAATCTGGTTAATATCTTTTAACTGATTTGAATAAATAATCATTGTCATCAATAAAAAAGTGAATCTGTTTCAAAATAAACACAATTGGCTGATGATGAAAACAAAAACAAAGGGTGATCGTTGGACTGAATCTTTTGCGATTTGCCTGGTTAATTTACTCTATCCACTGACCATATTGAATGGACAGCCATTTCACTGTTGGAAACAATCAAAACTAATACAATTTCCAAATTAGATTATTTTTAATCCAGTTTTGTGTTGCTAATGTTAAACATCAAAAGAGTCCAATCTCAGATTTTGAAGTAAAAAATCAGTAAAACATTACCTTTTACATTTGTTTCAAGCTTTTATTTACTTTCCATCCTTACATCAAAATATTGAATAAAACATATTAAAGCAAAAATGAAGCGAAATGATTCACCAATGGCATGGGATTCAACCAACAATAAAAACAGCAGTTGTATTAATCTGAATAAAAATCTTGACCCGGAAACATATTCAACCTACTCTGTAGCCTCATCGGAATCCAGTTCAGGTAAACATGTATGGAATTCAGCTAAACGCGCTGTTAAAGGTGAGCAATTTAACTCTTTAACCCATTCATTGAATCTAGACTCTTAATGAACTCCAAATTAAAACAGTTAACTGGTTCAATCCATATGATTGCTTCATCCAATTCAAGATGGTGACAGATTCAACATGAAAGTGTCTTAACTTAATCAGATAAATCTCATAAAATTTCAAGATTCTGGTTTTAACCAGATTGTGCATCCTAAAAACAGGTGAACATTGACAAAAAAGCTAATCTCAATCAGTTATAATGACCTTACCCGTTTCATTTCACTATTATCACGACCATCAATATTTTGTTTTTGTTCATTATATTTCCAATGTATGCTTCATGAGTCCTCTTGAAGTTTCCAGGAAATGATAACAGAGTTGGTTGATTTAGTAAAATCAAGTTAAATACGGAAGAATAATTCACTTGTATCTTCACAATTTACCAACAATTTTTGTTCCAAGTAGACATCTGACAATATATCAGGTTAGGTATTTAATATTGAATAGAGATAATATTTTGATTATTGATGATCATGGTCCTTGATTGTATTTCAAATTGCTCCCATCTTGACATTTGTTTACATGCAGTAAAGAAATGGTAGGAAAGTGGTGATTGATTGTTGAAGATAAATTGAGAGCTTTAGAGTAGCTCAGTAAACAGTAAATCTAGTTCAAGTTTCATGATTGCAAAGTCAAACCGGATAATATCGCTGTTTGAGTCATCTTATTCAAGATTTCACAAAATGAACAATTGACTTGTTTAAGAAACTAAATCAAATCTCTGGTAAAATCAGAGCACCCAAACCATGAAAAACCCAAGTTTTTACTACATTTGTTTTGATACTTTGTTGTACAATGTGTATTTTGACGTCTATCAATTTTGCTAGTTTTTCAATAATTACTTTCAGTAAATGATTTATACTAATGATTGAGCTTGTTCATTTTTTACCAGAAAATTGTCATTTCCTAGACTCTATTCAGAGCTATTCATTCAATTGAAATCACAACACAACCCTTTTCAAGTATTTGTGATCGCTCAAAACCATAATTAGAATACGATTAACCTTCTAATAACAGATGAATGGTTGAATTCTGGTTAAACATCAACCGTTTAATGGTCATCGCCAGCAATGGTTTTGTTTCATTTCAACACAGATGCTCTGAATTCGTAAAAGCTAGGCATTTGGTTTTCTGGTTTTTTCGTCGTGGGTTTGGGTCTTTCTGATGTGGATTGACTGTAATTTAGCCAGTAAAAATAGCTTTCCGATCAATCTCTTGTCATATTTAATACTAAAGATTTGAAGAGACAATATAGATTTTTGAAAATCGATCAATGATCAGTAAAAATATTATAAAATATGAAAGTAATGGTTTCACTTACCTTAATTTTATTTGACGTTTACTTTAAACATCATTATTAAGCTTGCATTTTCAATCAAATACTACGAAAAAAATAAATTCATAATTTAACATGATTTCATTATGATTATTATTAATTGTTATTTACAATTACAAAGACCCGTTTTGTCATATCCAAAATCGTGCCGATAGTAAATGCAATATCAGTTCTTGAAAGTCGACTCTGTAAATCAGTAAACTGGGAATAAAATTCAAATCATCATAATATGAATTACAAATGTCGAGACGCAAAATACCTTAATGGATGACTTTATACCCAATGGCAGATATCGGTTGGCTTTCATGATATTTTTACCACAAGAGTGCATCTAAAAGTGTATCACAAAGGGATATGAATTAAAATCATTGAAGAGACCAAAAATTAAACACTTTTACCATTGTCAATATAACACCATTAACATAAGAGCAAGTGCCAATAGCGAATAAACCAAGAATAGAAATAGAACCAATAAAGATGTCCAAAGGTCCATGATCAAAATGGACTATAGCTGCCAAGTAAAAGCCAAAATTTGTACTGTAAGACACTCCAAGATACAAGAATATAAGCCAATTTCTGATTTTAAGGTTTATATGTTCAATTTCATTCTGAAAATGAATGATCTGTCCAGAGATTTCTTTATATTCAGACAAGTAAATACGTTTATTCAAAACTCCTCCTTTATTCGCAAAATTTCGCACAGCCTGAGCCTCAGTAGCAGCTCTAAAGTAATTATAAGCCAAATCAATTGTTATCACTGCACCAGTTAACATTATGTTGGTCAAAGCAATAACAAGTCCAAGATAAGTGGTGAGAAGCCAGAAATAAGTGAAAATAAATTGTTGAGATGTTTTAGGTACTTGAGATGCTGATTGAACAATAATGATTAAAACTGGACCCATGCTTATGCCAGATATTATAATTGTCCTTATCCACAAATTAGCTAAATTAGAAGAGATGAAACGATATTTAAGACAATAAAAATGGCTCAGGAACAACCCTTCAGGCTTGAATCCTTTATCGTAAACAAAGTTATGCATATGAAATGAAAACGGTGCTCCTGTTTTGTATAAATATATCCAATAATGTCTTAAAACCTCACCAAAAATAGTTAGATTAGTCCAGAAAAGCCAGAAATACCTTCGACGTGGATGATGGTAAAAAAAGTCACCCAAAATAAGTGACAAATCTTGTGGTAAATCAAAAACACTCAACAATATTAGATGAAAAATATTCACAATCATTAGACTAGAATAGAGGATTGATCTGGTTTTAGTCCATTTAGATGGAGTTATACTTTGATCTTGAGCAAATCCGTTTGGTAAAATATTGAATGAAATACAAACTGATTCAAATCGCTTTAAATCTTTGATTGCATCTGCATCATAAAAATCAGTTAAACGCAGTCCAAACACTGGTTCAATGGCTTTAATTAAAAATTTTTTTGCTTTATCGGTTGTAAAAACTTTATTTTTATGACAATGCAAGGTTTTGACATTGAACATTTTGCTCAATTTGACCTGAAATAACATTAATGTTGATCAAACCAATATTATATTGAAGTGCAGTTCAATGTTATAAGATTGCCAACTGAAAACTCAATCTACTCGACTCAAGTTTGAATGCACCCAATGATCAATCCCTAATGATTATTGGAAGTTTTCAATGAATGCTTTCAATATCCAGTTCATCACTTAAATTTGTTTAAAAATTCATAAATCGATTAAATTGTTATTTTTTAAACTTTTATTGCATTGAATTATTTAATTATTTCAAGTCACTTGATTCAATTTCTTATTTACCCAATATTACAATATTTTCAAAATAATTTCATTTCTCGGTATAAAAAAAACTCTTAATTGCGTAAATTAACAGTTACTGGAAATTGAAAATACCAGCTTTTTACACGAAACAGCAAATAAACCCAGAAAATTGATTGAACAATTAGCTCAACCTTACTTAGCTGTTAGGTTATTCCAGTTCGACAACGAAAATGAGTTTCTAAATAAGTTATTAAGGTTCATCGATCGAAGCTTTTGTTTCAATTAACCTCTAACTCAACCATTCCTTGAATATTCACTTAATATGCTCCTGAAATACAAACAGTTTAAGTTAGTTTAACGAGTATGGTCACAAAGCCAGTCTATTAGGCACACTTAATTGTGTTATAATTTAACTTGGTTAAATTGTGATTGATGCTTGTGAAAATCAATTCATTGAATGTGTCAAAATCTTGAAATTTGTTTGGTGCAATCAATCGACTCAACTGTCATCTGCATTGATTTGTTTACTCTATGGTAATAAACTTAATCGACCTTAGTTCTTGAAGACAGGTATAGAGGATTCGAAGAAATGATGATGAGGATTATAATGGTTATTTAGGAATAGCAAATATTGTAATAGGATATTGATTGTTTGATTGATATTTAGATCTCGTAGTTAGTTTCAAAGATTGGTCATGTTTTCCCTTTATTCAAAGGTTGGACAGTTTGATTTAAGATCTTCAGATTTGGATGATTCTTGCTTGATAATATAATAAACTTAACTAACTATTGCTATCTATTTAATAGGTATCTGGACAACAACCCAAATTTTACCCAAAAATGCTGAGAAAGAGTCAATCATTAAAACAACTCTACGTGAACTGGTCATCTACCTGGCTTTCTTGACCAACGTTTCTGTCAGTAAGTTTTATTTTTGTATCGATCAATGGTGTCTAGCTGTGGCCTCTTGTCAGGTTACTAAATGCTTAAATGACCTCCTTTTAGGTTGTTACTAAAGATACAATTAGCACAATTGTGTTACAAAAGTAACATTTAAGCAAAAACTGACAACAGTTGAAACAGACTGTGAAACAAACGGGCAATAACGGGTAAAGGTTGTTTTCTTTCAACTTTAAATGTTGCTGGTTTGTAGCGACATAAAAACTGAGTCTAATCATGCGATTTACAAATTTCTCTGAGCTCTAGTTTTCGATAAAATCGAGGTCAAACTTGAAACTTCGATCGCTGTTTCTTCAACTATGGAAACAGATTTTTTCATGAAACTCATACCAATGATATAACTTTTAATGCCTAACCAGAAAATGGTCTTATTTTGATGAATAAAATTTTCATTTTCTGTAAAATAGATCAAGTTCGATTTTTATTTAAACTTGTCGCATTTCGTGACGAAAAGTGTTAGAGACCTAAACGGCTCATTAGCTCATGCCAATAGTTGCTTCACACCATGGATTAAATAATTTTCTCAGTCAAGCAATAGTTCTCTTGATATTGGCCATTGACCGGAAAACTTTGAACCTCGATATCTCGAGTATGGTAAAACCTAGACTCATCATTTTTGACTTAACATTAGACTTCATCATGGGCTATAATATAATATGATTGAATACATACAATAATGAATATCTTTTTAATAAATATCATTTGTATTAAGTAATTATTTATCTTTATAAATCAAAATCCAAATATGACGACATGAGCAACACAATGCTAGAACTTT